CTTTCATAATTAGGTTATTTCCTTAGGTCTACAGAAAAAAGTATTTCTTTTTGCATCGAATATTGAACAAAAAGTCAAATAATAAAAATAAATTTTGTGTTTTTAATTACTTACAAAATCAATTGATTCAAAATTAAATGAATCTTATTTTTTAAAGTTTTTAAAATTTACCATTAGTGTATTTTAATAAAAAAGGAGCAATCAGATCGTTAGATAGCCACCAAACAATATACAAAATATATTCAAAAATGAGATTCTAAGGTCATGCTTTTAATGATATAAACACTAGCAGCACTTGAGTAAATTGTGCATGTAAACACTCTCCCAAAAAAATAAAAAAAAAGAATTGGGCCATGCGGCAGAAGAGCTAAAGAACAACAAAGTGCGGCGCCAGACCCTGAAAAGTGATTAAAATGATTGTTGTACAACAATGTCCGCGTCCTTGTAAGGGTTTTGCAGGCACCCTCCTCCCACTTCACCCACTTCTCCCCCATTGCCAAAAAATAGCGCAGCCATTACAGTGCTGTCTCTTCTTTATAATTTTTTTTATTTCCCTGTCATTAAACAGTGTTTGCTGAGAAATTGAAATTGTAAATGAAAATAAAAGAGTAAGATTTTTTGTGAGTCCCTTAGTAGTTCATAAAAATTGTATTCTTTAATTTTCATGCACAAACCTTAAATTTAAGCTAAAGCAACAAAATATCTAATAAAATTTAAACAAATGTAACCAGTAAATACAAAAAGGATTATTAAATAAAAACATTGTTTTGCAAATGCAGCCAAATACAAATTTAAATTAAAGTAAAAAGTAATCATTAAAATTAACAATTCATGTCAATATTTACATACCTAATATAAATGAAAAAAACAAAAATTATGGGTAATATGGGCAATTTAAGAACCAAAATTTGGGATTTTAAAAGTCTATAGCTGAAACGGCAGTGTCCACTGTATTTACATAGAGTATGTATCCATATAAATGGCTAAATTTATCTAGAAAAGCATAATTGGAAAAGTGTTTTGGGACTGGCACTCGAAGCTTTTAGCCGAAAATGTCTCGACAAAGGCACAAGGGAAGCGATTTCAAGCGATGTTGTCTGATTTGTTGGCTTTTCGGTGTTTTTTTTCTCCTTTTTTTGGGTTGAAGGTGGGGGTGGGGGCGGTTTGGAGGTCCTGTGGGTGGTCCTGTGGATGGAAAGCAGTTTGTGCTGACTTAAGCAAAGCGGGACAATACAATACAATGGAATGCTGCGGGTGCGAGTTCGAGTTCGAGTTCGAGACCGGCGAACAATTTGTCCTCGAGCCTGTCAGCGGCGCTCCTTATTATGTCTCTCCTTCTCCTTCTGCAATTGCTTTGCTTGTTGCTCTCTCATTGTTTAATTGTTAACCATTTTGTGTGTGTGTGTGTTGTTGTGCGGCTTTGTTGCATTGTTTGATTGTTTCACGCCCGAGCTTTGTCCCGCATTCTGTGCGTGTGTGCGAAATAACATTTGTCTAATGAAAAGCGCTCTTGTCTCTCCCTTCTACCTCCTGTCCCTGTCTCGCTCGCACCTCGTCTGGCCGACTTTTGCTATTTTTAGCTCATTATGTTGCCATGGCCCAAAGGACACTACATCCTTAGACACGCCCTAGGAACTCAGGATTCATCATCACTCAAATGTATGAGCTGACATATATGGTTTTCTTATTATGTCTTTTGTTTTACAACATAATCCCCCGAAATTTGAATGCATTGTTTGTCTTGGTAGGGAAAGCTAATATTTTTTGCTATGTTAATATTACTATATGATGCTGATCTAATTAATTGATCTATTTGATTATAGTTTTTAACTTATTATTCCACATCTGCCATTTCAAATTTGCTAAATCCCAAAACATAAATAACTTTATTGTTTAAGCCAATAATAATTAATTCTAATCCTCTTATAGTTGGCTTTCTCACTTTTCACCTTTCCATGTTCTTCCACAAATTACAAAGGCAGTTTCGACACAAAATAGGGGTTTGATTGCCCTGCAAACAGAAATAACATAATTGCCAGAAAATATAAATATTCAACAGCTGGGAAATGATAAAATATCGCTTTGTTGTTTGCCCATAAAATTTGCATACCGTAGTTTGCAGAATAGAAATGTTAAATATATAGAGGCTGACAGCAACCTCAGCAAATCCAATTTGGGATTGAAATGTGGCCCACCTGCCAACGACTAGTTATTTGTGATGTTTGATTTCTGCTGCAGTCCCAAAAGCAAAGTCAAGATAGTTGGCCAATTGGGTTGTAACTGCAAACATGCAACGAGCAGGTGACAGGAAGTGGAACATGAGCACGACACGGCAGTCAGAAAACCAGAAATCTGGTTAATTGAATACAAAATGTCACACAGGGACATTCGCTGGGATTCGGATTTAGATACAGATACATATAGAGATACAGATACACCCATTCAGAGATGTGTACATTCTCGCATCCTTACCGCATTAGCTGCAGTTGAGCGAGTGTCAAGGTGAGGTCAGGTGAACCCAGCCAGGCAGAAAACAGGCAGCAAAAACAGGGCAAAACTGGAAAAAAAAATTGGCATTGCTATAGTTTAGTACCTGTCCACACTGAAAGTAATATATATAGCTCTAAAAATATTATTTGTTCTGTGATACTCGAAGGTTATACCAAGTGGTCTACTAAAAAAAAGAAACCGAGCGCTCTTTTATAAATACAGTGTTGAATAAAACACAAAATATTTGATTATTATACTTTAAAAAATGTTAGCCCATTTCATCCTAGTCTGATATCAATTTGATAAGTTTAACGATTTATTTTAAAAATAAATTATTTATGAAGTGCTAACACTTAAATATTTAATTTAAATTATTTGTATTAGATTTCAATGTGTCTATTTTCTCAAAATTATTAATATTTAAATCTCAATTATTTTTTCCTGCCTATAAGTTATTTAATTGGACAGTCTAGCTTAGATATTTATAGAAAAACATTAACATTTGTCTCACAATCGATGAATGGAGTTTCGTACATTACACTATAAAGCATTTTCCTTATACCGATTTGTTGGTTAGCTAGTCTAGAGCAAAATGCATAAGTTATATTCTCCAAATAGAACCATTCAGAATATGTAAATCAAGAAATTTTGCCTTAAATGGACCAAAGAGAATATATTTTTTTCCGTTCGTCCTTAGTCTTCCCTTGGCTGCTGGCATCTGGCCAAATCACGTAATCACAACTTGTTTATGGCGCATGTGCCAACTATTCCCGACTTTCACCTTCGTCCCGTCCCTTCAAAACCGGACCCATCGCCGAAAAAGAGACTTACCACCTACCCACCTGCAGTTGCAGCCATGAAAATTAATTTCAATTAGCGGAAATTGTTTTTACACCTGTTTGCCCTCCAGCGCATAGCACATAGAAGTCGTCCAAAACCGTTTGGCCAATTTGCGGCCTGTCATCGCGAATTGACGGGCACGGGCTAATGCCGCACTACATATCCCCTCCACTTTGCAGGGCAAATTCATAAATCAGAATTGCAAATTGGCAAGAGCAGCAGCAGCGAAGAAAAAAAAACACAAAATTATAGCATACCGCCGGGCGACACTTGAGTGCAGCAAAAGGCAAGTGCCACGCCCAGTCCCTTGGGAACTCGTAACTAAGCCAAGCAAATTCCTTTTTTGCACTGGTTTCATCGTTTTGTGGGAGTGGCGGAATGTGGAACAAAATTGCACACAAGTTTGTCTGAGCTGAGCAATTTAAAACGATTTAATTGCAGCTTCATGCTGCACAGCGTGATGCCCGTCTCCATAAACCATAAATTGTGTTTCAGTTTTTCCATACACACAATGTTTTGATAAAATATGTAGTAGTCAGCTGCAACTGAATATTATTAAATGAAAGATTAAATTATGTCTGAGCTTATAGTTATTTATTGGATTTTAATTATTTTTAGTTGGACAATTTAATTTAATTGCAGAGAGGAAATGAACTCATATCTAAAATTAGTTGCATTGACAAAATTAAACAAGAAAGGTTATTTAGCTTTTTTCAATAATTTATTTAGCCTTTGCAGAGTTTATTTTTAGATAAATTTGTGCAAAACGGAATATAAATTAAATGAAAAAAGAGCAATAAGGGAATACACTTTGTAATAAGGGATTTTAACGGAAACAAGTACCATATCTTTTATAGCTGCGGCTTATCGGCCATTCATTTCTGTAGTATAATGTTAAATATATTTCTAACAACTATAAAAATAATGAAATTAATAAGTAAGAGTATTTTAAAGTTTACTACCTCTCACTGGATTGTCGTGCATTTCGGGAATCCACTTTTAGCGGACGTTTGTCAATTAATTTCCAATTGGTGCGGCTATAAAATTGTCATTTGGTCGGGGCGTTGTGCAAATGGCAGTGTGGGTTTTGGTTCCTGGTCGAGAGTTTGGCTGTGGGCATTTTAATTGGTGCTGTGGCAATCAGCATAAATTTGTTTAGCAAATGCAGTCAAAATTAATTGAACATGCATGCGCAATATGGGTGAGTCAAAAAAATATGTAACCGCCAATATTTAAAGAGTAATTGAAACGGTCATGGAAATCGTTTACAGTCAACTTAATTGTGTTTACTTTGTAATCCGAAATTTTTGCCTAGTGTGTATTTATGTTTATTTGATTTTTCAATGGTATACATTTTTAGTTTCCTTTTTATACATATAAAAACAACCCAGTCTTACGATTGAAGTCACAGTCACAAAGATCGGTCTTCTCTCAAAAATATAGTGTAAATAAAAATATACATGTATAAAGTATATTTTACTTTAACTTAAGATAAGTAAATTTAAGACTAATTTCCGAATGAGATAAATTTACACTCTTATATGGGGTATATAAAGTTGCATTGTGCTTCATAGTTTAAGGCAAAGCCATGTCATATTCAACAAACTTTTAATTTATTTTCCGACTAAGCCGCAACTAAACAAAAGCAAAAACTTTTCTAATTTTTGCAGATGAGCGCGCCACTGTGCCACAATTTCGGTTTACACCTGTCGAAGCTGCCACTCCCACGAGAAACTTTTTCTACCGCAACAAGAATAACAAAAACCACAACAAGAAAAACAAATACAAATACAAAAACAAAAATCAAAACAAAAACAAAACGAGCAACAACATCAGTGATATGGAACTGTGCATAGCAACAAAGTCAAAAACGGAAATCGCTCAGAGTTCAATGCAGCAAAGCAACTACTATCAAAAGAAATGCCACCAAAATCAAACAAATACTCAAGTACAGAGCACTCAGCAAAGCAATTGCAGCAGCCACAGAGATCGAGACCACCTGACAAAGCAGCAACAAAACCAACGAACAAATAGTGCAACAGCAACATCATCAAATTTTAAGAGCAACATCAGCAGCAAGAACATCAGCAGCAGCAACATCAGCAGCAGCAGCAACATAATCAGCAGTAGCAACATTAATAGAAAAGCCAGCAAAAACAGCAGAAAACCCAGTAGGAGCACACAATTAAACACACTCTATTCACTGCTGGTGCTTTTGATAGTCGGCCTTGCCACCGTCAGCGCCTCCCCCAGCCTGCCACATCCCTCCCCCTTTTCCCTTTCACGCGAGAGCAGGCGCGATGCTCTTTTGGCCTACTACAAGCGCGCTCACCTGCAACCAAGTAGCGATGCCTCCGGCGACGCCTCCCTGGGGCACAAGTACCAGTACCAGCACCAGTACGAGAACGAGAATCAGTATCACCTGCACCACGATGCAACCGGCCTTGACTTTGACGAGCTAACGCCCACCGTCAGCGTTGTGTCCGTCCTCAGTCGGGCGGAGCGTTTTCGATTGCGTAAGCGGAGTGCCACCCCCACAACGCCAGCAACTGTGGCGGCCACGGCGGCAACATCGCCCGTTGCCGCTGCAACATCGCCACCTGCCGCAGCAGCACCATCCAGTGAAGCCAAAAAAACGGAGGAGAAGTGCGAGCCCAAAGTATTGGAAGCGCTACCCGATGAGCCGGTAAGTACTCTATGTAATACAAAGTACTTTAATTATTATGTTATATTATTATTTTTATAGTTTTTGGAAAACCAAAATAGTTTTTATTTAAGTAAGCATATATAATGACTTTTATATTACTAAAATGTGACTTAATGGGCTAAGGTTAAACAGAAAGAAACTTTTTCTAGGATATAGAATTTTTGTTTTGGCTGAAATAAATTAATACAATCTTAATTATGTTTTATTTAAATATTATTGCGATTAATTGGATAATTTGAAAAGGAAACATGATTGGTTCAAGGCCAAATCAAGTTGTATATAATTTATATAACTTAGGTACTTTTCCAACCCCTTCAATTAAGTGGGATCCTTCGACTGTACCGCTAGTTCGAAAAGTGTACACATTGTGTTTGACTTTGGAACTGCTCAAGTATGCCACCTTATAATTTGCTAGCTAAGAGGATGGGTAAAAGTTTCAACTTTGCACTTAGTCACGAGGACTACTTAGATCAAAAGCAATTCCAAAGAGCAGCAGCAGAAATAAGCAAGCGTACAATTTAGTGCCTGAACTTTTGAAGCAATCAAAGAAATGCAAACGTTAACTCAACGGATTGGAGGCGGATTCACCTTCCGGCAGCCTTCATAACTTTTGACATTTGGACATTTGTGTGAACGAATGCAGCCTGCACTTCGCATCGATCCAAGGCAGAGACAATTAACGACAATTTACGAAATTGCCAACGCTGCACCGGCGAATAATCAATAAAATTGCTGAGATAGCAACCCATATAATGTGTTCGGGGTGCTCCTTCATTTTCGGTATCCTCTGCTTTTTCCTGCTGACACAAATCTCTGCGCAAATCTGTGCTTCTTTTCCGTTTTTACCTCCCCTCCACCTTGTTGGTTGTCGAAAAAAATATTACGCATACGCCACGGCTGACGCAAGTAGAAAGTGGGTGGAAAGTTTTCCCTTTTTAGGGGCGTTCCTTAACACACAAACCGCGGGGTTTTGGAAAGAGTTGACAGCAGTTCATATGTGGTGCCTCCATCTCCTCGCCTAGTTCCTTCACTTTATGATTCTGCCTCTTGTACGAGTTAATTAAGAAATGCTAATGAAGTGAGCAGAGCATACACCGTCGCACCATAAGATCACTGTAAAAACTGTAGGTTTTGAGCGGATTTTAAAAGGATTTTATTCATAGATTGCCAGATTTTATCATTAACAGATGAATTTAAAATACTATTAAGTGGGTTTTATAGGGTTTATATTTAAATCTTTATAGTTGTTTTTCTAAAAATCAAGTTGTTTTGAAATCTTGAATGTTTTAAGATTACAAATAATTGAAAAGGTAATTTCAAAAGTATCTTTTACTTTAGCTAAAGTTTTCACGTTTTCAAAAATACAAATTTCAAATGCAAAAATGGTTTAAATTATTTAGACTCTTAGTATTTTCTCATATTCTTTTCAATTTTTGTATTTGCTGTTAAAATTATGACAAACAAGCTAAATAAAAAACTTAAAAAGCTAGTGTTTTAAGTAAGTTTCATTTGATAAACAAACACCTTAATCAAAGTAAAGATCCCATCAGCTTTTCACTGTGTAAACGTATAAACCTCACACTTCCCAAAAGATGGAATTAATTGAAAAAGTTAATATATCTTTCCGTGTGCGCATCACAATATTTTAATTGAATTTGCATGACAATTGCAGCCCAGGACTTTAAGTCAGGCCTCGTTGGCAGGGTTTTCGCCCACCGTCTGCTTGCCATCCCATTCCTTGGGATGCTATTTTTAGTCCGCTTAGCGAATCGAGTATAAATATTCAATGAGTCGGCCGGCGGTGTAAACAGAGTCCAATACATGACGCGCACGAATCGATTACCCGACTAAGTTTCCTCTGACGCAATCGGGTCCTTGGTGTAATTAGAAGACAAACAATGAGCCGAGGGCAGGGAAAACCACAGCAGCTGGAAAGCAGGAAAAAAGAATGTGTAGCATCCTCGGAGCGATTTGAATCTCGAGTGTGGCCAAATAAAATAATAATAAATATATGTGGTGCACAGCAACAGCGGCTGACAGCTGCCAACTTGGGCATTATCCTGGCCATTGTGGCCATTGTGTCTGTTCCCCCCGCATCCTGGCACAAACTGGGCCCCCTTCGTCCTGTCTCGCTTCCACTCTCGTCCCGTCTCGCTTCCTCTCTCAAGCCCTGCGGTCAACGGCGAGCGCCTTGTCGAATGCCTGTCAAGGATTATTGTTGCTGTTGCTGCTCATGTTGCTACTGATGTTGCTGTTGCTGCTGCTGCTGCTGCCATGTTGCTGTTGTTCGTTTTCGCTTCCAGCTGGAGTGTGTCCGCCCTGTGCTTTTTTCGCTTCGCTTTTTCTGCGTGTGCGTGTTGTTTTGCTAACAATGCTGAAGCTGCAAAGTTATTAATAATTGTTTTATATATTTTCTTTTTTGTTTGTGATGCTGGACACGCGTATTGTTGCTTTAAAACCAATGTTGCCCACTTTAAGCCCGTACTTAAAGTTGTCAGTTTTGTAATACCTTTAATGGGCTTTTTTATGATCCGCATTTCTGGTTGGGAAAGGAAGCACTGATAAATATATTTCTTAAATGCTTTAGGGGCTTGTACTGAATCTTCAAAATGTTGTATAAAATTTAAAAAGTTAAGGAATAGTATTGTTTTACACATAATATTCCTATCATTAATATTTATAATTGATATATTATTTTTTGTCTTTAAATGGCCTTTAATATTGAAATAAGTTTCACGAATCAGCTCAATTAGCTCATTTAAAATCTCAATAAGGTTATTTAAAAATTAAAAAATGGAAAAGGGCAAGCAATTAGTATAAACTTTTATTACTGCACAATTAATATGTGTTCGTTTGGATTAATTGACAATTTTTCTGTTCACCACGCAACCAATTACGTTTCCAACTAATTTGGTTAACATTAAAGCTGCCAGCTCTGCGTTTAATATTTATGCACACATAAATTTAAAAACCATTGCCACTCAACAGAAGCATTTATGTTAATCCGATAAATAAAGCACACACACACACACACACACACTGGCAACTTCCGCAGCAATCAGCTTATGTCATTCGCCTTGTCGTCCTGAATAATGTAATGAATGCAGGCGGGTACAGTGAAGCCTGTCAGTAATCGCCGGAGTGTGCCAGTGTGCGTTCAGGATTTGCCGAGTGTCAACAGCAGTTGAGCCAAAGACGGAAACAAAAAAGAAAAAAAAAACCAAAAGGAAAGAAGAGGAAAGGAAAGCACTGGCTGACATATTTTATTCATTAAGCACAGAACATAGAAAATAAAAGGAAATACATGCAAATGACAATGAGGAAGCATACAGTTACGCCATGTAAATATTTTTATGGTCATAAGTAGGAATTTTGTACATGCCAATGCCGGAAAATGCAGATGGAAATGCGGGAAAGGCGGGAGTGGACATTAAAAAGCCAGTAAAACGCGCTTTACTGATTTCATTTGGCCGTATGTGTATGTGTTTATGTGTGTGTGTTTTAGCCAGGCTCTTGGCATAGTTGCTCACACACACTCACATACAAACTCGTCCTGGCCATGTTGGCATAAGTATGCATGTTTTATTGCACACACACTCGGTAGGTTTTTTGTGGCTGCTGGTGCTATTTACAAGTGTTTTCCACATACATTTATACCCTAAATAAAGGGCGCGAGCGTAAGGATATATGTGTGATTGCAGCCATTTGGTAAAGAAAATGAAAGGATCCTGAAGGAAAAAGAAATTGTATTATAAAATGTATAATGACTTAATGAGAAACAGTATTTTTAAAATTAAATTTAAATTAAATAAGTCATGAGAACTTTTTTAATATTTAATAATAATATTTATTGAGCAAATTCAAATTTGACAAAAGTTAACTTAGCTGCCAATATTACAAAAAGTTAGAGTATTATCAAAGGTTTATGATTATGGTCACACCGCATATATACGAGTGTTTAGACTCTTCATCATAGCTTCATCTGGTAGTGGGTGGGCTCCGTTCTCATGCGATTTCTCGTAGAACCTTACACTGATTGCTTTTACCTCGATATGTTCATTTAGGCGGTAGATTTGCATACACATAAGCAAAAGAAAACAACAAAAAACAAGCACACACACTGGCGAGCATCCACAAACATTTGTATATTGCTGTTGCTTGTTGGCAATTTATTTGGGGCTTTGGTAGCGTATACGCAGTGTGGTCGCTCATCACCAGGAGCCCTGCTAATGGGAAATATTTGTTTTAAAAGCCAAAAGGTGCCGGCCCAACTACATGACTCACCCGCCCGCAGACAACATGACCCGCTCCCCTCTGTTCGGTTCATCCTGTGGTTACTTTTGTTTCACAAAGCCATAATGATGTCATCAAAGTTTCCCATCCCCCCTTGCCAACCTGGCTTTTGTGCGTAGATCTCGAGAGCTTCTTGTAACGTGTAAATTATGTACAAACATTTGGTTGGTTAAGAGCTGAACAAACTTGGATTAAAAACATTTCTGCAGTCGCACAGCCTGGGGATGGCATTAAATCCTATTATTTCCCAGTCGGAACCAAACTTTTTGTACTCCTTGGCAAAAGGTGTTGTCGTGAAACGTGTCCTGTGCGCCAGGTGAATAATTAATGGTCCCAAGTCAAGGGAAATGTCCTTGCCGAATTCCAGCCTGGTCACTTAAATCACGAGGCTGCCGATGCGTATACGAAATTTTTCGGAATACCAAATTTTCATTCACAAATCACACGATTTCCACAGGCTTAGTGGTCATTTGAATTACTTATTTAGGCATTTTCCTTTTCAATAATGGCAATAAATTTGGTTTGGTACAGTAAACATATTATGTTGTTATATATTTCTATTTAATCATGGATTTATTCTATTTAATATCTAAATTCGTAAATTTTTGCTTTGAAATATACCATATCTTCAACTTGGGCTTATTTTTGAAATATTTGTCATTGATTTTAATAGGTATTTTAGGTATTTTACTATTAATTAGCTGATTTTTTTCAGATTGAGTTATATGTTTAGCAATTAAATTTTATGTTTTATACGAAATTTAGTTCCTTAAAATATGTTATTTCTAGCCAATGAATTTATTTATTTGCCATATCCTAAAATAAGCATAAAATTGATTAACTTATGATTTGAGAGAATTTAATTATAATCGGTTTTTATGAATTTTGCAGTTTTACGACTACACAGACATCGCCGAGGATGCCGCACGCCAGTTCATTGAATTTTTATCGAGTAAATTCCCAAATGCCAACACGCCGATTACCATCGATGAGCCGACACGTGCGGAGGTGAGTCGCCGGGCGAATGGCATCGCCAGCTATGCCCTCAACGAGGACGACAATCTCCTGGCATTCGCCATCGCGGCGCCCAGCATTCACACGGTGGTCGTTAAATTCAGGGATAACGTTACGGTACGCACTCGCTAATCAGCGATAATGGATGCAAGCTAATCGCTGTTTCACTTATTGCAGATACCACCGGATCAGGTGCACAACAAGGCATATTTGGGTTCCTACTGGCGGGAGTTGGGGTAAGTCTGCTTTGGAACTTTGTGGTTCTTATTCAGCTTTGTATGAATTTACTTTATTTTGAACTGAAAGACTTCAACAACACTCAAAAATGAATATATTTCTTTAAATAGACAAGATAGTTCAACATAATAAAGCATCCTGCTATGGCAATGTATTAATATTATAAAAATGTCGTTAAGTTATGTTTATTCTCTGAATCCAAAGTCTTCTAACTATAAAACAGAATTTAAAATTTAAAATCAAGATAGTAAAGCCTCTAAAATTTAACAGTCAATTTAAATCAACAAGCTGTTGAGTCTCCGTATCCTTTAGAACTTACTTAAAAGATATCCATCGCTTAATTTAAATAGTTCCCATGCTTTGCACCACACATACACACAGCACTCATATGCATAAGCCAAATTGCGCTTGGAAAGTTGCCCATAAATGTTTTGTTTCGCCGTTTTACAGTGCGGCCTGGAACAGCACGGACGGCACTCAGGAGTGGGGGGCACCGTTTCGCGACTGCAACCTGTTGACGCGCCGCTGGCTCTGGCCATTTCGCATATCCTTCAGCGAGCACAGGATAAAGTGAGTCAAATCGAATCGAATTGACATTTGAAAGGATGAGGGAACAACTTGTAATTTATGGTAAATATTTTCAGAGTTGTGGCGGCTGCCTTTATTGCCGCCGACGAGGATGTGTGCAACGATGGCCTGGAGGAAGTTTTCGGTCGTCGTCATGGGTGAGTTACTTGGAAAAGTTTATCTGTATATCTGCAAAATACGTGATTATGGAAAATCCCATTTAGTTGCGATCGGAATACGACTTTCTGCCTGCTCACCGAGAACAAACCCGCCGCCACCAGGGATGTGTACACCTGTTTGTGCCGCGAATCCTATTACCTGCCCAACTCCACGCTCCAGGGATTCCGAGGCGATCGCGTAGAGCTGTCCGAGGGATACGACAACTACTCCTGCATCCCGTGTCCCGGCGGATGCTCAAACTGCGACAACAACGGCGTCTGCCTCACCTTCCAGGAGGAGGAGGTGCTCAACGTGGACGCCTGCCTGCGCCTTCTGGTGGCCATCGTCCTAGGCGCCTGCATCCTGTGCTGTGTCGTCCTCGGGGTGATTGTCTTCCGGCAGAGAAAGTGCAAGGTATATATATTTTATTTGACTCTCAGGCTTTTAGAATTGAATTTTTTAAAAGTTTCTCATTCTGCTGAAAAATATAAAAAAAATTAGACCGTTTAAAATAGCTTCAAAACAACATTTACAGGAATAACTTAGAATTTAGAAGTACATGTGCCGCTTTACCTTTGTTTTATTTTATTACACAGCTTTAAGCTATTTTAATAACCCCAAATTTTATAAAAAAAAAAGATTAATGATGCCAAAAGAACAAATACGTTATATTTAAATTTATAACCTATCAAAGCTAAATAAAATTGCAATACGTGTATGAACCATACATTTTACAACTCTTACAATTATTACAAATTCTAATGCTAATTTGTAATTTTTAAATTTTAAAAATTTTTATTAGTAAAAAAAAATGTACTAATTACAAATTTGATGATATTTTCAGGCCATTGCCTCGGGCATGTGGACAGTGCTGGAAACGATACTGCTGGGCATTGTTTTACTTTATGCATCCGTAAGTGTTTCCCTTAGTGTTCCTTCCAACTTTTGCCAAATAACTTATTCCCTTTCAGGTTGCCGTCCATTTCTTTCCCGCCTCCACCGAGCGATGTCTGCTGGAGCCGTGGCTCCGCGAACTGGGCTTCATCACCTGCTACGGGGCCATCATCCTGAAGCTGTACCGCCATTTGGTGGACTTTCGCACCCGCAAGGCGCATCGCTGGGTGCTGCGCGACGTGGATCTGCTCAAGTACCTGGGCACCATGGTCTTCGCCGTCATCTGCTACATGGCTGCCTTCACGGCCTCGTCGCTGGACCTCCTGGAAAGCGCCCAGCTGGAGAGTCTCAGGGAAGCGGACACGAACACCTGCCACCCGCTCAAATGGGAGCTGGTCACGCAGACCAGCGAGATGCTCATCCTGTGCTTCGGGCTGCACCTGTCCATCGCCAGTCGGAATGCCAACACGCAGTTTCGGGTAAGATTTACAACTTTACAACCTTAAATACAGTAAATTTGAAATATATCAGTCTAGGAAAAATGGCTTGTAAAAGTTAAAAAATGTATATATTTCAATTAATCTGGTTTCCGTTTTTTGCATTTTCTGTAATATTTGCCTTTATCAAAAAATTCACTTAACATTTTAAAGCAGTATGATGCACAATATAATGATCATTTTTCTATTTCTTGAAATTTTAGGAATTTTATTTATAAATTGTAAGAAATTAATAATATTTTCTGATTCTGTATTTTTTCTAAATTATTATGGTCATCAGGTTAAATGCCTGATAAGTAGATGCTTCTATTAATTCTAAAATATAATGTTATGTTATGTTATCCCTAACATTAAATGAACATAAAATATATATGCCAGCCTCTTAACTTCGATTTAATAAATAGGTAGCTTTTGATCAATTAAGAAGTGAGAAAAAGGCTAATTACGGTTTTTTGTTAAATAAAAAGCAAACTCACTGTAAGCAAACGGCATTAAAATGAATTAACCGGCTATTTCCTTTCGTCCCCAAACAGGAACGGCAATTTCTGGTGACCGCCCTGACGCTGGAGTTCCTGGTCTCGTCCAGCTTCTACTTTCTGCGCTTTGTCTACCTGCCGGAAATGAGTCCCAGCGCCATTCTGCTGGCCCTCTTCATCCGCTCCCAGCTGACGAACAGCTTCGCCTTGGGTCTGATTTTTGTGCCAAAGCTGTGGTATCAGCACAAGCAGGTAACCGACATTAGTTCTCAGCATTTTAATTTACTTATTTTCCTTTGATTTCCTTGGTTTTGAGTGCGCTCTTTAGTTGAACACATTGTGATTTAGTTGGGAGCCGTTGAGTCCTAGTCGGGCTTTAAATATATATGCTTAGAGTATTCTTTACCGTTCACTTTGTGCTGTCTGTCGGTGGCGTGGTCGTCATAATTGTCATCGAAATACGTATTTGGTATTGACATTGGTTGAGGAAACGATTTTTGTTAATAACTAGCCACTACAATTAAATAAATTTAAAAGAGGAAACCCAACCGAAAGTTTTTTTTGCTTTTGCTTAAACAATTGAATTCTTTATTTGGTTATGGTTATTTTTAGTTACTGTTCTGGTTTCATCGTGAAAATTAACATAATTTTAGAATTAAGCTAACATTGAATTGAAACTTTAGTCAAGCTATGAAGTTGCTGCAAGTGTGTCTCGTTTTGTCTCCGAATGTTAGTCTGTTTTTAGCTCCTATTATTTATGCTTGAAACTATTGCACTTTAAATTAACTAGCACGCTATTTTATTTGCATGGTTTACATTCTTTTTTGCATGATTTTTCCAACACAACATCAACTATAAAAACAAATGACAAAAATCGGTTTCCTACAAAATCCAAAATATGCATACCAAAAGAAATCCAATCTAGTGTTTCCAAAATTCTCCTCACTGTAACTATCTCTGTCTTTGTGTCTCTCAACCGAATAATCTTTTAACTGAAATTCTCTGTCTAAGTAGTCTTTTTATAGCTAACGTCCATCTTTTTGAACTTTTGAGTTTCTTTTTTGATTATTTTCTTTTACTTTTCATTTCCAGCACAAAAACAGACATACTCACAACCAATAAGCACCTGCCATTCCACATACATAAATATATACATACATAAATATACATAAAATACATGACCTCCAGCACAGGACTATTCTATTCTATTCCATTCTATTCTGTTTTCGCTCTCTCTTACCTTGAGTTCCATTTCCATTTCCGTTTCCGTTCTCCATTTTCCGTTTTACTTCCTGAGTGTGGTTTGCGGTGTTTGTTGCATCTTCATAGCTTGCAGGTTCGTTCGCTAGCGTATGATCTATCAATACGTTTACCTGTGGATGCTTTCAAGGGTACGTCACACGACGCCGGCCAGCGGCTGGGCGGAGGATATGCCGGGCTCTGTCTGGGCGATCCGGACATCGGGGAGCTGACCATATCCGAAATGAGTCCCGAGGACATACGCGCCGAACTTAAAAGGTACGTCTGACTAGCTCATAAGTTCCGGGAACCTTTACATGCGTGCAAATAAGATTTTAGTTAGTATATAGCCGTTTAGAATAAAATAATAACCTTATCAAATTAATGAACTGCAAAATTTGTATCCCTAAAGGAACACTATACTTTTTAACAGTCATTGAAGCGGTTTATAAAATTGTAACAGAATTTATTAAATTTAAATTTCAAAATAAGATTGCATTGTTGGTCTGCAAGGGCACTCGGTATTCTGTTTCTTGTTTTTCCCAAACTTATATATATATTTACCTCGGCGATTGCAGACTGTACACTCAACTGGAGATTATGAAGAACAAGACTCTGAGGCAGGACAATCCGCACATCAGTAAGCGACGTGGCGGACGGAAGGCGGGTCACCGTCGCTTCTCCCTGCAGGTGAGTCGGGGTCACCTCATCCGGTGTAGCAGTGTGGTCAGTCCACCAGCCATAGTGCTCACTGTACATGACATCACCGAGGCCTTTTTGGGGGGACCGGGCTGTAGGACTCTGTTACTCAGATCGACTGTAGCTGTAACTCTTCAAACCGATACCAAACCTAATGCTGCCCATCCCGAGCTCCCTAGATCTTTCTCTCCCCAGTCTCTCTTTCCGCTTCCGTTTCCGGCTATCTATTTCTATTGCTCCTCCAATGTGAACTCTCAGTATTGTTTGCCACTAATATTAATACATCTATAAATATCATTGTTTTTGTCATGGCTATGTTCAATATAATCGAATCCCACCACAACTAAACCAAACAAAACATTAACCACCAATGTTGAATGTAGAAAAAGGGCAGCAAGGATAAGGTAAGAACTGACGGCCGCATTCTAGAATTCCTAAAACCAAAAACCTTGAACCTAACCCCATAAATAATATCTGTGTTGTGACTGTAAACTAAACTGTAAAAGATACTAAAAGAACTTCTCGCACGTTTGTCTATAAACTTATTCCCAAGTCCCCCGATAAAAACCCAAAAACCAAAACCAATTTGTGTGTCTGCGTGTGTGCATGTGTCCGTCCATAGATAGCACTTCATGTCTAATCCAAAACAGATTGCACACGAAACATAAACAAATAACTAGAGTTTCTAAGATGATAGAGAGTAAAAGTTAACTAAGGTGTATCCCAATTTCGCAGGCTTTAAGTGCCAAACACCGCAGCAACAAGCATCATCAGGACATCGAGATCACCGAGGCGGAACCTTCACGAACGCCCGAGGACTCCGTTTGCAGTGCCGAAGGACCCACGGACACCTATGCGGAAATATCGGGCGTATCCCACTCAATGCTCTCCCACTCGATGGTCTCCCACTCCGTTGTCTCGCACTCAAAGTAGGGAACCCAAACTAAGGCGTTCCGATCGCAGGATCATCAAGGATAGTGTGTATATAAGTATTAAACAGTACGATACATGTTGGTTGATGTAGATAATATGTATATGTTTGTGAGAAATAGTTATTATATAGCGCAACAACAAAAAACAATAAAAGAATTACTTTAATTTCGAAAGGAAAGAAAAAAAAACCAACAGAGATGCATACACAAAAACACACAGAAACAATAACAAACATTACTTTATTTTTAAAGAAGCGAAAAGTGAAGAACCTTGAAAGCAGTCAAGTTTTATAAAATTTTGATAAATTTTTAGACGATTTTACTTTGTTGATTTCTCTCTGTCTTCAGTTCGATTGATTTCGATGATAGGATCACTGATAGATCAAAGTTGAACGAATGGTAGAGCGGTAAAACAGAGCCCACCTGTGTAGGTAACGATAAAACTGTAAAAAACAAAAGCCACAAACATTAAAAGAAATATATAATCCTATTCCTATGACTCGAATTTTTGTTTACGTCTGAGTTCCTCGATAGTTACTAACACTCGATTTGTTTGCCTATTGTTTTGAAACCAACCAATCACTATCTACTAAATCTCTACAACTGATAGAGATATTGAAAGAGTGGAAACACAGCGAAAATCAGTTTTAAAACAGTGAATAATCAGTTGTAAATTTGAGCTTATAGGCATTAAAACTAGTAATTCCCTCATAACTATCGTACGATTTACGTCTTACTAATCTTACCAACTAAAATATATTTGTATTATATATTGTATACTTGTAATTCCTACTCATTCCCATCCAAAATTCGAACGGGGTAAACTTTTTGTAAATACACAATGACGAGGAAGAAATGTAGACAGGAAAACAAATTGTTACACTTTCAAGACACAGAGTTCCCGATCGAGAGTGAAAGCCATAGGAAAATGCTTAATAGAGGCTTAAGAACATTTTTTTTTTAAAACATTAGCCGAACAAATTGTGTCCCAAGAATTATTACACTACTAGTAGATTTCCTCAGTAATTTTCAGAACCCAACCCAGAGCATCTAAAATTCTTTATCCCCTTAAAAGGAAGTTCGTGTTAGAGTATTGAAAAACACAAAGTGAAAACATTTCAAATGTACGCAATAAATTTTGGAGACGCTCGTTATAAAAAAAAAAAATGGGGGAAAACAAGTCCATAGAAAACATATAGTACAGTTACATGGGCATTTATAAGGGTTATAAAAAGTATATCTATATACACCATAACAAATATATAGCGAGTAAAACATGGCAAATGGTTAAATTAGGTAAACTTACAGCATGCATGCAACAAATTGAGCATTTAAAACAAAAGAAGAAAGCAAAACCCAAAAATGATAATTATAAAAAAAAATAAAAACCAACTTTTGGTTGCGTTTGATCAAAAGTGTGTGTATAAAAAAAATATTTATGGCATATACATAAACATATAACTTATATTATATATAAATATATATACATACATATATATGAGTGTAATCCGCATTACAATAAAACCAAAAACGAGAGGCAAACTAAATTAGTGGCTCAGCGCAAAAGACACTACAAAAAAAAAAAACGATTGGAAAAGAAACAGAATACATTTTGAAAGTGTGATAGTGTTCATAATATTCGTTCATTGTAATTAAAAGAGAAAACAAAAACTAAATAAACTAAACTAAATGATTAACTATGGTCTTTTGCTTTTTTTGGGACTTATGGACGTACATATGATATAAAGGAAATTCCCGTTTTTAAAGTCAGTTTTGAATAATCCTCAAATTTTTAAAATACTTTTGATATAATGGAAAAACCCGCTTGGTGCAAAATTTAATTTTAAATTTTCTACAAGCTTTTTAATTATACCTTTTCCGAGAAAAATAAACTTCCAAACGACCCTTTAAATTTTTTATATATAATCTTTCTACATTGTTGGACTTTATTTCGTATATATAGATCCTTTTTATATATTTTAAATTGAAATATTGCTCGAATATTTGCTAGTTTTTGTCACGTAAATTTAGATTGCAAGTACATACATTTATAGTCGTAATATCTATTTATATATTTAATAATAATAAATTTTGCTTTAATTACAATTTAATTTCTATTTACTCACTTGCTTACGTTCGTGTTTGTGTGTCTGTTGTCTGGCTTCGTTTTTGGATTCGTGGCTAAGATCTATTAGTTAGTCGGTATTTAGTACGTATCGTATTCAACATGATTAGTTTCGTGATGCCGGCATTCAATCATTGGAAATCACTTACAGCTGAGTTAATTTGCTTTCGTTTCGTGTTGCGGTTAGTTAAGCTTGGATTTAGCTGTTTGCTTTTGATCGTCAACTCATCTCGGTTTATTTAAAACTTAAAGAATTACAATAGTTTAGTACTTAGAATTTATTTTGGTTTTACATGCGCTGCGCATCGTTTGTTGCTGTGCTATGTGCCATTAGGTAGACAATTTGTTTGAGTGTATTATGCATTAATATTAGATACATGTTTATATATTTGTTTACTTTATAATTATATAACACTATGTTATAAAAATGTACATGGTTTTGGTTTTGGTTTTGCTACAGTTTTAGTTGGTTTAGTACGTACAACTCTTGCAAGTAATCATTTGCTGGTTTAAAAAACGCTTTTAAGTAGTCGTAAAAATGATGAATCCATATTTATATATATTACAAAAACAACTTCAAGCTTCTTTATCAAAAGTATCAATTATGTAGATCTTTATGTTAAATTTGTTTAATCTTCTAGTTTGGCGCGTAAAGCTGTGTTGCGTTTAGCGTAAATTTCTCATTTTGATTTGCCTTAAATACTTTTTGTCTTGCGTTAAAAATGCAAATTTTGTAAAATTAATTTCTTAGTTATTCTTTTTGTTTTACATTAGTTTTTTATACAATCTCACTGTTAAGTTTAGCTTAACAAACAAAAGCAGCGCTTTCAACTTAAATAATTTAAAAAATAAACAATGGTTAACATTCATCAATAAAAACAAGCTAAAATGATTAAATCATTTAGTTAATTAAAAGTAAATAAATTTTTAAAGCCAAAACAAACGAGATCCTGCTCGTGTGCAAATAGTAGAATAGAAATGACTAAATTTCGTATTGGTTCTTCGCCATTTCCTCTATGAGTTGAAATTTTGAAAAGGAGTTTTCATGTAGAATAAATAATTTTGTGTTGTTTTGAGTTCGAATAATATAAGTTTATAATTTAAGAAATAATTTAAGTTTTGCGCGTAGACATGAGTTTACCTTTCTTTGTTTTGTTGATTTTCAATAACATTTACAAACAAGTTCAGGAAGTATTAAAAATAATATTGCCACAAAGTATATGAGTAAAAAATATTTTCTCTCTCTTTATAAATAATAAATGTGTGTGTGTGTGGGTGTGTAGTGTGTTGTGTTGTGTTTTGTTGGGCTTGTGGGTACAGCGCCGCGCGTAAGTGAGTGTGCGCTAAGGAGTCACCATATAAAATCTCATAGAATAACAAAATATTATATACGATATACATACATAGAGTGTATAAAAATAAAATTGCAAAACATCTACATAACCAAATAATAATAAAAATCAAAAATCGATTGCAATAACTTAAACATTCTACGAACTGTACGCTAGTTTAGTACAACTTTGTTTCTATTTTCCGTGTTAACCGAAATGAAAGTATCTAATTTAGTAATTTAATCTAGCAGCACTGTGAAGAGATTTGCCAGTCGTTGGTTGCGTTGCATCCGCTTCAGTTAACGCCCATGTGTTGTGGGTGTTTCTCGTCTTTGAAAAGGTCTTTCATTTGGGTTGCTCAACCCGTTGTCCATCCCGCTTCCGTTTCCGTTTCCGCTTCCGTTACCGCTGGCGCTCCCCTATGCCGATGGTTTCTTGGGATCTGAATCGGAGTCGACGGACGACGGCGGCGGAGGAGGAGGTGCAGAAGGAGAAGCAGAAGGAGGAGCGGCTGGGGCAGCAACGGGCATCTGGCGGCCACCGCCCGGCCTGCCCTAGAGCGGATGCAGCTTGGTCGTGTGCACCGTGAGGGCACTGCGCTGCGTGAAGCGCTTGTCACAGTACGGACAGGTGTACGGCTTCTCGCCGGTGTGCGTCCGTATGTGCTTGGTGAGGTAGTCCTTCACGCTGAAGGACTTCTCGCAGTACCCGCAATGAAACGGCTTCTCTCCTGCAAAACAGCCAAAAACGGCGAAACGGAGAAAGTTGGGACACTCTGTTAGCACTTGTCGCTAGCACAACGCCAGTTTGCTTGGTGCGTGCAGTACCAAAAGGTTTGATTGATTTGATTTGATTTGATTTGGTTTGATTGATTGACTGAGTTGGTGATATGTGTGGGTACAGTGGATATGTATGCATATCAAATAAGGTTTGCACGTAATCAAACTATATCTATAGATTATATATTATATGTGTGTGTATATATATACTTAGTTGGTGTTGTTAAAATGCATTTGAGACATATTATTACGTAATGAGATGAGGCGGCGGGCGATACGGATTTGGATTATCATATTGCTTTGCTACCCTCACAGCAAGCTTACTAAATAATAATTGTGGTTTTATTATTCACTTACTTCTGTGAGGGTATGTAAACAGTGACTCAAACGTTTCGTTATTTGTTGCTAATCGGAAGAAGATGGCAAAAATTCAACACCCTGTAAATCACCTGCTGGAAATCTATCTATCTTTAAGAAAAAGCAAAAACTATACTTTTGGTTGTAACCTTTAAAATTTAAAGTGGTTTAAGGAATAAGTTCTATTGTAAGCAATTTGATAGTCGAAATGTAATATTATGTAATATTTCATTATTTGAACCGTAGGCTTCATAAGTTCATCGATTTTTATTAAGTACAATTAATCCTTAACAAATATTTAAAGAATAAATTGTCTATTGCTTAGCTATTCAAAACTTACACTCAATTGTAAGCCTCTTGCAACTCTATTACTAAAAATGCAACTGCTGCATCGTTTACAACCAGCTTCAGAGCAGATTTCAGTTATTTTAGGCATTTTTTTTAAAATTTATCATGTGATAATCCTAACAAGATCCTGATTTTGGCTAATCAATTGCCAATTTTTGCCACCTTTTTCAGCGTGCTTTTCTGCGCAGGCGCTGCGGCGGCTCGTGTCAGGTGATCGAGCTTCGGCAGCGTCGCTGGCAGAAGTGAAAGATTGATATTGATATTGGTACTGATAGATTGAGATTGAGCGAGTTTGTGTATGGCAAATGGAAATGGACTTGCATACAGAGGTTTCTCTTTTTTTGAGTATTGCTTTTTTTCTCATCACTCTGAAGGTGATATACTGATCGATTGATTGGTTGAAAAGTCGATTGATTGGTTGAGTTGATTGAGAGCTGATTGACTGACTGAATTGATTTGAAAAATATTTCTTCTCACCCGTGTGAGTCGTTAAATGTTTGTTCAGGTAATCCTTAACAGTGAACGCCCTGCCACAATAGCCACATCTAAATGGTTTCTCACCTGTATGTATGCGAGTGTGCTGTTTTAGTGTATTCGATTGAGTGAAGGACTTGCCGCAGTAGGAGCACGTGTAGGGGCGTTCTTTGGGCGTGGCGCTGTCGGAGTTGCGATTCGGAGAGTGGAGATTCGAGAGTTAACAATTATACATATTCATATTCACAAAATAACGCGCAGAAATGGAGAAGAGAGAAAGATAGAGAGAGAGAGAGAGAGAGGGCGCGGGAGAAAAGAAAGAAATTCGAATTATATTATTAGTAACACTCGATTTAAAAATAAGTTGCAAAACAAACGACACACGAACGCATGGGCCACGTCCCAAAAGCTTCGAGGGCGCGCCCATGCGCCCAGCTGGCCCCGAAGGAAAACAAAAATAAAATATATACAAGTGGTAAGAATATTAGGGTTAGCTTGGCGATCGCCCTGCCTCAGATCCAAAGGGATGCCCATTAGAACAGTCTATGGTTCCCTTTGAGCTGGAGCTGGGAAGGCCTTAAATGAATAACGGGTACTCCTGCAATGATTTACTAACCCTTAGGTGATACAAAATGAATTAACCATTTATAACTATAGTTAACCATTTAAGAATATACTTTAAAAACCTATTAAAATAGTTACTTTTGATTCTTTGGGCAGCTCAAATATTTTTAAGAGATCTACGCAAATGCCAGAATTTTATTAATCTACTAAAATAAATTGGCTAGACTTATAACATGAGACATTAGAAAAATACGCCTAAATTATCTACTACATAAACAGATTTTAAAACTATTCACAACATCTAACATAGCTTGAATTATTTCTAATATCTCAAGAATAGCTTTCATCATATGTCAGTTACTCAGTAAATCTTTAAATATCTGCAACTATTGGAATTTTAAGAAGACTAAAATATCAACTAAACTGGCATACTTAATTTTGATCTTTAGCTTTAATTATTACTATCTTCTACTCTATTCACCAATGTTTAATTTGAATCTTAATTAATCCCTAAGAGATCTGCAATATCATGGCATTTAAATAAGATTCTAATTTTGATTCTAATTTGCTTTTCAAACAGCCCTAATTCGATAGCTATCATTGCCGGAATACCCAGTCAGTAGGATGCATATAAAATGGATTTACTCTGCTTCGCCTGTGTGGATCTTGCGGTGCATGGCCAGCGTGCCGGGCGTCTTGAAGGTCTTCGGGCAGTCGGGGCATTTGTGGCGGATCTTGTGCGCCAGATCGGCGGGCACCGTTTGCGTGCCGACGAGCACACCGGAACCGGCCGGGGCGGGAACACCGGGATTCGCTTGTATGGCATAGACGGGCACTGAGTTGACCACATCACCACTGTCGCTCAGGCTGAGTGGCTCCTCCTTGATGATCACCTGCGGATGGGCCACAATGGCACCGCCTCCATTGGCGTTTTTGTTCAGCTTGACGGTAAGTGGAGGCACCTTCAGCGCCACCTGGTCGCCGGCGAGATCCTGATCCTGTTGCTGGTGGTGATGCACCTGCTGCTGCTGTTGCGCCTGCTCCTGCATCTCCCGTTGCTGCTGCTCCAACAGTTCCTGCTGCTGCTGATGGTGGTGGTGCTCCGCCTGCAGCTGCTGTTGCTGGTGGTGCTGCTCCTCGGGCGTCAGTCTCATATCACGGGGCGCCATCGCCGGCAGCTGTTCGTCGGGCGTCACCGCCGCCTCCTGCTGCTCCATGAAGCCCTGCTGCCCGGCGGCCAGCATGGCGGTGGTGCAAATGGAGCCGCACTGCGTGCACTTGTACTCGTTGGGCTGCTGGGTGGCCGAGTGGATGCCATAGATGCTGCACATGAGGCAGCGGGCCAGGAAGGCGGAGGCCTGGTGGACCAGCCGATAGTGTTCGTCCAGGTCGACGGTGTTGCCGAATTTCTCATCACAATTGAAGCAGGCATGGCTGGGCTTGAGGTGCTGTTGTGGTGGTGCCTGTGACGGATGACCGCCCTCCAGCGTGGAGGCGATGGCTCCCTGTGCGTTCAGCGTGATCCCGTGGCACAGCTGCATGTGTTCCGCGGCGTGTTGCGCCCGCTCGAACTGCTGGTGGCACATGGGACAATAGTGCGCCGTCACGTGTACATTGGGGTCCATGCTGAGATTGGGCAGAAAGGCGGTCTTCAGGGTGTCCATGTTGGCTATCACGGTGGCCACTTGGTGCGTGGGCGTGGCAGGGGCGGCGGTGGTGGAGGAAGGGGGGCGGCGGCGGCGGCGGATGCGGCTGATCCTCGGGGCGTGGCAGACGCTGTTCCTGTGGATTCGTTGTGGACTTTATCATTTCACTTCCTCTGGTTGTTGAAGGTTTCGCTCTTTCTTATGTTTTTTCAATTTTTTTTTTTTTTTTTTTTTTTTTTTTTTTGTTAGTGGGCAGGAGCAGGAGCAATTGGCGGTTAAAGAAGGCGAAAGCCGCTGCAGGACAATAATAAAAAACCATAATTACAGGCGGCCAAAAGCGGTTGTGGTTGCGTTGTGTGTGTAAGAATGTTTTTGTGGGTGTGTTTGTGTTTTATTCGAGTGGCAATCGCAAGTTAGCAAAAAACCCAATCGGAAATCAGAAATCTTCTTCTGATCTTCTGCATTTGACCCCCAATGTCCCCCCACACAGCGGCTGTGGATGAAGAAGAAGAAGAGGCAGCAGCAGCAGCGGCAATGCGTTCGAATTGAAAATTTTTTTCAGTCTGTCATATTCTAAATTCGGAATTCTATTTTGATTGCTTTTTCGGTCTCTCGTTTTGTTTCCATCTTTCTTACCAGCGCACACACTGAATATTTACTGCACCTTGTTGTTGCTGGCGGCCGTTTCTGTTCTTCTTTTTTGGAGCGGGGGTCACGAAAACGCTGCGGCGGCCAATCAGTTTAATAACATTTTCTCCTTTGTACAACAAAAAAACGTATATTAACAAAAAAAATTTTTCACTTTTATTATTATTTTTGGCGAAAAATGTACAACTACAACAAAAAGTATCGAGTACTGGCATCGGTACGGTGAATGGCAACGCCGCTCTAAAACTGGACATCTGGCAGCCCTGTTTGTGGCCGCAACTGGGCACACTGCCATATCGATATCCAGCTTTTGGACAAATAAAAATAAGCAGACATTTCAAGAACATATGTAATAGTTTTTGAAGAAAAAAATACAGAAGCAAACGAATAGCATTACTGAAAATTAAGATAACAAATATAAAAAAGAATCTTTTTAAAACGTATTACAAAAAATTTTAACATATAAATTATGTACAGTTTATAAAACAACAGTAAAATACAAATTCTCTTTCAACTTATTGACTATAAGTCGAAACCAGGTTTTAAAACATCTTATTATAACAGTTATTACCATTAATGTAAATTATTTGAAGGAAATTAATTTTATTAAATAATTTTAAATTGTCAAAGCTTTGATTGCATCGGCTGGCAACGCTGGCGCCCAAGCGATATAAATTTCGTGAACTTCGCTCATCTCTAATTGCCAGCCATCCCGTCTTATAATTTCACAACCATTGGAAAAATATATATATTGGCGAAATACAAGGGAAATACTATAGCAAAATAGCCGCAACTGCCTTCCTGGTGAATTGGGCGTCCATTGCGCCTTAAATTTCACTTGTCCTCCATCGCGGACGCATCAAATCCGCCTGCAACTAGCTGCTGGTCAGGACTAGCACCGAAGCTTGTTTGTTTATTGGCCCGCTAACTGCCACAATTACCACCGATATAGATCTTGATCTTGTCAAGCCAAGTGCCAAAAGGTTTGTCGATTTACGGCCCAAAATTACAAGTGTATTGAATACCTGTCCAATTTCGCAGAATGTCGTCTCCATGGGTTAAAAGCAGCGAGCCAGTGCAGTCGGTGAATCTGGCGGACATAATGTCCGAGCAGTATGCCCACAAGTTGCACGACAAGGAGTTACAGCGCCACACGGAGAAGCTTAAGAAACCAGAGCAGGAGATAGCCTCCATTTGGGAGGCGGCAGCCTCATCCCCGCCAGCTGCCAGCTACTCCGATGTAGCGAGCTGTTCGGCAAGGAATTCAAGCGATAGCGAGGAGTGGGAGGATTACTCAGCTCTACTCACCGACGGTGGCATTCCGACGGAGGGTAACCAGCTGCCAGAGGACAGCGATGCAGTGATTGCCCAACTGCTGCAGTCCCAGTTCGATCACGAGTACAACGAAGAACTGCGTCGCATCGAACGGCAGCAGAACAAGCAGTCCAAGGTCACGGTTACCCTCAATAAGTTCCTACGCGATGGCGACGCCGAGTTTCTGCACGACACCCTCGGGGAGGACTACGAGGAGGATGAGGTGGAGCAATTAAAGCATGACTGGGATCGGTTTGAGGACAACGAACGGCAGCTGGAGTCTATTCCTCGCTGTGGCTTCAAAGTAAACAAGGAGGGCGAGATGATCACCAAGCACGATCCACAATTGTGCGCCGTGCGCAATGCTCAGCGGGTGATGTCCTTTCCGCCGGAGTTTCCCACCGGCGATGCCGCTGGCTTTGACATGAAGCTGTCCAACAAGGTGAGAGGTGACCAACTAAAGAAAATATCAAGACTAAGAATTACTTTGTAGGTCTTCAACCAACTGAGAGCCCACTCTCGACGTGGTCGCTCCGATAAACATGAAAAGGTGGCCACCGCCGAGATGGGTTTGGATGCCAGCACACGCCTGCTGCTGTACAAGCTGATCAACAACCAGATACTAGAGCAGATCAACGGCATCATATCCACGGGAAAAGAGGCGGTCATCTTGCATGCCAATTCCGACACGAATTACACTGACACCAATGAGCATGGTCATCAGGGCGGTGTGCTGATGCCGGCGCATCTGCTTCCTCGCGAGTGCGCCATCAAGATCTTCAAAACAACGCTCAACGAGTTCAAGCAGCGTGATCGGTACATCAAGGACGACTATCGGTTCAAGGATAGGTTTAGCAAGCAGAATCACCGAGTGATTATCAACATGTGGGCGGAGAAGGAGATGCATAACCTGATGAGGATGCAGGCCATAGGCCTGAATGTTCCTGATGTGGTTGTGCTGAAGAAGCACGTGCTCGTCATGCGGTTCATCGGCGACAATCACAATGCGGCGCCCAAGTTGAAGGATGCGAGGCTGAATGCCGCGGAACTAAGTTGCGCCTACGAGGAGATTGTGGCCGCCATGCACAAGTTGTACAATGAGGCAAAGTTGGTGCATGCCGACATGAGCGAATATAACATACTCTGGTTCGAGGGTAAGTGTTGGTTTATAGATGTAGCCCAAAGCGTCGAGCCGAAGCATCCCAGTGCCCTGGAGTTTTTGATGAGGGATTGCGGCAACATTGTGAACTTCTTTGAGCGACGCGGCCTGCCCAACATCTACACCAAGGAGCAGTTGTTCGAGTTCATTACCGGACTCAATGCTGAGGTTCACAATGCCGCCCAGTTGGAGCAGATACACACGCGTGGAGCTTCCATCAACCAGGCCACTGCTCCGAACCAGGAGGAGTGTCCCGACGAACTGAAGCCCCTGGAGTATCCCTTTGAGTTGGCCTGGGAGAAGTCTCAGAAGGACCGTGAGGCCAAAAAGGCTCTCCAGCAAACGCAGGATAATGACGATAACGAAAACGACACAGATAAGGATCAGGAGAGCGATGGCAGCCATAACGATATTGACGACAAGGAAAAGATCAACAAAACTGCCAAACATTAAAACTTAAAAAGTGAAGCCTCAGTCTCTAGTTTAGTTTCTAATTGATATTAACGATTTGGTCGCAGCGATTCTACTACTTTTATTTTACAAACTCCAAAGGAAAAATAATGATGCTATTAGTCACAAGTTTTGACTATAAAAGATCCTTTAAAACAAGAATAAAGTTGTTTAATTTCCGCTCAAAATTGTTATTGATACAAAAAATGTTTATATTTTCAATATATTTTATAAGAAAGTTCAAATTGGGATATATATTTTGAAGGCTACTGATCTTGAATAACCTTCAAAACTTATTGAAAGTGTCAAGTTTATTCCGTAAGAGCTCTCTTTTTCTCGTGCGCTCCGCTTTGCATATGATGCACTCTACTTGTTACGGATATTTCTGCTAATAGCTTTGATCTTGAATTGTTATTAATCAATTAAGATTAATGCAAATGTCGGGCCTCAGTGGCCACACGCGCCACGCCCATCTTCCGAATCGGCTAACCCGGCAATTGAACCCATTTGATGCGCAGTTTTCCCATTAATTGGGAGATTTGTCGGTTCAATCGAATCTCTGATCAGATGATTACGTATAAAAATTCTATGCCCAGTGCACGCGTCGCTGTTTTGTCTGCTTGCCGGAACTAGGTGCATCTATCTGTATAGTGTGGATTCGTTAGCAGGTTGGACTTTGCGAAATATAGTAGTTCATGTGTGACGTCAGAATCCAGTTGCTAGCAGTTCTGTGCGTACTTATATTGTGTATTGATTTTGTTAAATTCTGTGGAGCTTCAGATTCAAAGTCTGCTTCGGACTACCCTTCCTTATCAACAGGGGAATTTTTAAGCACTACATGTTCCACTTTATAGTTGAAGTGTTTTGATGAAATAATAGCAAGCATTACAAAATCAGAATATTACATTAACCACTCAAATTAAAACCTTTTCTTGATTTCTTAACCCGATTTTATTTCTTATTTTCTTTTTCTATAAATTCTATAAAGTTCAGCAACCGATTTATTCGAGCTAATAGGCTGTTATTTATTATTTATTTGTTGTTCGAATTAATATTTGTTTTAGTTTTTTTTATATATATTTTTTAAAACATCAAACTATGGCTTTTTACATAACATGTTTTAGAAAGATCTTTAGTTACATTATCAGTAAATCTAAAAAGTTTTCTGTATTGAAATCGAAACCCGTTAGCCGTGTATTTCCATTTCCGTCACCCCAGTTTCAATTCGAGTTCAATTTCAATTGCTCTGATTCGCTTTGGCTCTTGTTGTGCAGTCGTCAATCTAAATTGAACTTTCTTTCGATCATCAGCACACGCAGCACTGCATCCCTCTACTGTTTGTTGTTTATTTGCGGCGCTTGCAAGTGGAAAATATTATTTATTTTTGATTTCTGATTGAAAGCAGCACATTTGACGTTGGCAACAGCAGATCTGAAAAAAGCATCTTCTATTAGCGTCTCTTGAAACTGTGATACGAGTGGCTATATATGCATGCAATTATATATGTATATGTGCCTGGCGATTAGTGTGCGGTTATATGTAACGTTGAGGACCCACACATCGATGCCATAAGGGGGCCCGACTTCGTCCGATGGTGACGCAAAGAAGCACAAGAAGAAGAGCCGAAGACGCACAAGGGGCGTGGGGATGGAAGTTGAAAATAGACGCACGAAATCCACGAGTTGGAGCAACCAACACAGAACTGTAAAAAATAAAACTCATAAGTGGGTATGTATGTATGTATGTATGCATACTTGTATATTTTCTTATCCCCAATAAAAACAAAAGCATGTGTTGAAATAAATGTGTCATTCGCATTTAGGATCGAACAATAAATTTATTTTTTGCACTAACACTAAGAAACAAATAGACGTATTAAAAGTGCACTTAAAATTATTTCAAAAAGAAAGATTATTTGATACGGCTACACTTTTGCAAGATCACAAGAAAGTTCAATATTATAATACTAAATAAAAATTTGTTTTAAGTTAAATGTATTCTAGAATAATGTGTAAGGACTTTTCAGTTCTAATACACATTTCAGGGAATTTTATTTTCTCTGTGAGTTTGTTGGCATTAAAAATGGTTCGATAAGTAAAACCCAATTAGTCACGAACAATCTGTAACAAAATGGTCTCTTAAGTTTCATATCTCCAATAAAGATTTCTAAGAAATAATACTAATTTCAGGGAATTTCGAAACTGAAGGAGCACTTGAAACCAGCTTTCATTGTGGGACACATAAAAAAGCACGAAAACAAGTCACAGCAATAATCATAATGAAAGACAGAAAGAAGTAAGCAAAAAAGGCTTAATAAAGAGAGAGAAAAATACCAAACAAAGCTATAAACTCAGACATTGCGTTTGGATCATCAATTAAAATGTGCCAGGCATGTAATCAGGCGCTCCAGCTCGAATTCCAAACATCAGTGTCCAGTCCCCGCTCCTTGGGTGAAAAAGTGGGCTGACCTAGGCATAAAATTAATTAGGCTCACAGAGAAAAATTATTTAACAAATTGTAAGACAACTGTTAAACTCTTCTGATCTTTAATTCAAATATTTAAATTCCTGTGTAGCTCCTTAAAGTAATAAAAATTTTAAAATTCACTTTAAACAATCTTGATGAGGGATAATTATTAAAATTGTAGTTTTCATATTTGCTTTTTACAATGATGGTGGGGGTATTTTTTTCATGTGTAGCCAATCACTAACACACACGCGCCACTTGACAGTGCGAAAAGGAAGAGGCAGAGACCGAAAACTTCGGAGGAGGCTCGTCGTGATCTTGGGGCTGCTGCGCTGCCTCTGCCTCTGCCTCTGACGCGGTCGCTGCCTTCTGCCTCTGCCTCTGCCGACGCGATCGTGATCGAACTGACCTCAAGTGGTCGCTGCCGCCAGACCCTCCCCATTCCCCACTCCCCCCTTCCCCCACCATACCTCCCTACCATCACTCCTCGCCCCACCCATCCATTCCTCCCCGCTACATAACACACACTTTTGCACACGCGGGATGTACGCAGACTGGAATTTGCGCGTTTAAAGTTAACAATTTATTTGCATTATTAATTTTCATGTTGGACCTCCTGCCGTACACAAAAAAAAATGTATTCCCAACGCTAGCTAATACTAACTCTAAATCATTTCTGGCTTGTGTGTTAAACAATAAAACTACTGTATTACTTTTTTAATTATTTTTTTAATAATTTTGTTTACATAATGGCATGTCTACTTTAAATGGTGTACACTGTATTACTTAATTTTAAGATAACAAAAACCGTTTATCTTAATGCTTGTCAAGAATATGATATCTTATTAATTCTATCGGCTTTGGCACCCTGTGATCGATGATCGTTGACTTAATTTAGTATTTTTATGAATGAATCAGTTATAATTTGACTTTTGTGAATGAGTTAGTAGTTATGAATAATTGATGCTCTTTCTTTTCAATTAACAAAGTTCAATTGCCAATTTAAGTCAAAAATGTATAAAGATCTACATCTTTTTTGTTCAAACTTGAAACTTTTTTATTTTTTTAGTGTACGTACGCAAGTTGGTCAAGCCATGTCTGTCGTCCTCCTTTACTCCTCCGATGCTTGACTTGGACACTTGGGCACTTGGACAGCGGCATCTTCTATTTTAGGTCTAACTTGTTAACTAGTTGCTGGCAACCGGCTTCAGGTTGCCGTGGAACGCGAGTATGTAATTCAAGTTAGCTACAAAAATAGAACCTTAATTTATTGTTACCATTACATTGTCCGATCGTAGTTGGCAGTAGCTGTCCTTACATGGTCATATCATTTTCATTTTTCATGGTGGCGCATCTACACGCCCCTTTTTTTCTACTTGTTGTTAAATAAACGCTGACTTAAGCGAAAGTGAAATCTACTGTGGTCTAAGGAGAAGTTCAGCATTCTTAAGTACAGTAGTCGAAAGAGTACACATATCGGTAACAAATCCTAAACTAACTAGAAATCAATTAATCTGTAACAGTGGCAAGAAGTTATGATCTACGGAACGAAATTCTTTTTGTTATTTATATATTTTATTACCCAACTTTGGCAGACCTTAACCTACATTGCGGGAAATTAATTTATATGGCTTACTGCTATTTTTAACCAATCGTAAATCTTACTTTGTTTTCGTTGTTTGATCTTTAAAACTGTGCACAGAGTTTTAATACATTAATTCCGATACGCTAAAATATTAAGTAGGTCATAAAATGTATTAACTTTCGATGAATTGTGGTAAAAAATTAAAGATTAAAGAAATTAAGGAAATCGAACAATCTTTATCGTTATAGGAAAAGCGAAAAAATTGGTTTTAGATGCTTTAAAAACTATATTTTAATATTTGTCTTGCCTTTGAGTGTTCACTGTATTTGTCTAGCAAAGCTGCTGGCGTATAATTACCGATTTCTCTGCCCTCAGGACGACACTACGATCCGAGTTAATTATAAACTAGGCACATGACCACGCCCATCACGTCGCCAACTACGCCCCCGGCCTTTCTGACGCCGTCTTCATAATCTTCTAGGGCATTCAGATGCTCTGTTCCGAAAAGAAAAAAACGAAATTTCGTGATAAACACATTGACAAACACGCTTAATTGATGTTTCAAAAAAAAAAAAAAAAAAACAGTTCGAAGTGTCATCGCAATTTAAGGCGAAAAACTGTTTCAAAAATAATAATAAAAATTGACAGGCACATGCTAATGAAGGTAAGCGTTCGCCAAAATGAACCTGATGAGGTTTATTAGGCTTTTGCTTGATTGCCGAACGAGTGGCGAGAGTACAATACAACAAATGGCCGAAATGGCCAGAAACGTGTTTCCAAAAAAATCACCTCCAATATGTCTGTCACGTGAGACGATCGAAACGATCGCGACGGATCGGCGATGAGTCAGCGACCCATGTGCCCCCGAGCGTTTTCAATATGCATGCGTATATTCGCGGTACTCATTAATAAACCGCAAACATATTTGAATGTACGAGTATGCGATCTGGAGGCGTTTACCCTTGACCATGTTTTGACAACCAACATTACCACATGGGCAGATATGATAACTTAAAACGGAGGACCGTTAGGAGCCGCGGGGACAACCCAATCCCGATATAACATAATCCGAAACAATCGATCTACACTCGCTTACCTGGGCAATAACTCACTTTTGGCATGTGCTGATTGACGGACAGATGTTTCCACAGGGGTTCCTATATACACATATAGGTATAGGTAGCCATCTATCTACCTGGTTCTGCCTGTGTTCAGATTTCTCCAGATTCCGCCGGCTTGTTTACTAACATCGCACACAAAACGTGGTGGCAAAATGGTAATACGAAGCCCTTCAAACGCGGTATTGCCAGTCCGAAAAAAATCGTAATTGGCTAAAAATAGAAATCTTAGTGGAAAACTAGAGCTTATGATACTCTAGTTTATATCCTAGATTTGGTGGGGCACTTTGTTAAGATCTCAAAAGTGTTTGAAAGGCATCAAAATAAAAACCAAGCAAACACAATATTTTTCTGTCCACTTTTTTTACACAATCAAAACAAAGGGTCGACGAAGATTGTGATCTAAATTTATGCAAGATGCCTTACCTGTACGGAATAGCGGACACCAAGTTCCTGGTACAGAAGGTGAAAACGAGGACCAAGCCCAAAACGGAAATGGCACAGACCAAATTCCGGCGGAATGATTACCTCCAGGGCTGTCCCAAATACGATAAGAACGATGTACCCATTCAGTTCAGGACATCGCCCGACTCACTTGTAGAGCTGTGCTCCATTGTGGTGGACAAGCTCCCGCTGCCTTCGATCTTCGAGTGGGATGACATGGACATTAGGCGCTGGATAAATGGCTACGGCTATCATCAGTATATGGTGGGTAGAGGATTGAATAACTTTATAACTTCTAAAGCAATGGCTCGATTTTCGGATATTTAACAGAATACCTTCCGAGTTAACATGATCTCTGGAAGAAAGCTGCTTCTGTTGGACGCCGCAGCTCTGTGTGCAATGAATATCAAAGATTTCGAGCACATTAAACATATCGCCTACGGCATTCGCATGCTGTTCCACTTCGAACTGACCAAGTTCTCCTCCAGCCTGGCGCTGCCGGATGAGAAGCCCAACGAGCTGTACCTGCTGTTCCACACGCAGACCGGAATGAACTATGATGAGGTGCGCAGGTCGGATCTGTACCGACGCATGCAGATCCTCCGGGAGCGGGCCCGCAACCTGGACCACTGGGATCTGCTCTATCTGTGGCTGCGGCGCGAGCAGGAGCGCAAGTACAAGGAGTTGATCGGTATGGCTCCTCGAAGTAGCATGTACAAGTGCGTGGCGGCGGTGGATGAACCGGCGGAAGTGGAACCCGAGGAGCTCATATGCATGACGTGCATCCCGCCCTGCGAATGCGACTGGACGGATCGGGACATCCGGCTGCCGAGGCGCCTCACGTGCTTACCACCCGTGCTGGTCACCACCATGAGCAAGTGGAACGCCAACCAGGCCCACTGTACAACCTGCATCCCGCCCTGCGAGTGCCGCTGGCCACCGCGCTACTACCTGACCGGCACCGTAATCCGGTGCCTCCAGCACCGCTTCCCCGAGAAGTTCAGCCCCATCTTCGACGAGCGATACCGCGCCTCGCCGCGTCCCAGTCTCGTGGAGCGCTGGACCCGCTTCTCCATTTGACTTGGAACATCCTCTATCCTTTTTATTATAAGAGCAATACTAGGATGCTTTGTGCCAGCAAAAATGTCAAAAAATTAAAATGATTTGAGCTTATACTGATATTATGTACAGAAAGTGAATTTATTGTATTCATATTGTTGGTATTAGTTGCTGTTATTTAATCTTTATTTTACGATTTTTTAATGCTGGAAAAATTTAGATTTTTTAAAGATCAACTAAGGAAAATATAAATATGTTCTTATCTTTCAAAAGCAAGTGGAAATTAAGTTTATAAAATTTGCTTCAATGTTTGTCAAGAAATCCCTGCTTTTAAATTTTAGATTTGCATCTTAAAATTAATCAACGAAAGAATAAAAGATCCCTTAAATAAATTTGTAAATGGCTTAAGTCTTATGTTTTTTGTGATGTGTTACAAAGTAAATCAATTTAAAGATCCTATATTTTATTTTTCCATATTGGCTTCAGGAATTTCCATATTGTAATTGCATTTGTGTTCCGAGCACTCCCAAGCCCAAAGCTGCGCCCTACTTCAATCATAATAACAAAGTAATATCTGTTTCAGAAAATCTACAGTATTTCATCACATCTATAAACTGAATGTATAAGTTGTTATTAGCATCTAAGCTGTTTTTAAAACAAATAAATCTCTCAACAGTGAGCTATTAATCAACAAAATGTCTGTCAAAACAAAAGCTTCCTGCGAAAAACTAGGCACTAACTTTGTAAGAGAGTCATTGCTTTGGCAGCAGTTTTTTGCTGCCGAATCGAACGCTGATAAAGTACCTTTGTCAAATCGCGACACATTTTCGCCGTTAGGGGGTTAACTATCCGTTGCGATTTGGCCCGATCACATCTGGATAATGGCAGCTGGGCAATCGAGCTGACAGCGCCAAAAGAAAGTAGGGAAAGGAGAAAGAAACAAAGAACGCAGGCGAGGGCAAAAACAAGACGAGCAATAAGGTACAGCATAAAAATAAAATATACGGCTCGCAAGAATTTGAATTTTGCATCCCACGAACAACAACGACGGACGTCAGCAGCGACGGCGGCAGCAACGGCAGCAGCAACAGCAGCAGCAACAGCGACAGCGGCAGCGACAACAGCAACATCAACGGCAACTGAGCTGCCGGCGTCGCTGTCGTCGAACCGCTTGGCCGGAGGAAAGAAAAAGCAGCCGACGAGCGGCCGCATTTTCAGTTCAGTTTCAACGCTCCGAGTGAAGTGAACACAAAACATAGCAAGAGCAGAAGCAGCAGCAGCAACACCGAGCGCACAGCAGCAACATTAAGCAGCAACCAGCAACATCGACTCGATTTCGATTTCGAAACCGCTCGACTCAGTTCTAGAATTGCCTGCGCTTGCGCCAGAAAACTCATCTTGTTTCGTTTTTAAAACATATATATAATCAACAGCTGTCCGTTCAGTACTCTAAAACTGTTTTTGTCCGGAGTGTGTGTAGTTCTCTTGTCTGGTCTTTCCGATCTTCATATAACGGAAATCTGTTTTGAAATATCAACCAACGAAAAAAAAAGTAAAATAAATAAGTAAAGACGAAAATAAACAACACACGTGCGGTTTCTTTGCGGTCCTCACGCGGTTTCCGTTCGCTGGGTGTGTGTTGTTCTATGCAAATCGGCATAAATTTAATTATTCAGATACAGATTGCTAATCGGTTTGTGCTGAACAAATTATATAATTTGCCATAAACAACTAACATTTGTTAGTTGTCGCTGCGGTTATCGACGAGTGCAAGGTGGGTTGCAGTATCTAATGCAAATATTACTAACAATCCGTCTCGATTGTGATACAATTACAATTATTAATAGCCAACTGGCGCTTAATTAGATCTAAGGTGTATGTTTATAATTGCTTAACAAATTAGGCTTATTAAGAATAAATTCAAAAGTGATTTAATATATTTCAAAGAGTGAATTACAAGATTGTTGTACATACAAGTTTCTTAAGTTGCTGGTATCATTACTTGTGAGTTTTCTACAGCAGTGATTAATGCTAAATAACTAATTTGTGCTTAAGACGCGAATAAATTTAGGGCTAAGTATTACAATGTTCAAATTACTGATTTAAATCTCAAACAAATTTTTTAATAATTTTTATTTTTGTTTACATATTGGAATATACATTTTTAATTATAATAAATCTTCTGTTTTGTTTAAACTTCTGGTGAATCAACCGTACATATTCTTAGTTGTCTAAACAAAAGTGCGCTTTGCAATTTATTTATTTATAAATACACACTTTTATGGCTAGGCTTTTATATGACTAATATTATGGGTAAATTCTAAGTGTAATTGTTTCCATTTGTAAGCAAATCCCACCGATGCGGTTGACCTCCCCGCGAGAAAAGTCGCACGTTGCGGCAGTGTCCAATTTTGTTTGCTATATATACGGGTTGTCGGAAGATGACGTACTGACATGTGAGCATATAGAAGTCGTATATAGTCATTGCCCACACAACTAACTGACAGATGCCGCTTTTCATTGGGCTAATAACATGGCAACATGCACACAGGCCAACAGTGTCTCCGGCAAGGACAATAATTTCGGGTATACACATCACATATATCCATACACATGGGGGTATAGTTATTGTTTTTTTTGCTGTTGTTGCCAAGACGCCAGCAAATATTTGCACCACAAATTGACCAAACGCTATATAAACTCGCAGTTAATTGATTGGACTAAGTCTATAACATGTTGCTAGGGGCTGTCTGCCTCACATGCACGTGTCTGCCGATAATTAGCATGCAGCAAATCGCATATAGCTGACGAATTTCCACCACCTCTGTTTCTATAATTTATCGCGGCGCCAGCAGAAGCGAACAAAAGAACGATAGCATGACAGCCTATTGCACTTGGCGGTGAAAATTTGTGGGTAAAAAAACAGAACGCCACTGGAATAATGGAAAAACTAGCTATAATTCTTTAAAAAAAATACACTAATACACTCTAAAAAATTCAATGGCAAAATTCTAATATTATTTTTTGTTAAGAGTTATCTTTATTTTATTTTTATCTTTTGTCAGAGATCCAGAAAGCTGGTGAATCACTATACTAACATTCCGGACTTCGTCAAATTTGATTAGCCTACGAGGTTTTATTAAATATTATATTAATATATTAAATTAGGAGTAGCAAAGTTAGCGGCTCTTTTGGACGCCACTCAAGCGTGTGTGTTCGCGTCTCATTATATTTAGAATTTGTGATTTCTGGGCGGCGGCATTTGAAGACGCAGACAAGGGCGATAATGGAGCGGCGATAAGGGGGCCAGGAGCGAATTTCGGGGGAGGGGCAATCCGGTATAGTTATGAATGAGCCAAGCGGTACCGGCAGACTGCTCTGTTCTGATATAATTGCCTTGAGTCATGGGACAGACACGACACTACATAATATAAATATATATACTTCTAGTGGGCACGTTCAGGTACAAACACGAGACACCAGCGATAAGATTAGATAGCCAGACCATTGGCGGGTTACTCCGGAAAAAGTTTCATTAACTTTGCAGACTATTAATATCTTATATTCTAGATGTTTATCATATCGCATTGCGATATTTCTTTTCTAATTTAAAGAATTTTCGCTAACTTCTGGTATATTTCCATTTACAGAGCGGCACAGAGAGACGTCATGTCCAACACGGAGAAAGGAGGACTGCACAGAGTGCGAAGTAAGTAGATAAAATTATATGTTATCACCTGGTTTTTAAAAGGTCCAACCCTAAATTTCTAACACAAACTGATGAAATTTCTAGCTAGCAAATACATATTTGTAAAATAACAAATTGAAATATTTAGTTTTATCACTATTTTATCACCAGTTTTTCAATTTTACAACGAATAGTTAGTTCAATAATAAGTAGACTTAGAATAAGGGTTTCTGTATAACCACTGTATTTAAATTCGTAAATCAATCTGCAGTCGAATATGCCAGAACAAAGTCCCCAGTAAACCGCAACGTAAACCGCACAGCCGAGCCCCCTTTTTCTGCGTTTCTAGACGCGCAATGATAACAAAGCCAGAAACCGCATGACGCCACTAAAAAATGGGGCGAGTCACGGTCATTTGCTATGAAAATCGACAAAATGCCTGACGGCCAATTGAAATGAAACTCGGTTAAAATAAACAAATCGATTTGACTCCTCCTAGATCCAGTTTGATTGGTGTCAACCAGACAAGTTGTATTGAGGTTACAAATCAATTGTTCTGTGTGATTCAATTGATTGCTGATTGATTTTCCTGCTCTTCCGCTGGTCCTTTGTGAATATTTGTGTTTATTGGAGGTCAATTTTGTTTCCTATTTATAAAAGCAGTTATGCACTTTCGGTAGTAGACACTGCAATTGGTAAAATTTAATTACAATTCAATCCAATTGTTTGGAAATATAAGTCGTTTAAAATGTCATGCTGAGTAGACCATAAAATATTTAAAAAAAAACATGTTAATTGTCCCTCTTTTCATAAAATGCAGATGCTAATAAATAGTTTTGATATTGTTGATAGTTTGTTATTAGGGAATGCCAGAAATCACTAGGTTTTTAAAATGACTTAATAGGATGACAAAAAGTATGCATGGACTGCGTACTACTTCATAAAGAATTCACATAACTTTTCAATTTTAAAAACATTTTCATACTTTTAGTCACTTTTATGAGTGATTTTTATAATGTGGTGATTTTTGTAGCACCCAATGGCCATATCGAAACTATTTTGTGATAATAACCTGACCCACTTGTGTCAATCACAATATAATAAAATATTTATTTGTCGACACCCCTTGACACCTTGTCAACGCCTCGATCATTGGCACCATCGGGCTGTTCAAGGACCCAATACCATCCCATCCTTGGCCTGACACTCCTCGTCGAGTTCTGTGTCATCGATACGGATATGGATACGGATGCGGACACCCACGCCTTGTGACAGCTGGACTGCGCAGTTGGCCGACCTCATGACGCCATTGTTATGACATTTCCAAGGAGTACCACGCATTAAACTATGCAAAAAAATTAGCACAGTCACGCTAACTAAACACGTTAGTTGCTCTACACCACCTCCCCTTCCCACCCCCTCGAAATTGTCAAACAATTCGTATGTCCACTGCGTATGGAAAGTTTAGTTCATGGTCTAAATTCTGAGTACATTTCGCAATTAATTGAACGATTGTTGTTGTGGCGAATTTTTAATAGCCCATCGGCGACGGTCATCCGACTGTTTACTATTTAATTCGTACTTTTGAGCTGTTTAGCACTTCAGAGGCAGACAATCGACAGTCAGACAGGCCACATGGAGGTGGATTTTGGGTTCCGGTGGAGTGCACATTTCGTCGACCCCGTGAGCAAACATGCATGATAGATAATATCCGAGCTCTAACCAAAAATTAAAGCGTTCAATTAGCAGGAAAATATGAAAATATCATGGCGGCAGTGGAAGGGGAGAAATACGACTCACGACCCAAACGCACTTTTGGCTACCCTAGTTTATACCCTCTAATAAGGGGGAGTTGCGAAGCGTCTGACTTTGAGCATGCTAATTAAATACGTTTTCCCTCCAGACAAATACGAGATCAATTAACATGAAAAACAATATTAAATGCATATCGATTAGAGTATTGCTATTCATTACAGACTCGTGTAATTTACACGTACGCCCCCACTTTACTCGAAAATAATACAGCCAGGCGTGATTCATGATTGATTTTTATAGGTTTTTATTGTTTATTGACATTGCGCTTTGTTTAAATAATCCAAGGTGCTTAAGTCATTCAGGGGCTTCAATAAAATATAACACTTGTTGTAAAGGTCTAAGGGGATAAGCTATGTAGTCATTTGGTTTTAAAGTGTGACTCACAGAAATAATGTATTTTTAACAAGAATTACCCAATTTATATTGATTGCATTCTCCATTTGCACAAATTATTCATCATATTATATATACATTTATTAATATGATGTTTTAAGCTCTTTTGCAATAAACAAGCGTTTTATCATATAATTTTCTATAATTGAATGGTCTATTTCCGGTTTTTATATGGATATTCAGTCTACTTAACATCAAACAACATTGAATTACGCTATTTCACAACAAATATATGTTTCAATAAATGAGATTCGTAGACCTAACAAAAAAGCTTTTAAAATAATTAAAAAAATTTACATAAAAACCATAGAAACTTATTCGGAAATAATAGAACCTGCACTATATTCTAGTTTACCTGTTATCACAGTTCGCGTTGGCGAAATTCCCCGCTCCGAAATCCGATTTAAGTCCATATTTGAATCCGCCGGGCTATTCACCCTTGGCAACAGACTTCGGGTCGTCGTCTGGAATTAATCAAACAGCTAAGCTCCGCCACAAGTAATGAATAATGAGCATGTGCTTTGCTCATTCCGCTCACGATAAATTGTTATTAAACTTTAGCCACTTCATGGCGATGTGTTTACTAGACCCTCCAGCTTATTGATGACTGTCATAATTGGCACTCCATTGTAGAAACTCCCCAACAGGTTCAATTGTTCTCTCCGTGTGCTTAATATGCATTAATTAAGTCAAGTCCAGTTTTTGTGTAATAATAAACAAAATTGTTTTTAATTGAGGTAAATTAATTTCTTGGAATTTTCGGAGTTGTTGACATATTTCCTGCTGCAATTGTAAGGCTAGATAGAGAACAGTATTTGTTTATAATTTTAGGTTTTGCGTTATACTTCCGCTGCACATGGCACACTTTTTGATAGTTTCTTTTTCGTTGCTGTTATTTAATTAGAAACCAGAAATTTCAAGTATTCCGACAATTATCAATTATAAACGAGCCCAGACTGTAGAAAAGAATGCTGGCTTTGACCCCATGGACCTGCGAATCGTTCAGTTTGAGCGATAATCGAAAAAGCTGAGACGCAACAAGCCTCCCTCCATTGATGGTTCTGAAATCATATTTATACATAGATTGTATGGTGGCTTTGGAAATAATATTTTTGTATTAACCTATTTATAGTACCGTCCTTAACCAAGGCAAAGCGTGTCCAAGTTTTTATGGCTTTCGAGTGCTAAAGTTCAGGCAGTAGTTTTCGACTGTTTGCAAAATAGATGTTAATCAATTTAATGGGTCCAAAATATGATTTTCTAAGGCCACTGAACGCTTGCCGACGAGCCCCCTTTTATACACATATATATATATATACAATTTTAATGCCTGCTATTAATGTATACGTATGCATGGGGTCTGAGACAACTTGTTTACAACCTGTAGCTCTTCATTAGCCGGCACGTGCATGTCTGAGATACGACCGGAGGAAATGACAACTTCAAGATACATTTATGAGCAGACTCAGCCATAGAGTCGTACTTTATGCTGGATTAAAGTGAATCGGAAACTGGCAATCAGATAAGGGCTCTTATGACGTTTACTTTGGCAACTTTATGACTGAATACGCAGTACATTGCATCCACCTAAGTCAATAAAAGTTTTTGATTTCATGCCCACTCTGGGCAAAGCAGCTGTAATTGCCAGACATTCCATGGACTTATCAGTCTGGACTCGGTTGTAAATCTATACAAGTTCCTCGTACTTAAGACCGATTGCACTTTGGACGGCAAGCGCCACAAGTGCAGGGCCCAATTGTAAATTTCCATGGAAGATTTCCGAGCGCAATGAAAGGAACGAATCTAGGACAATGAGTTGCCCAGACCATCGAGAGATGGCCGGGAAAGTCCAATAAATCACAATGCAATCGCCCAACAAAAGTGATAAGTGCGGCTGTGTGTATGCCTTTAACAAACAACAATTGCCACAATAATTCAGCAATTAATTAGCATTAGCGTATTGCTTATTGTTAAAGTAGAACCAGTTCCACGGAACGAGGCAATTGCCCGGACAAACACACGAAAGCAAACAACATCGCTATGGCAGTCACTGCTATTTTGCCATTTTGCTATTTTGCTATTGGCATTAGAATCCACTCGATTCGAACGAGGCCAGTTCCGTAAATCAGTTAAAAACGGAAATGCAGTTGGCCAGCACAACAAAGCCAATAATTGCCGCTAGAAGGCGACGCGGCAATGTCATCCATCCGACACATATAAATATAGTAGATGGATGTACTATATGTGCACGAGTGCAAATATTACAGTGCGTTTCGTGGCTCTTAAATGACTATAAAAAGTATTGAAGCAAAACCAAATACACAAATCAATAGGTCAGTTTATAATATCTAATATCTAATTTCCAATATCTTTTTTGAAATTACAAACAAGCACTTAACTGGAACAATGTATTTGGCTATTTAGATGTATACATTTTAGGAACAATAGGACAATCTATATCAAACAGAATTTGAAAATGATCATAGTTAAAAAATAATTAAAAAATTTTTAAAGCTTTCCAAAATAACATTTTTTAAATGCAGATCCTAACGATTCAATGCACAATCAAACAAAATTTTAAAAATTGTTTTTGGAGAGTTAATTTAATTTCAAACACTATAAATTCTCTAAAAATTCTTTTAGCAATCGACCATATTTTTAAATCGAATTAAATTATAATAATAACTAAAATGTTTCACAAAATCTCTGATAAATTCTCCTAAATTCTCTCAAAATCGATCACATTAATAAATGGACAGAATTTGAAAAATGGCCTTAGTGGCACAGTTTCCGTATATTAAACTGAAGGTCTAAATGATCATTTCGCAAGATACCCCGCCCGACATAAAAATCGACGACAAAACAGTCCTCAGACCCACTGTAAACGTGATCACATGGAACGACTCGACACAATCGACATCTCAGGCCAACAAAATAAATTTTTTTTTGCATTTCCCCTTGTTTGTTATATGTGTAGTTCAAATGTTTGCACATATCACGGACTTCATCTAGAAATCGGTTGTGTGGGAGTAATGGCTACAAATCGAAACTGAAAAGTGGGCTCGTGGTTGGCGCGCCTTCGCCATAACTCATACGCCACGTTGCGCCCGCCGAGATCCCATGACTTCAAATGACTTGGCACCTTGACAGAATAGTGCGCATTAATGTGACGTCGATGCAGGCCTTTCTTTGCTCGCCTTTTTGCATGAATTTCACAGGAACGTCAGCGGTGGATGATGGAAAATTTTTGGCCAGACCAAAACGCCCACGCGGCCATTGAGGACATTCCATCAGATATTTTGCCCCGCTGCTGATCACATGCGTTTCTCACCAAAAAACGAAAGAAAATAAATCAGTCGGTCGAGGCTGATGACGATATCATGGGTTGACTTTCTCCACCACTCTCACCCTGCACCCCAGTACCCCATCGATTGTGTGAACAATTTTGAAGGTCAGGAACCAGCAGAGAGAGTCATCGAGAGTGGGAGACTTTTATCGGAGGGTGTGTACCCAGTGCCCGAATTCGATAGATAGATAGAGAGATAGAGAGGCATTATAAATAGATCCGAAAGTGTAAAGGCAAACGAAACATACACAGATAAATGAGATACAATAAAATAACAGACAAAATGTACTTAAAAATGTACCAGATATTTTCAAAATTGCTTTTGCGTCAACCCAAAAGTGCCGGATATGCGTCTTTTGAAAATAATTTAAAATAAACAAAAACATATTCAAACAAAATGATCATCCCTTCGAGTGCTTCTTAATTAGTCCTCAATTTTGTTGAATAAATTTAAAATTTTCCCCGAGAAATCAATGAACCCCCAAACGAACTCAGATTCACTTGTTGCCCAAAGTCATAAAAAAAAGTAATTTAAGTATCACGTTTGCTCGTATTCATTTCGTTTTATTTACTTGCCGGCTATTTTTAAGTTTTTGCCTTTCTTTGATGGGATTTTTATGTTGTCGCGGACTGGGGGGAACTTGTTTCAAGTCAAGTAGAGCATCAACGAAAGCCAATAAAGGCTAAAGATCAGTGGGAAAAGAGTGAAGGAAACACGGCCAATTCAAATACGTTTTTGCACGAGACAAGCGAAATTCTGAGAACAGTATGTCAAAATAAAGTTGAGCCGGCAGTGTGAAACTCAAATAATTTTGAGCTTTTCAAGCCGGTTTTCTGCTTGTCCTCCTCCTCTTTTCTGTTGTAAACATCAAGCTTGACCTTCACTTAATTTATTGCTAAAAAAGATAAACGAAAACAAAAATAGTTTGGCGGTAAGCAAAAGACTCCTCAAAAAAAGAACAGTTCGAGACGACAATTAATCAAGAACTTTTCTGCTCGGAGGCAAACAAGTTTTAACCATTAAGATTCTCGGAAGGAATCACAGACTTCAACATTTCGAGACGATGAGTAAGATCAGTTAGAGTTCCCTTGATGAGTTCAATTAGACAAATTAGAGCTCGTATACAAATTCTTTTCAATTTAATTGTCATCAAAAATGTATGCCTAATGGGAATATAATATGATAAAGTTGAAAAATTTGAATAGTTTACTATTATTGCTGTGATCAAATAGTATAGATCTGCTTACAAAATGTTTTAAATTTCTTATTGTTTAGATCTGTATTAAAAATAATATATTTCCATTGTGGAAGTGGAAGTCGTATAAATTAATCCTTATCGTTAATTGAGGGACACGTTTTTCAGCATTGATTCGAGGTTTTCTGGTGTCAAGACATGCCCCAGAAATTTGCAGAGCGCTGTTTGTTATTGATCTAAACTTTCCAATTGACGTGCACTTTCAGTCAATGCTAATCACAGACCTATCTGCCAAGATTTTTATATAGATCTGGATTCGATCCCAAGCGATCCTATATAATTTGAAGGGAGAAACTGGTCTAAGTTTAAGCTTTGCCAATATTTTAACAATTTTTTTCGTTTTGTGTATTTCGGGCACGTTTTTCTGGTTATATAGGATGGAGAATTTATAGCAAGCATGACTAGGTATTTGTATTTTTCTGTTTAACGCTTTTTTGATGGTTCAGTTTCGGTTATTTTCGAGTGCTAATTTGAATACAAGTTGAGTGTCTGGGTTTATTGTTGTGCCGCCCGGCCCGTTTGATGATGCTCGTCGATGTCTAGACAAATCGAGTGGCGTATTTTTTTGCATGACATTAACATGATATTGGGGCAATAATCAGCGGGGTGGGCGTGTCCCGTCCAGACAGCCGATAGACTGGCCCCGATAGTCGCTTCATCAGCTGATAGCGCAATTTGATGGGAAAGTCGTTTGGGAGCCAGTTTATCTCCGCCCGCCGACCATTTCGCGGCATCAATATAATCGGCCGGCTTATAAATTTACACCGACACTTGCGGACATTTCCCCAAAACTGATGATGAAGGGGGTTCAATGGAGTTCAACGGCACTCGAAATTTGTATAAGTGATTTGCGAGAAATTCAACCCGGCTCGAACAATGCACTTTGCCACTTAAAATCGGCCCAAAAGGATGACAGGCGGAGTTGGGGGCTGATTATGGCCTCCACTTAATGATCTTCGCATAATTCGCAATTTGGACTCCAACAAAAAAAGCTGATTCAGCTGCTCTTAACTTCTTTTTGCCACAAATTTGCACACTGCACCCACAGGCTGGCGATCCTCAAATCAAATTCATTGCCCATTCTGTATGCTATTGAGGTCACCTGACACCGACAGTTAAGTTTTGTCATTGCGATTTTATTGGCTCATTAATATGGGTAATTAATGCGTTTATCTGGGCCGCATCGTGTAATGAAAACAACCGATTACATCAGATAATATAGTGGGCGGGCTATAGTGAGTTGATAACGATTTACATGGGGTATAAACGAAACTTGTGTTGGCTTTTTATGAATTTATAGAAATTTATCAACAGTTTCAGGTGATCTAAGTGTTTCCTTAATTAATTGGTTAAACGTGCATATTAGACTATTATTTGTACAATTTATGTTGGCTTGAGTATTACCTATTGAACTGTTTAGTTTTGTTGACTAATAATTCATTACTTTAATTTGGTTATCTGGATTCTTAAGCTATTTTATTGTAGAAATTATTATCTATTAAGAGAAACATATGAAAGTTTAGTAGAATTTTTTGATATATATTTTAAAAAACCTAGCATTCTAATGAAGAAAAATTTCATTATCAGAAATTGGGTGGGTTTTTTAAGTCGCCGATCGCCTGATGTTCGGCGTTCTGGAAATATTCCAGAGCCGAATTTTAAGTGCCTAACCTTTTGACGACCCAGACGATGGAGCTTCGACTTAGAGCTTCGCTAGCAGCAATGATTGGCCTTGCATTGGATTGTGTTATTAATTGGGCACTGCTCTTCTCTTCCCTTCCAGACTTTCTGTCATGCCGCCAAGTGTTGAACCTGCTGACCATGCTCGGATTCATGCTGAACTATGCCCTGCGAGTGAATCTCACCATTGCCATTGTGGACATGGTCCGGCCGAATGTGACGAGTGCGGGAAATGCCACTGTGTCGGGAAATGACACTTTGTCGGGCAATAGTACGGCGGGAAATGGCTCCATGAGTTCAGCATCTCCGGACGGAGTGGATGTCTACGAGGAGCGCTTCCCGTGGGACAGCTACCAGACCAACTTCGTGCTGGGCTGCTTCTTCTGGGGCTACATCCTCACCGAGCTGCCAGGTGGTCGTCTGGCGGAGCTGATCGGTGGACGCCGCGTCTTCGGACATTCCATGCTGTGGGCCAGTCTGCTCACCCTGATCACGCCGCTGGCGGCGCACATCAACTACGTGGTGCTCATCGTGGTGCGAGTGGTGCTCGGTTTTATGTTGGGCGCCTCCTGGCCAGCCATTCACCCGGTGGCCGCTGTCTGGATTCCACCCATGGAGCGATCCAAGTTTATGTCTAACATGATGGGTAAGTAGGGATTTCCAGGATCCAAAAGGCTCTATTAGAAAGAAGAGAAAGAAAAGTCTTTCTTTGTCTGTCTAAGAGATATTCTAATCTATTAACCTATTGTTTTCTATACTAACTTCTATTTATTATCTATCGTTTAGCTTCCTCTCTTGGCGCTGCAATTACCATGCCAATCTGCGGCTACCTGATCTCCGTTGCTGGCTGGGCCAGTGTCTTCTATTTGACCGGAGCCGTGGGTCTGCTGTGGTCCCTGGCCTGGTTCACCTTTGTCTACGAGACTCCGGCTACGCATCCCCGTATTTCTGCCGAGGAGAGGCGGGAGATCGAGGAGGCCATTGGCACCACCACCTCCAAGAAGCGTCCGAGTCACGTGCCCTGGGGCCAGCTGCTATGCTCTCCGGCCGTCTGGGCCATCATCATCTGCCACGGACTGGCCGTTTTTGGTTTCTTCACTGTGGTCAATCAGCTGCCTACATTCATGTCCAAGATCCTGCACTTCGACATCAAGCAGGTGGGTTGCATTAAATAAGATACTTTATTGTATATTTACTTATTATCTTCGATCTCCTGCAGAATGGATTGTTCTCATCGCTGCCTTATTTGGGCAAATACGTGATGGCTGTGGCTTCTTCCTACCTGGCCGATTATTTGCGCAAGAAGGGAACTCTGAGCACGACGGCTACCAGGAAACTATTCACTACTTTTGGTAAGTACTAAATAAATAATAGATAACAAAATAAAATAAAAACCCTTTTCTAGGATATAGCAATTTTAAATGCTAGAAATATAAATTTAAGACAACAGTCGTCATAACATTTAAATGAAAACCACTATAATTATAAATTCAAACCCAATCGATAAATAAATAGAATAAAAAATTCAAGTTCAACCGAAATAGATTTTTCTAATGAAATTCATTTTTATATTTAAATGCTTCCTGGTGAAAGAATTTTTATACAAATTTTGATGTTTCCAAGTGATTCCGGGAAATGTGTTTTTATATTTAAATGCTTTCTGGTGGTGTTAATTATTATAAAATGATTATCTTTCCCAATTACAGCTCTGGTGATTCCGGGTCTGTTGATGATAGTGCAGGTGTTCCTGGGCTATGATGCCACCTGGTCTGTGACGATCTTCTCGCTGGCTTTGTTTGCCCATGGAGCAGTGACCGCTGGTTATTTGGGCAATGGTTTGGATATTGCACCCAACTTTGGTGGAACCATCTTTGGACTGGCCAACACACTGTCTTCCTTTGGCGGTTTCCTTTCCACGTGGATGGTGGGAGCCCTCACCTTCAAAGATGTAAGTAAATCTAGCAAAACAACTATCGAGATAAACTAATAATTGTGATATTTCTCTTTGACCAACAGGACTCCTTCCATTCGTGGCAAATTGTGTTCTGGATTCTGGGTGCGACGTATATCTCGGGAGCCGTGGTCTTCGCCATTCTTGGTTCGGGTGAACTGCAGCCTTGGAACAATCCCCCAGAGCGCGTCAAGATCAGCGATGTCACCCAGGAGGAGGGTGTGCCGCTCAAGAACGGAAAGTGATTCCGCTTTGCCAGTGAGCCTCAGTCGGTGCTTCTACTTCACCTGGTGAGGGGATGCAAATGAAAGCCCAGTTGGAGATATCCCACCACCAAGCAACAACAACATCATCCGCACAAGTTATAGTAGTTGTTACTGCACCTTTGAGATTTAGGAGGATTTCATTTGACAACCACTTGGTCAGGACTTGGTTACGAAGAACCACACGACACTCAACATGGAGAAAAACATGAAATGAAAGACATTATTTTTATAGATACTGCAAGGTTATTTCGCACAAAAAACATACACAAACATCTCATACCCATACACATAAAAAAAAACCCAACAAACACTGTACACCGATGCACCCGTCTGCTTAATGGAAATTGACTATATTTATAAGTAATATTTACTTTAGAGCTTAGTACGCCTACATCTGCAACTGTATGCATATTTTAATATGTAGCCTAAATGATTTATAGTATTCTGTATGTCCACAGAGCGCACAGCTGGCTGGTGGAAGGACCATATATCCTGATCAGCCGCTGCGACCCATATGTTTCGTTTAATTTATAACGTAGCCCTAACTATTGTCTAGCTTAGATGAACAAAATACTTATGCAAGTAGCGAAATACATACGGATACACCGATAGTGTAGCTAAGTTGAGTAAAACGTGTAACTTTGTACTATACTTGATTATTTATGTAATTAATTTAAACATTATCTAAGTTCACAATAAAGCGTAACTCAGAAAGAAAGAAACGAAACACTTTTAAAATTGGAATTTAACTATCCGGGATATTGTAAAATTGGAACAGGTAACAACTTTTCTCTCAGACATCCATCTTAGAATGGGTGATATTACAAGTTTTGTGGCAGAAAGGTTATCATAAACCTGCAGTTCTAATTCCATAACTTTTTTCCTAGACATCCGATTTCGAAGAGGTATACCTGTATGGTCTTGTGGTTTAATCCTCTAAAAATCTGCATTAAAAATTGGTTTACAATTGCGGATCGATTTTTTGCCCATTTTTATGATGTTACCCCTTTCTAAATTTCCGAAAATGGCTTTGCCGAAAAGTTACCGAAAACCTGCAGTTCTAATTCCATAACTTTTCTTCTAGACATCCGATTTCGGAGAGGTATACCTTTACAGTCTTGTGGCTGAAGCCTCTAAAAATCTGCATTAAAAATTGGTTTGTAATTGCGGATCGATTTTTTGCCCATTTTTATGATGTTACCCCTTTCTAAATTTGCGAAAAATGGCTTTGCCGAAAAGTTACCGAAAACCTGCAGTTCTAATTCCATAACTTTTTTCCTAGACATCCGATTTCGAAGAGGTATACCTGTATGGTCTTGTGGTTTAATCCTCTAAAAATCTGCATTAAAAATTGGTTTACAATTGCGGATCGATTTTTTGCCCATTTTTATGATGTTACCCCTTTCTAAATTTCCGAAAATGGCTTTGCCGAAAAGTTACCGAAAACCTGCAGTTCTAATTCCATAACTTTTCTTCTAGACATCCGATTTCGGAGAGGTATACCTTTACAGTCTTGTGGCTGAAGCCTCTAAAAATCTGCATTAAAAATTGGTTTGTAATTGCGGATCGATTTTTTGCCCATTTTTATGATGTTACCCCTTTCTAAATTTGCGAAAAATGGCTTTGCCGAAAAGTTACCGAAAACCTGCAGTTCTAATTCCATAACTTTTCTTCTAGACATCCGATTTCGGAGAGGTATACCTTTATGGTCTTGTGGTTTAGTCCTCTAAAAATCTGCATTAAAAATTGGTTTACAATTGCGGATCGATTTTTTGCCCATTTTTATGATGTTACCCCTTTCTAAATTTCCGAAAAATGGCTTTGCCGAAAAGCTACCAAAAACCTGCAGTTCTAATTCCATAACTTTTCTTCTAGACATCCGATTTCGAAAAGGTATACCTTTATGGTCTTGCGGTTTAATCCTCTAAAAATCTGCATTAAAAATTGGTTTGTAATTGCGGATCGATTTTTTGCCCATTTTTATGATGTTACCCCTTTCTAAATTTGCGAAAAATGGCTTTGCCGAAAAGTTACCGAAAGCCTGCAGTTCTAATTCCATAACTTTTCTTCTAGACATCCGATTTCGGAGAGGTATACCTTTATGGTCTTGTGGTTTAATCCTCTAAAAATCTGCATTAAAAATTGGTTTACAATTGCGGATCGATTTTTTGCCCATTTTTATGATGTTACCCCTTTCTAAATTTCCGAAAATGGCTTTGCCGAAAAGTTACCGAAAACCTGCAGTTCTAATTCCATAACTTTTCTTCTAGACATCCGATTTCGGAGAGGTATACCTTTACAGTCTTGTGGCTGAAGCCTCTAAAAATCTGCATTAAAAATTGGTTTGTAATTGCGGATCGATTTTTTGCCCATTTTTATGATGTTACCCCTTTCTAAATTTGCGAAAAATGGCTTTGCCGAAAAGTTACCGAAAGCCTGCAGTTCTAATTCCATAACTTTTCTTCTAGACATCCGATTTCGGAGAGGTATACCTTTATGGTCTTGTGGTTTAATCCTCTAAAAATCTGCATTAAAAATTGGTTTACAATTGCGGATCGATTTTTTGCCCATTTTTATGATGTTACCCGTTTCTAAATTTGCGAAAAATGGCTTTGCCGAAAATTTACCGAAAACCTGCAGTTCTAATTCCATAACTTTTCTTCTAGACATCCGATTTCGGAGAGGTATACCTTTACAGTCTTGTGGCTGAAGCCTCTAAAAATCTGCGTTAATCTGGTTTGTTATTCGGATTACAAAGTGGTGGTCACTGTGGACTTTTAAAGTGAAGGGGACAATATGAAGCCGAAGAGGATAGAATAATGTACTTTATAAAATGCCTGTGTAGACAAAAAGATGTTAAGCAATGTTTTATTACAGAGAAGTTTTTTACATTTATACCATTTTACATGTACAAATGAATGAATTTAACATGTCACTTTTTGTTGCCTACATGTAGGCTGCTCAATAAAACACTCCGCTATCATAACTTTATATATAAGTTTTATTTACAACAAGAAAGAAAGCAAACTTCGGCAAGCCGAAGTTCATATACCCTTGCAGCTATTGCAAGAATTAAACATTTTTGAAAACATTAAAATTATAATTTACTTGCGTATAAGTTTAAAAACATTGAAGCTATGATGATTTGCAGCTCAATTATTTGATAGTTATTTTATATATTTTTATTGTTCCTATGGGAGCTATATGATATAGTCGTCCGACTTTGATGAAACTTAAACCGTAAATTGGAAATATTTAACCATTACTAAATGTCGAAGAACTAAACATAAAATTAAAAAACAGAAAAGTTATAATTTTTTTTCATTTATTTCTCCGATTGTTCCTATGGGAGCTATATGATATAGTCGTCCGACTTTGATGAAATTTAAACCGTAAATCGAAAATATTTAACCATTACTAAATGTCGAAGAACTAAACAAAAAATTAAAAAACAGAAAAGTTATAATTTTTTTTTCAATTATTTTTCCGATTGTTCCTATGGGAGCTATATGCTATAGTCGTCCGATTTTGATGAAATTTAAACCGTAATTCTGAAATATTTAACCATTGCTATATGTCGAAGAACTAAACAAAAAATTAAAAAACAGCAAAGCTATAATTTTTTTTCATTTATTTTTCGGATTGTTCCTATGGGAGCTATATGCTATAGTCGTCCGATTTTGATGAAATTTAAACCATAATTCTGAAATATTTAACCATTGCTATATGTCGAAGAACTAAACAAAAAATTAAAAAACAGCAAAGCTATAATTTTTTTTCATTTATTTTTCCGATTGTTCCTATGGGAGCTATATGCTATAGTCGTCCGATCCGGCTCGTTCCGACTTATATACTACCTGCAATAGAAAGACAACTTTTGGGAAAGTTTCATGCAGATAGCTTTAAAACTGAGAGACTAGTTTGCATATAAACGGACGGACAGACGGACAGACGGACAGACGGACGGACAGACGGACAGACGGACATGGCTAGATCGACTCGCCTAGTGATGCTGATCAAGAATATATATACTTTATAGGGTCGGAGATGTCTCCTTCACTGCGTTGCAAACTTCTGACTGAAATTATAATACCCTCTGCAAGGGTATAAAAACAAAGCTAAGCCCTACTACACACAGATTCGCTAAGCACCCATATACACAAGTATATGGTGTTCAATTAGTAACTAGATAAGCGCACAACCTAAGTGTCTGTTCCCAGACTGACATCCATTAGCTCCTTGGTGATTTCACTTTGGCTCTTGAGCGGACCTGGATTGCCCAGGACATTTGTATCCTGGGTGAGTGGCGGTGGCGGAAGCTTGAAGCCACTTGGACCACCTAATTTGAGGGAACCACCTGTGAAGATTGGAGGAGGAGGAGCCGCAGTGGTGGATGTGGTGCTGGAGCTGGAGCTGGAACTGGTGGCCATTTGGTAGAGCAACTGAAGCTGCTTCATGGCATTCGAGGGATCTTGCGGTTGCGTATGACTGGCAACCGAACTTTCTTCTTTCACCGGCCTTGTGGCCTGGTCCTTTGACTTGGGCTTTTGCGGTTTCATGCCATTCGACCAGGTCTCCAGCCAGCTGGCCGCGTTTTTCTCCGTGGAGGTCATTAATCTCTCGGCCTCCTTTTTCACCTGCTGGCGGTAAAGTTGGCGCGCCAGGGCCTTTTGATCGCTTTGGCTCACCTGGCGCTTGTTGAACGATTGATCATCCGGTTTGGGTTCGCCGATGGGCCGAGTTTCCTTCTGCGGACCCAGTTCCACCAGCACTTGAAAGTCAGCATGCTGGCCCAACCGAAAACCAAAACCCAAACGGGAATCCGTTCCTGTTTTAACAAAAAAATACATTTAATAAATGTTTCAATAAAAATATACGTCATCTTACCCTTCTTGATCGGTGGTATATTGGAGTAAACTATGGATAATATGGAGGGTAGTTCCCTTGGCGCAATGAAAGCGGAGGCATTTTGTGCTGGAAGTATTCAATTATTTAATTTACTTGACGTGCCCAATGATTTTATCTTTCTTCAGCCGGCCAAGCCCCAGCACTTATGTAAATTTTTGACCAGTTTATAGTTTCAGGGCGTATTATGTAAACTTTTTTTATACTTTGTGTTTTCAGATTTACAGATGACTAACAATGCGTGTGCTTTAAATTTCTATGGTCTTAGGTTTCGTTTCCCTTTGAAGGTCATTTCAAAATTCAGAGCAAAAGAAAGCCATGTTAAGTATATAAAAAATGTAATATTTAAATTTTATTTTTACACTCGTTGAGCAGGAGTTAAATTTTACTGAAAATTCTTTTGGTTACAAAATTAAATTAAACTGGTGTTAGTCTTTAAAAATATTAAAAAAAGACTAATTATTTGTTTAATTGGTCATTCCAGAAAAATATAAAAATAAAGATTTATTTTTTTAATTGTGAGCTCAACCGTTTAGAATTTAAAATTGTTCATAGTTTAAAAATTATTTTAATATTCTTTCCTAGTAAAAACCAGGGTCATTTTCGAAACTTTGTGGGTCCCAATTTGGTTTTATGCTTTACTAATGTAACCACTTTTAAATTCAAATGGATGGACTCAGAAAAACTTTACTCTATGTACTTTGGTCGTCGAGCGTTTTGGTCAAGAACCATTAAGTAACTCTAATCCACACTGCCATAAAACCAAAAACGAATCGCATTTCGGGGTAGACAGTGAGACCCATAGACGATCCACAGGCCAAACCACATCTGCGGCGATCCGGCGACCTTGACACAAAGACCGGCAACAAGTTGGAGCTCAGAGTGCCTGACTTGGCCAAAGTCTGCTGTGAGAGCCACTTGAGATCGAAAGAGACTGTCGCCGGATCGGTTAAAGTCGTTGGACCGGTTATAAAGCACCGATCGATCGATCTAACCAATTCGACCGATTTTGGAGGTATTAACTTACTGTAGAGCAGGCCGATCAGCAAAGGCAGCCAGAGGCTAGCAAAGGCCCATTGTTTTGGCCAAGACATGGCCAGCAGTCAGCATTTATGTGGAGCCACAGAAACTGCAATTACACAGGCGATTACTTCATGCCACAGATATGATTGCTATTTTGCAGAATTTTTAACGACTCCGAGCTTGTGTTTGCGCAACACTCAGAAAACCCGATTGCGACTTGAGGTTGGTCAGTTGCCCGACAGCAGGTGCGTCATTTGGATAAATATTTGAAATATTTCTGTTGCCAAGTTTTCGTTAGCCGCTTTTGTTTACGCGATTTCGATTCCGACGCGATATGCAAACACACACCAATGTGTATGGGTCTGGCTTAAATAAAAAAGCGTAAATACAAAAATCCACAGCAGCAGAGGCAGCAACACAGCGGTTTGGAAATCACTCTCACTTTTGTTCAATGAGCTTCGTATTGTTGCTGTTATTTTTAAAAGTAACTACGTAGCTCGCCTTGTCTTCATTTGGTTGGGTTTTTTTTTTTGTGGGTAATATTGTTTATTTATTTTTGTTTGACTTTTACAGTTTGGCCTTGTCTCATTTTGGCTTTGATTGATTTCTGACTTCTTTCGGCATCTTTATTTTACTGCTGTAAAAATCATTTACACGCTAACTTCCTAAAGTGCTGTTAATAAACTGCGCAAACATCGCGCAGAAATTTCGGATCGCATAAAAATGAAAGTTAGTGGCGGACTCAAATGTGTGCGCTACTATTTTGGGTAGTGTAATTTCGGTTTCTGGGCAAAAAATCAACACAACGCACATGCGAATGGCATAATTAAACTAACGTATTTTCGGTTCAATTCGTTTCGATTCGAATTCCTCAGCGAGTGCCCCACGGTTTTTCAATTGACAACTTGTCCGATGCGCGTCTGCAAGGCAACTGAGCTGAAATGGAGAGTGGTTTTGGCCGTGCAACACGCGCTAACATTCAGTCACCGTCTGGCTCTCAGCGGAAAGCTGGGCAGTGCACTGGAAAAAATTACACTAATTTGGCTATAAATTATACAGTTTACATATACACTTGTAGACCATTTTGGTTTCATTTAAAGTAAAAAGGAGATCCTGAAATAAATCAATTTGAATCATATTAGATAAAAATGTTGGAATTAATCTTTAAACAAGTAATAAATAAATCAATTTAAATCGTATTAATTGATATGTAGCTTACTTTTTTTATTCGGAAGGTGGAAAATTGATTTGATTTAAAATTTAAAGGGTTTTTTTTTACTGAAACAGGTTATTACAAATAAAAATTTATTTTAGAGATTCAACTATAATTGTTAAATACTTAAAGATTTATAAATATTATTTTCGTTCAGTGCACAGTAAATCACGTAACTTTAGTCCGGTAGCTGCGCACTCTCTTTCCATTGAGCCGCGCTTGAAACTGAGACCGGCTGTTGGCATCTGCTCCATTAAAGTCATCTCCGACTCAAATTGGCGCACTTTGCCTGGGTCTTGCCTTCTGCGGCCTGGCTTTTTGTAATTTCTTTTATTTTTTGGCACATTTTTGCCGCATTGTGAAAGGTTGCTTCAGGGCGGCTCGATCGCATTTTTTTGTTTTTTGATTTTCATAAAACAAAAGATGGTTAAACTTTTTTTATTTGAGATGGCAGTTTATTGACGCCTACATACAGTGGATATTATGTTCCAGTGATCTTCAAAAAAGAGGAAAGAGCTCAAAGCAGTTTCATAAATACTTTAAAATAAAATCCATGCAAATCGATTATTATATTTACAATGTATATATTAAACAATGTTTTACCTAAGAGTATTTGTACTTTAAGCTGACCTCCAATATATGTAGGTTCATTACACCCAAAATTACCTTAAGTAACTGCAATTGCCGATACGTAAAATATTTTTGACGTACGCCCTAACTTGAAAAGAAAAACCTGAAAAATGCTGCCCAGTGAACCTCGACGACCGTTTGCATATCCATCTTATCTTATGCATATTTTGCATAACTCCGGTCGGGTTTACATTTAGACAAACTCCCCACGCCCCTTTAACGACAGGCAGTCTAATTAACTAAGACGCACGTTGTAACTTTACGTACATTTTGTTTAATTGCCCAAGCATAAAAATCAACACATTTGCATACATGCTAAAAAAACGTATTTATGTAATAGACGTTGTCTGGACTCAAACGACTGCACAGGAAAAAATTAAAATTGTATAATAAAATAAAATGACTTTGATATTTTTTCAAAAAACAATATCAAGACTTTGAATAACAAAATTTTTCGTGATTTTTTTTGGTTATAAATAAAACTGATAATAAAACTAATTTCATTACCACATGGTATTTACAAATATTTTCTTATTGTGTAGAAACCAACTTAGGCCCTGTCCAAAAATAAACAAGTTGAAGCGGTCAATGCATGAAGTGCAAATAATTTTCAAGACTTCGTCTGCATAATTGCCAATGCAGTTAGTTTTCTGGGCTCCTCAACGCATTTGTAATTGTTTGCTTTGCAATTCAAAGACTATGAAAATGTATAGAAATCAGCTAAGAAAAATTGAAATGTTGACAAATGAACAAGAGGTCTTCGAGTTTTATATGAATGGCTCACAAGAGAGAATGAAAAAAATATATTTTAAACTTTCAACTTTGTCCAGCAGCGCAGGAAAATGTTGAGTTGCAAAGTTAATTTAACATTAATCCAATTAAACTGAACATTTTATTAAGTACATTTGTTATATTAATAAGGAAATATTGACAGCTTTTAGGCAGCTTTTAATTTCATTTTCTTATTGTCATACTTTTTTAAAGCATTCTTTTTGGCACTTAAATATATTTTTGTTTATTATTTCTTGCCACGGGTAATATTAAAAAAAAAAATAAATAAAAAAAGACTTTTCCAGAAAGCAACAAACATTTTAACACTCTTTTAATAACACACCTATAAAAAACAAAAAACATACACTTCACACAAAAAGACATAAAACATGTTTGTGTTTATCAAATATATTAACTTCTTGTGTAATGTTTTTATTACCAGACAATAAATTTTATAAAAAAAAAAACTTATTTTGCTCTTAAGCATATACGCATTAAATTGTTTAATTGTTTCGTTTTTATTTGATTCGTATTCATACATTTAACATTTAACAATTGTTTCACAGTTCAGCGACATTATTAATTGTAAATAATTAATTTATATTTATTTTAATTCTCTTAATTGTTGTTGTTTTTTTATTGTTATTTAGACTACACACTACACTAACAACGATGTGTAAAAATAAATGTATTTTTATGTAATATTCTTCGTTTCAGTTTCTCTGTGTTGTTGTTTGGTTCAGAACCAACACTTATGGCCAGCGCATAAGAAATTGGTTCCTCTCTAGCTTGGTGATGTTTTCGGTTCCGAAAACACGATAGGTGTGGGTGTGGTTGTGGGTGTGGATGTGGGTGTGGCATCTGGAACAGTTTCTGTCCGTTAGGTAACGAGGTAAAGTGCGCCTTGTTGCGAATCGACACAGTCAACTCCTAGATGGGGGCCCTTCATCAATGCCACGCGAACAGCGAGTGCGAGACGAGCAAATAGCCCGTGGTGACTATAATGCTACCGATCATGATGGGAAAGCCAACTCTGTGGGTGTTAAAGATTTTATCGAGTTAATGGACAGTATTTTTTGAATATCCCTTAATAACCTACTTGAAGAACTGCAGGAAGGTGAACTTGTAGCCATGCTGCTCAGCCACTCCGGCACAGACCACATTGGCAGAGGCTCCAATCAGAGTGCCATTGCCTAGAAGGGGAAAAATACTCGTAAATATAAATCTTCAAAGGTTGAAGACCTCCGAAACTCACCTCCCAAGCAGGCTCCCAAGGCCAGGGCCCAAACTAAAGGCTGCAGGGGCAGATTCAGGGTGCTATTCTGGGCCAATGATATGGTGATCTTCACCATCATCGTGGTCAGTGGAATGTTGTCCACAAAAGCCGAGGCCACAGCAGAAACCTAGCAGTAAATGCAAGTATTTAGTTTAAAATATAAATATTGATACAATTTAAGCTATTTAGTAAGCTAACATAGTGATAAAGTCTTAATAGTTTGCATTTTATATAACACATTTTGTAATCATTTTATTGTTTCCCATTATTAGGTATCTTTTAAGGTATTTTGTACTTTAAGAACTCACCCAAAGTATTATCAAAATGGCCACCATCAGACGCCGATCCTCGCCTACGCCCAGGATAATGCCCTCGGTCATGTTGCCAATCCACTCGATTAGACCCAGCTCCGTCAGAGCCTCCATAAGTATAAATAGAGCTGCAAAAAAGAGCAGCGTTGACCACTCCACACGTGCCAGTATGGCCTCCATGTCCTCGATATCCGCCAGAATAATGAGGAATATGGCACCCAGCAGAGCGGTCCAGCCCAAGGATAATCTTTGCAGTTCCGGAACCGAATGTAGGAAGAACAAACTGATCACAAAAAGCAAAGCAGCCGAGCACTTGATCAGCAGCGGCTTGTTGCGAATGGGGTACTGAAATATTTGAAATTCAATATAAATATGTAAAATAGATATATCTTGATAAATACCCATTACCTTTGCTTGAAGATTTGCCAAGGTTTGCTGGTAATTGGGTGCCGGTTCTATAACCGCCGTCATGCGTTTCTTAAGACTTCTCTTCAAGCGGTTCACTTTCTTCATCAGTGTCTGCCGCACCAGTTCCTCGTCCTTGGAATAGGCCGATAGACTGGCCGCCGCTCGCTTCCACACGTGAATCTCGTGACGCAGTTCCTCCACTTCCGGAGAATCCTTGAACTGCAGATCACTGATGTTGCGGAACTTGAAGCGCAACTGGATATAGGTCTGCACCATTACCAGGAGAACTCCGGGCAACATGTGCAACGTGAAGACAGCGAAGTTGACGCCCTGAAAATTAAGTAATTTATATAATATTTAACTTTGTGAACAAAATGCATACTCTGCTAAATATATAAATATCTTACTAAGGAGTTTAAATATAAAATCAATGTTTAAATTGGTACATTAGTACTATGTGTTTTAAATAAATTACAGTTAAGTTGGATATAAAGTAACTTTAAATTACATTTTTACACATTAAGATCTAATCCAAAAATAAAAAAAAAATAAATAAATATATTATACTTGGAGATTTTAACTGAGATTTTTTGTTTAGTGATTTTAAAGATTCAAAAAAAGCTCAGTTCGCAAGAATATTTTGGGAAAACTCTAGCGGACAAATTAATAATACTCGAAAAGAAGGTAAGACTCACATTTTTGGATATGTAGCTATTCGATGCAATGATGACATTGGGCGGATCCCCCACCGGAGTTAGTGCTCCGCCGATGTTCGAGTAGATGACCATGCACATCAGTATGGGCACCGGATTGAGGCACATGACCTCGCAGAGTCGTATCGTCACCGGGGTCATCAGCAGTACGGTGGTTACGTTGTCCAGGAAGGACGATAGGACCGCTGTGAACAGGCACAGGCAATTGATGAGCGGCCACACATGTCCGTTGGTGATCTTGTAGGCATACACGGCCAGATAGTCAAAGACGCCCGTCTCGGACAGAATGGCCACCAGGATCATCATGCCAAAGAGCAGCAGCAGCGTCTCCACATCGATCCAGCCCATGATGGTGGCCATCGAGGGTCGGGAGTTCAGAGCAGCCAGTATTCCCACCGACAGCGTGGAGGCGATGATGGCGGCAAAGGTTCGATTCACAATCTCCCAGATGATCATCACATACAGTCCGCAGAGGACCACTGCCGCATAGATGACTCCATCCCGCTTGTAGATGGGGGACTCATCCACATTCAGTTGCAATGGCAACTCCCCCTCAATACTGCTGGTGAACTCAAAGCTCAGCTCCGTGCGATTGGATTGCGCCAACCACAAGGGATCGATGGCACTTAGCTCGAAGGTTCGCTGCTTCTTGGTGTCCTGGGTGGCATCGATCAAGTCCGGATAGACCACGTCCAGTTGCCACAACTGGCTGGCATTCTCGATGTAGATCTCCATGCCCTCGCCATCGAAGTAGGTGCGCATCACCTGCACTTGGAGCAGCGGCAGTGGAACGCTCTCGTTGATGGCCAGCTCGTTCTCCTGCAAGCGGAAGGGTCCTCGCAGGCCCAGGCCAATCCTCTGCAGACTGGAGGTGGCAATGGGAAAGACTGAAAAACGGAAGGGGAATCGATCAATATCAATCTTTACAAAAATAATTTTTAATGAATAATGTGTAAAATAAATAAATGATATTCGCATAACAGACGGACATGGCTAGATCGACACTCTGATCAGGAAATATAAAATTGCAATACCCTCTGCAAGGGTGTAAATATAAGGATTATTATCGCACCTCTTGGTGAGCTATTCCTAGGAACACTAATGAGACTCAGCTGATCCACATGCTCGTTGTTGGACATTAGGAAGGCGGTGAAGACGCACCAGACCACCAGCAGGATGGCTATCTTGAACCAGATGAGATACTTTCGGATCTGTAATAGCACATGAATAATGGTAAATATTTCCTCAGATAGTTGGCCCACCAATGTACCCACCAAACTTTTGGCATGCGGTTCGGCCTCGTCGTGCTGATCGTCGTTGTTGTTCTCCAGGTCCCTGGAATGACGGGGAATCACAGAAAACTGGTTGCACTAATTACGTAACTGACAATCGAGAGGCACAGAACTACGAACCTGCCGTCGAGCACCCGCACCTGACCCGCCTCGTTCGTCACATTTATCCCGATCTGTGTGAAGGCCTGGTTGGCCATGGCCGTTTCCTCGTGGTGTCCGTTCTCCACCCGAACTTCCGCCTCCTCCGCTTGCAAGGGATCAACATCTGTGATGGGAATAGATTCATTAAAAAAAAGCCATAGTTAATCAATGCCCGCATTCTGGCTGGTTGACCTAACCCTGTCCCGGAACTGGCAAATATTTGTGCGAAAATTTACTCATTCGCTGCTCGCGAAAGGACAACTGACGGGCAACTGAATTAACTTGGCCCAGCCACGTGTTGGCATTATTTTATTGGCTCAGCCGCACGGTAATCGACTGCAGGCTATAAATACCCATAAATGGCCATGAGCGAGCTGGGGGACACATTCGCCAGCTGACTGATGGCTGCAGACAAGGATGCGCAAAAGGACACATTAGGAAGACGAAGGTTCCGGACACTAAATTTAGCCGTTGGGTTTGGGAATTACTTTTCAACATACTGTTGAATGACGCCCTTTTATTTGAGTTTGATTGAACTTTTTATTGGCAATTTATAAAACTTATTTTACTTTTCAAAAAAATAATAATAATTTTTAACCAATAACCTATATAACCTATCGTTATATATTCATTTTAAATTTTAAATATATTCAAAAATATAGGAAGTCTTGAAGAACAGAGATTTATTTAGTGTAAAAGTAAAGATTTCTCTGACTTGTTATATTTTTATTTTTTCTAAGAATTTACAATATTTTACAGCATGACTTGGATATACTTTTTTTTTTTTGATGTGCCCCTTAATTTAATTTTCAAAATAACAACATATGCCGGAAAACTATGAGAACCTTGCCAGAATTATAATTTGCCAATCCCCAAATAGTGCTTCCATCAAAACAATTGAAGACAAGCTTGGACTTAAGTTTTTGGTATGCAAATCAGGAGAAAACCCGGACATTGTCCAATGTCAATGCCAACGCCGACCCAAATGGCAATAAAAAATACAGCAATAATTACGGCAATAAAAAAGGTAGCAACAGCCAGACATAAAAAATGGAAATTATATGATCCGGGGGGCAGGAGGATGGCCAGAATGCCGCAACTTACCGCCGTGTAAACGTTCGTGCTCCTGGCGAAAGGACGCTAAACTGGGATCCTGACGAATGCGCTCCGGCAGAGTTCGCCAGACCTGTAAGGCACCTTCGGTTACTTCGCTGCATGTGTGTTTGAGCAAGGAGCAGGACGAGATGGGGCAGGATTTTTGTTACACATCGGGGAGCAATGAAACGCACCGCCGAAAAGAAGAAGAAAATAAGCAAAGAATCAAGATTTAATAAGATTACCAGGACTTGTGTTGGAATTTGTTTGTTCAGGTGCGTGGGCGTGGCTCGAGCGCCCTGCCAAAAACATTCAATAAATTTTTTAGCACATCCATATTGATTTTCTCCCTCTATTCGTTTTTATTTCTTTAGCTCGTGCGTGCAACAATTTGTATTTATTTGATTTGACTCTTATAGAGACTTTAAATTTAAGTTGTTTACCCTAAAAGGGTTTCTACAGGGTCTCAGCTTATGCTACATGAAGTGGAAATTCACTTGTGGTTAAGAAAGTGAATGAAAATCTTCTTGGCAAGGAATCTGATTGACAACATATCTGAAATGGCTTTTAGGGAGCTGGCCATAAAATCAGATTTAAGTAAATGTATTTGGCGAGTTAGGTGGCAAAAAAAGGATAAGCAAAAACTGATGGGTATAAATGGAAAAAGGATTTGAAGTCTTAAATCCAATAATAAAATTATAAAAATATCTTGGTTGTCAATTTATGAATAAATTTCATGATTCATTCATAAATGCCTTTGTTCCTATTACTAATGTAGAATATATCATAATGGAGCACCCAAAAGCAACGTTCCGTGCGTCACGTAGCCCACAAGATAACTTAAATTCTAGCAATTCTTATTCTAATTTCCACACAAACTGACCGAAGCAATCTTCAAAATACAGATTTCTTGAATTGCCAAAGAATCGCGGTACCCGAGCTCAATTAAAGCGCAATGCCAGATGCGACATTCAGCCAGCTATATAAGTCAGACTCGCTTTAAGGTCGTTATCAGAGGAAAACTCATCAGACCAAAGAAAGATGTCTATTTGTACTGGCCATAAAATATTGTTTTCAGTTACATTTCCATTTCAAATGCGAGTTTAATGACTCTTTGCCATAATTGCCGGGACCCAAGCAGCTGAGGTCTGTTCGGAGAATTAGATGGGAACTGGGGGAAGGTTCCTCGGTGAAGGCACACTTGGAGTGCATTGGGAATCGCATCACGTGTGCGGGCTAAATAAATGCAATTTGTGCACTTGATTCAAGTGGCCACACAAATCTTAATTCGCTCGGCTTGACTAAATTTACTTAGGCCTGCGTTAGAACGATGAAAAGTGCTCGAAATAAGTCATAAATTATATTTACTTAGGTTTCAATTAGCTCTAACTTGCTGGACGGACGCGATGTAGTCATGTCATAAACAAAAACAAAATCAGAATCAGAAACAAAGACAAGACCGCCAAAGTAATGCTGACACTGATTTTCTTGACCGAACGCACACCGTTGTATTTCTGTTTTTATATAGCGGTCATATAGCAAAACCGACATTTCAGCTTGAACTTGCCTCAATTGGCATACTCAGATTAGACAGTTCTGGTTTTCACAGCTCGTGCATTAGTCATGAGATCAATCAAAGATCTCTCCATGTGATGAGGTGAAATGAAGACAAGTGTCGATGGGTGTGCCAAAGAAAAAGACTTCTGGGAATCCTAATTGAACAAAGCTTGTAGCTCATGTGGGCGTTTTAGTTAGTTGTTTTCAACGAATATCTTAAATTAAGTATTGTTCTATCAGCATTGTCCAATAATCCAATGATCTTCAAAAAGATAAACAAAATTCCTGAATAGCTTCTAGCTTGTTGCCACTGATTAACGTTAACTTCTGCTAATCAAAACATGCCCTTAACATAATTACTTTCAAAAGTAATTGCAATTTTACAAAGTAATGTCTTTGAGAATTTTCCCCTAAGAGGAAAAGAAAAGCAAAGACTCAAGCAGCCGCTGTCTCCTCAACGCAATGATTAAATGATTTTGTTGATGGCTCTTAATACTTTGAACAGCTACTTTATGTCACGGCTTTCATCAGCTGAAGTGAAGACAAGTGTCCGTGTCAAAGATTGATTCACCCGTCAGCCCGCAGTGAAAGGACACCCACAAACACAGGCATATCCTGTATAGGGAACTCGAGCTATCGTTAGCAGGAGCCAAACGAGTTTTTCGCTCGACTGAAGCTCCCGACAATTTGTCGGTTTTTCCTTCGGGTGCTACACAGACAAAAAGCGTTTAATCATTTTTAAAAACAAACCAATTGAAAGATCTACATAGAATTATCAATAGCAATAATTTTACATCCTAAATCTGCTATGAAAACTTTTGTATATTTGTTGATTTTGGAAATAAATTTACTTGTATATATCATTATGTAAGATTCTGTTCCACATTAACAATGTGCAATTTAGTTTGACAGTTTTAAATAGCTCGATTTTTGTGGCAAATGTTTCAATGCCAACTTTTGATCTCATTCATTTCTTTCTCTGTAGCGGAGGTAAATTCATAAAAAAGCGATGACAAGCTGCGTAAGGCTAGAACACAATTGATTTTAAGGCACATACTCGTCGTCGTATGCGTTATCCTCGGAGCTGTTGCCATAGTTGTAGGCCATCCTTGGAGTGGAAACCAAAAAAGTTCAGGGGTCTTGGGATCGGGTATTAAAATGTTACACTCAACAAGTTTATCCGCAAAAAAAAAACGTACTATTACGTAAATTGCATTTACGCACACACACGCGAATTGCTTTAATACGAAAGCCGAGGAAAATATGAATTTTCCTTTGTTAATCGCATATTTTTGCGCCGCTGGGATAATGGGGAAAATTGAGCAAAAGACGGCTCTCTTTAATTAAATAGCGGGATCGCGTTGCCTTGACCACTTGTTGCAGCGCGAATGGCCTTTCAGTTCAACTGCGCTTTTTATTGTCGCGTGCCCTTTTCGGTTTTTTGTATTCTTTAATGCCGTGCCGCCGATCGTGACTCGGATCGGGCGTATATATGCGGTCGAAAGCTGAAGCGGTACTAACTGTCGTCCGCAGTTTTTTACCCTATTTTGTAGGTTTTAATGCAGCCGCACTCGCAGCAGCGTCGCAGTGGCGAAGCAGAGCGCCAAAGAAGAAGGTAAACAAGAGCTCAAATAAAATTTCCTGATATTCACATTCGCTTTCCATCATCATCATCAGTTATCTTGCGCTGACCGCGCTTTGCTCATTATTCGCATTTATGCTTTCTCTGCGGCAACTGCAAGTGCACTCAAAATCCCACAACAAACTCGACCGATCATAACCATCGTTTATACACTTGGAAAAATATTATGTCTTCCACGTGAAACTATTTTTTTTCAAGTTCAAAATCTAGTAAAATATTTTGTAACAAATAAAATGTATACAAAAATAATTTAAAATCACCTTAAATTATATAAAATATTTTTTTGTCGAATAAAAATAGATTTTTGTTTCTTAAATAAAATATATATACATGGAAAAACATTTTTAAGTTTTTAAATGTTTGGATTACTTTTCTTAAGAATTTTTTTTTGTGCAGTTTAACTCAAAAATATAATTTTTCTCCACCTTCCACCCACCCACGACGGGGGTTCACTTTCGGCTCCACCGAGTGCACCCTCTCATTTGCTCAGTGTTTACTTTTCCACTCTCTTCCGTCATTGTTGTTGCTGCCGCTGGCGTTGGCTTATTTGCACTTCTTTCAATTACACTTGATTTATCACATTTGACAGTTGTTCTGCGATGCTTTTGATCTTGCGCTGCGCTACGCTGAGATTTTTAAGGAGTTAAGAACCATAGAACACTTTAAAAAAAACAAGTTATTTTAGATTCCATTTTTAACAGCATAAATTAAATGTGCACGTCATAAATTGATGTTCATCATAAATTAAAAAATCAGCTGATCATAATTTGGCTAAATAAAGGTGTTTCAACACTACTTGTTCTGTTCAACTGGTATATAAATTCGTTAATAAAAAATCCTGTTAAAAATATAATAGTATAATAAATTAAGCAACAGCCATTAGCTAAAAAAATTTCTTTTGATTTTTCAATGAATCAATTACTCAATTCAATTTATTAGAACAAAGAAAACATTTGAAAACATTTCATTGAAACATAAAAAAAAAATAATATACGCTAAAATGCAGTACTTTGATCTGACTTTATATAGTTCCAATTATAAATTCTATTTTAAGCAGCAACCCGATACAATTTTCATCAATTTGTTCCGCTCGTGTTAAACGATTTTATGACACGAGATGAGCTATGAGCTCGCGTCGTTCGCAGTCTATGCTGTACATTATAGGTTTATTCGCAAATTTGGCGAGAAATCAGCTGCTCCGTGGCTCAATTATTCTGTTAAGGAGCGCTGCGAATTATGAAACAGCCGTAGACTGCCTAAATTGAAGGCGTATTCAGGGGATGCTTCGCGAGGCCTTGGAGTTCAAGGGTGCCTTCAATTCGCATGCAAATTTCGTGGGCAACCGTTGAGAAATTGAGCCAAATCCGAACGCGCCCACGTGATGCGAAATTCAAAACGTATTCGTTCTAAATCCCAGTAATTGAAAGGCACCCGAGGGAGCTGGCGCCTGTCAAAACTTTTGGCAGACGCATATCACATAAAACGTAACGTAATGTAACGAGACGAAAAGATTTTGTCGAATATGCAGAAAATATTTGAAGCTTAAAGTATCTACTTTTTTTGGCCAACTCAAATGCTGACTCACTGACGTCACAGGTGTGTGCGCTTGTCAAGTTTGCATAATGCGGCAGGTAATGCAATACTTTCCCCCTCCTAGATTAGAAAATCAAGCCAGCCCAGGGCCACAGTTGCAATCTGACACCGCCAGCCCCTAATGATAGCCATTTTGCAGCTCGGCTAATGAAAAAGGTCTCCAAGCATGAAGAATAATGTACTATATATATATATATGTACTATATATCGCCCGTGTTGACCCAAGCTGCCACAAGTGTTTGCCGTGGCCGAGAGAAATGCAATTTAATTGAAAAGAGAGTCCGAACTCGGGGGTTTCGCATTTCAGAAAGGCGGCCAGCTAACAGCCATGGCATTGAAATCGAAATTGAAACATAAATCGAAGGGAAACCGAAGCACCAGTTGTCGACGTTTAGCGTAATGTGCGCACTTCCAATGGATAATGGCTAATTGCCGATGAGGCACGCCCCGTCTAAGCACAATTGGGTTTTTTAACAGAGTGCCATTCTATCCGTCAATTATTTCGCAATGCATTTTGATAGGTGGAAGGGTAGGCATCACACTCAAAATACAAAAAAAAAAAATTTTAAGTTATATAATTTTGTTGGACATTTAATTGTGAAGAAAACATTTCTTATATTATAATATTTAGCTTACCCAGAAAGGACTAGAAAAACTTCCAAAAAAAACGTTTTTATCTACAGTGCACTTTGTTTTTTGCTGTTGCATGTAAAAGACAAGGCAATTAATTTTAAGTCATTTGCTTCGAACACTTGTGAATTCAATTCAATTCAAATATATTAAATTATTTTTGTTCGTCATCTCTAGATAAATATAAATTTCTAAAAATAACTTCTCAAACTGAAAATATTTTAAAACCATATTAAAGTTCAGGCGTGTGAGTGGCGAAGCAATTGAAAGTGCACGCACTTTTTCCGTTTGACAAATTAAATGAACACGCGCTCATCAAACGGCTTTCCTCTTATGCCGGGATATATATTAAATCAACTCAAACTTGCTTAAGTAAGCCGTACTGACACAGACACTCACGCACACACAGGCAGTCGGGATAGATGTGCCTATATAGGTCATTGTGCGACAATGTTGATAACGAAATTACAGACCCGAAAAAACGTAATTTTATCCAGTCGGTCATTTGGCCGCTTTTTCTTCCATTTTTTTTTCGGCTTCCCGTTTTAACTTTTCTTTTTGTATTTTATGTGCACAGGCCAAAATATTTGTATCGGTTAAATTCTATTTTATGAAAAAAAACCGTTCATTAAATATTTCAAAAAGCATTTAAAAAGTTGTATTTACAATTTTAACTTTAGATTTGCAATAATGAAAATAGAGAAAAGCAATAAAATCCCTAGAAAATATGTCTAAAAGTATGCAATGAAAACATTTACATTTCCTTGCAGAAAAATCTTCTTTTAAACGCTTTTAAAACAGAACATTAAGATCAATATTCCTATTCTATATCTTATAATTTTTATTTAGCACTGATAGTCTTTAACAATCAACATTCTATATCTTAAAACATTAAAAAATTATTATTTTTTGTAAAATTAGTATTTTTGAACTGATAGCCTTTAATAATCAGCACGTTTATTCTCTTGTAATATTATTTTATAATTTAAGCATTTAAAGTACAATTATAAAATCGCATTTTTGGCTTGGTAAGCTTTTCCCTCAGTGCAATCTTCTCCCGTTCCCGTTTCGCTAGTGGGCATGTCATTCATGTGGCGCTTTCACTGCGACACGCTTCATTAAATTCGAGAAAATTGAAAGCCTGAAACCGCTCAGCACTCAGCGTTTGGCGAGTCGCATGTGAGCGACTTTAAGTCTTATTTTTAAATCAGGGTGAGGAGGGAGGTGGTGGCAGCCCTCGATTAGCAAGTTAAATCTTTCGCCGACGGTACGAGTATTTTTCCATTTCGAAAAATATGAGTTAATTAATTGAAAACGCGACTGTGTGCGACGTGGGCTGGGACCCTGGAAGAATATACAGCTGCTCCGCAGAGTGGCAAATGGCACACGTTCTCAATGGGCTCATAGTCACACGTTTCGACGACGCCGCCATAAATCGAACTGTGACTGAGAATGGCCATTTCGCCAGGGGCATGGCTAAGTAGTGGATGGTAGTGGGGTAGAGGGTGGAAAACGAGGAAAGGGAACGGCTTTCATTCCCACACACAAACGGTTCAGCTTGCAGTCGAGTGTCGTATGCAAATTGCTGGTATAGCTGGTATATATTTGCATTTTTAATTTCCACATACTTAAACTTTACTTTGTATTAAACGAGTAAATCAAAATGCAGTTATAGAATATTTTATTTATATACGGGGGCTTTTATTTAGCTTATTAGTATTCAGATTATAGGATGTTTTGTAAAATAATCATTTGTTGGAAAATAATTATTTATAGAAATTGTATGATGCAGTTAAGTCATGTCTGATTGAATTGTTTGTACTTCTTTTTGTCTTATTAGATATGCTATTATTACTGATGTAAAAAGAAACACTCTACACCATTTTTAGTCTTTAAAAGTTACTTTTTACTTATTTTTTAGTGGTATTATATTTAAACACATATATCTATTTCTTTTATAAAAATATACGCATAAAAACCAAAGCAAGCTGCATGTAATTAATTTTTTGACAACTTTAAACAATTTTTTTTGTTACGACCTTTCCTTTGTCTTTCAACTTGGCAAGTGTCAACTGCAGGGCTTTAACCCAAATTTAGCATTAAATGTTTTAATTATTCATGTGCCATGTTTATGGCCCTCGCTGTCGTCGACTTTTACAAGCACACATCCTGGCGGGTTCATAATCACATTGTGAAGAAGCTTAGAATTGGCGACTGAGACTGGGCCAGAATTTGACCTTGGCTGCTTGAACGAGGTCGTCGTCGCAATTCGCATTATGTGAAAGAATTTTTACTTTTGGCTGACCCACATTTGAGGCGGGGTGGCGGTGTTAATGGCTTACTTCAAAACGGCTACCATTTCACAGGGCGGATGAGCGATATGCGCGTACTGAAATTAAGTATACAGCAAGTTGGTTTTGCTCTGGCTGCAAACATTTGTCTATTTCCAAAAAACAACCAGGAAAACCAATTGAAAATTAATGGCAAAATAATTTGCCAGAAAGGAGAAGTCGGTTTTCGGTTTGTTGATTTTCCTGGCGCCCATTTGGACAAACAAATTAATTAGTTTTTGTCTTCATTTTAGCTCACTTCAAAAAAAATAAACGAAAAATGTCGGTCACGTAGCCAGGACACTTTGAGGACCCAAAAGCACGACTCGCTTGGCAGCCCAATTGATGGATGGGTTGATGGATTTTGCTGAATGCCAATACCTGATTCTATGAAATATGCCTGCGAATTTCTTTGCCAATTCATTGAAGTGTTCTATATTGAAATATTAATGGCAGCGGAAGCAGGATTCCCCACATTTGTCCCTTGTTTGCGAGGCAAACGGAAATTAAATGTCTGACATTAATTTCGTTTTTGTTTTTCTCGTTTTGGGCCGACACATGTTGCTGCCATTCAAGGGAAAATTAGACTCGTACACGATTACATGTTTATGTTTATGTTGTGGTCGAGACGGACACCGGAACTGCCTTCTATCCTGTCTGTTCCAATCTCCTGCGAAGTTAAAGGCACGTGCCCTTGCCTGAGACATAAGAAACCCATATAAACATATAAATATACGAGTATGGGAATCCGGCATTAGCAGATGTTCGGCTAAACATGATTCGGCTCATGAACTTTGGCATCTTTGCCCGAAAATCGCAATCTTGTAATGGGAAAGGTTAAAGGAACACTTCGACTGAATAAAACTCATACCAGCTCGTAACCATAACAAAAATCTGTACTTTAAAAGACTAAATGTAGGGACAAATTCGACTATAAAATGCTTGACTTCACAAATGACATCTTTAAACTACATTAACTTCAAATAGAATCAAAAAATTTAAAATATGAAGATCCGAAGTTGAAATAATTGAATTAAATTAAATTGTATTTCTTTTGACTGTAGCAACAATTGCTTTCATTTCTTTGATTATAAGCAGCTTCTCACACATTATTTATTTAATAAAATGGTTCAATTAGTTTTTAGGTTTATTTATAAGCTGCTTTTAGTTTTTTCTGTATATAATCCCATTGATGTTTAATGTCACGTTTTACCTTTTAACTTAAATAAAAACCTATTGTTTTTAATAGGATTAAAGCAATTTCGTGGATTGCTTCTCAAAATTCTAAATAAATAGTCAGATACTTATCAAGAATATTAATTTTTGTTGTCGTTAACTCGGACAAATTAATAGTCAGCTAAAAATGCTTTTTATTGAAACGTTGCTTCTGTGATTTACTTGTTAAAATTGCTGAGCTTAAAATGACAACGTTTTAAACCCTTTTAAATGGTGAATGAACTAATTAAGTTGAAATGTTATTTATTTATATTTCTCTTTTGAATTGTTGCATTTTATCAGCTTAAAATGATAACGTTAAAAGCCCTCATAAATAATTAATAATTATTTATAAATTTATTTTTATTTACTTGGCTAAAGGAAAATATATGATATATGATACATTTAAAATCGGCTTTAAGTCCTAGTTCGTTTTGCTTTCTAACTTACTTTGGCTGTGGGAATCTGTCGCTCTTGGTGGACGCCTGTCGGTGGGGCCACAGGCGCTTGGTCACCTTCACCCGCATCTTGAATGGCCAGATGTTCTTGCGTTTCTTGTGGATGCTGGGTACCCTGCCACTGCCACAGCCACTGCCACGTCCACTGTGGCGCCGCGATATCGAAGATGCGGCACTGTGACCCACTGTGCCGGTGTCCGTCGTCTTGCTGCTGATGTTGCTGTTGTTGTTGTTGTTGTTGTTGCGGGGTTGTTGGGTGGCAGTGGTCGGGGGCGGGGTATTGGGCGCAGCGTGAACCCGAACTGGAGCAATTTTGACCGAATTCGGGAGCGTGTTAAATTAATTAAGCCGCAGATGTCTAGACCCGATTTTGACTTCAACTCTCAGCGTTTGATTTGTTTGAACCCTTATCTATTAATACTAATTATTATCGCAAATCACAAGAATTTATTGGGTTTGGGTTTAGGCCTTTCTCTTGTACATCTTGATGTAGTATAGGCTTTTGTGCCTTCGCTTCATATAAACGAATCACGCATACGCAGTGTTGGCTTCTAGTAGTAAATAAATTGATAAATACAAAACAGCTGCCTGCCACAAAAGTTCATGGTTGCGTCACGCAGAAGTGGGATTAATTATTAAGGGTCCAGAGTGACGAAAATAGTCGCCTGACAGACATGGCTCAACCGAAGCCTAATTGGGAATCAATATTCATTTAGTTTGCTCATGGCCTCATTTCATCTATCAACCAAATCAGTTGGCACATCAAAAAGCTTAATCGAAAGGGACAAGGGATGATCACGTACGTCATCGTCTGCGGTTCATGGAGCACGTTCCATCGGTTGATTTCCGATGTGTTCACTATATATCTGCGTATTAAGTTCTATTTAATAATGGTGTTTGCTGCTAATTAGTAGGAGTGCGCTTTCATACATTAAACAATTTAGAAAGGGCGCCTAATTAAAAACCCGGCCCAAACACATTTCAAATTATGGCAAGCCATCTGGGGGATTTGGCCAAAATACGGGTCAAATGCAAAACAGACACGTGGCAAGGTCTCATTTGGTTGAATGTTTTACGCCAAAAAAACATAAAATGGTGCCGAAAATATACTGTGCGTTAAGCGGAAATTGCCTTCAAAGATATGTCATCGTTAAGGGGCGGGAAATTTATTTATTTGGCAAAAAATAAGTGTGTGCTGTTACATAAATGTGTCAACAAGGTGGAGAAGCCATCTATCTATTTTATATGTTGAGAATGGGAAATAAATAGATATTAAATAAAACTCCTGTCCTTTCTTCTGGTATTTTTGTTATTTGTGAAATAAAACATATACAAAAACAGACAAAAATTAATTTCTATGTCTTTTGTTATTTTGAATTTTGTTCAAATATTTTTTAAATTGTCTTTACTTTTGTATGACAATGTAGGCATTCACTGATTTTTCACATGACAGTAAAATGTATTCTCATATTATGTGTTCCTAATCACTAGTTGTTTTCAATCAATTATAGTTATGCATTCAGAACTCCAATACAATCCAACCCGAGTGTTTAATTTACAGACTTTTCAATGTTTTGGCAGTAAAACTTTTCGTATCCTGGCTGACGGACCGTTGGCAAATTAACGCCACAAAAGTTTGGGGCTTTAAAAAGCCTAAAGCAATCAGTTAAAATTTATTTGAGTTTTCCTTAGAAGCCATTTTTGTTGGCTCCAGCTCATAAATGTTGTATTGCCTTTGAGGCAGGGAAAAAATGTTAGATAGGATGTGTTGCGTTGGGACACGCACATCTAGACTGGTATAAATATTTAAAATGAATGTCAAGAAAAGTTTGCAAAGCTTTAAAAACAAATATGAAAGACAGACACGTATGGGTCTGCGTTTTTGTGTTGCCTACTTTTGTGGGGGCTCTTCTAAATTATTATCTGTTTCCGTTTCCGTTTACATTTTCATTTGCCAGTTCGATGATGTTATACTGATGAATCAATTTGTCCTACTAAGAATATTACTTATTTGCGTGGCCTGTCAGTGGTCAATTATTGATTGGGTTGGGCCACAAGGTGCGACCCCGAATGTCATCCATAAATTATGAAATATTTGCCAACCACTGATAGCCCCTATTTCCATGAAGGACCTGCTCACATGCCATCGCCTTTGAATGTTTAATCATGATTTTGTAAACACCAGATGGAGTTGTTCCCACTTAGAACTTGTGGTTGAATCCTGGAGAATCCTTGTGTATACGCATTGCGGTCACCAGACGCTAGCCAATTACTCAGAAAGTCAGAAGCAGAAGCAGACTAATTACCAACGCTTAATGCAAAGAAATTGCTCTTTCTGTCTGTTTTGGGCTCGCCTAATGAGTAAAATTATCTTGAGGTAATATGAAACTGGAAACTGGATGGGTCCAAATGCCCGTGGAACAAAGAAAAAATTTCCATAATTAAATGTGCTTTTATCTCTTGTTCATCTTTCCCTGCTGCAGCCACACAACCCTGAACTTTTAGACAGTTTATGATTATTTCTTTCTAAACGATAAGCTCACTTAAGGTTTTTTCTTTTTTGTGCGCTTTATTTGTACACTTAGTTATTTGACTATTATATATTTGAATCTCTATTGTTTGCCACTCGAACGCGATTGCCGAACAAACAAAGTCGCACGTCCGTTTCAAGCGAAAGTTGTAAACTGAATAAGTCTGCGGACTCAGCGCCGCGTTCCTAGTTATTTCAGCCGGTTACTGGCGATTCCGATGCCAAAGCCGATGCTTCTGCCGATGCTAAAGCCGTATAGCTATACCTACTGATACCGATACTGGTGTTACTGCTTCGTGCGTCGCCGATGTCGCAGCTGTTTTCGGTTGAATGGCGCATTGAAAGCACCGCCGGCAATTGAATGGAACACGACGTTTTCAATAGCTGTTGAATGCCTCTGTTTTTGGGGAATGCCTCCGTTGCCGCTGGAATTGGTCGTATTCCAATGGCCAACAACTTGAACTTGGTTTTGGCCCGTTCGGATTTTAAAAGCAGCTAAGCTAGCTTATTTGTTTACTTGTTCAAGAACATGGTCACTTTCTTCACCAAATTAATAAAAAATTTATTTTAATCATGGTTTAAATAAATTAATGAAAAACTTTTAAAATTTAAAAAAAAATAACATTTATTTTTAATTTTAAATTGATTTTTCTAGTTCTTACATCTTTAAACCAAATTACAAAACTTTAAATTACTTTACTGTATATTAAGATTTGTAAGTTTTTTATTTTATTTTATTTTTATTTTATTTTTTTTTTTTTGTATTTTGTATTTTTATTTTTAACTTTAATATTATTTCTTTGAGTATTGCATGAACATTTTCATGCATGTAAATGTGAAACAATAACTTCCCTTGGGACACTAATTATTACAATTATTTTTTTAATGTACGCCATTTATATAAAGCAATTCAAAATAATGTTGACCTACATATATACCAAAACCTACTTTATTTTCAGACTAAAGACTGATACATTTTTTCTGATTCAGACTTTATTTAACATTTCAATCAACTCGTCTAATTAATTGTTTACTTCAAATGAAGCTTGCTAATTGAAGCATCAGAATATAATATAATTGCTTTCGCAAAATCATCCACCAGCAACAAGTCGAGCAATTAGTACTAATTTAAGACACTTGTCAAAAAACCTAAAAATAGTTAGGTAAATGGCAATAAAGTAAGTCGAGAATCTCGTCGAAAGCTTTCGAGACTTCCTCAAAACGAAAGTGAAATCTGCAAAACAAAAAAAAAACAGCTTTATCAAATTTAAGGCCGACCGCTGGTTTATTTATAGGCCAAAGATGATAAATCCCAGTGAAGCTTCCAATTCCGACTATATAGACGGCCCACGCGCGCTCTGATTTGCATGAGTTTGTGTGCCACATTTTCTGTATGGGCAGACAAAAGGCGAATTTATCAAACGGGCCATGCAAACAGCTTCTGACGAGAAGCCCCATCTCAATTTTCTCGAATTCGGTTCGCAATCCCGAACTTATACCTTATACCCATGCCACTGACAATGAAACGGCAGGCAAACACACTCCAAGGAGCACAAAAGTGAACTCGTGTGTATATTAGTTCTCGTCACGGACAGTTTGACATTTGAGCGGCTTTAAAGACTAATATTTACGCTCTTTTATTTTGCAATTTTCCTCACCCACATGATAATAATAATTCTGATGAACAGCTAGGTTCGGAGTGAGGCGCAATAGGTGTGCTCTCTGTGTTCTTTTTTCCAATAACAATTGTGTCTTGTCTCAAGGCTGCTACGGTTTATCCATCTGAACGATAAGGGGATTGGGTGACGCCAACATGAGATTATATGGGTTAAGTCTTATTACATTTTTATGGAGATATTAGTCTCAGCTGGGTAGGAATTTAAATCTATTATAGTATTTTTAATTGTTTAAACAACGTGTCTAAAATGAGTAAAAAAAAATTCAATATTTCAATTTTTATTTAATTTAAACACAAATAATACCAAGCCCAATATGCACACCAAGCTTATAAAATAATCTTAATTTTAAAATAGCCAATTACAATTTAATAACCCTTTGAAAAAGGCCAAAAAACTTAGCCACCGCTAAGCTATTATTAAGTAAATCCCATATAATAATAACAACTTATACATAATTTATTTCCACTCAATTGTGCCACCAAGGTTGGCCCCCAAAAAAATAGACATCGACACTTAGACTACAATATGCAAGCCGGAACTTTTACAACCCCTAAGCTCATCCCTTGGCAACAGAAAAGTATTTACAGTTTGTCGGAAAATTGTGAGTGGAACCCCTCATGTACTGGCATAGGTATCGGGTCCTCCTTTCACTACCGAAACTATGACGAGTTTCCGCAAACAACACACATGTGGCCCACCGCCGACCGACTTACACTGAGTTCATGTCATCATGGCACCACCAAACTTGGGTTTGATGTTCCTGGAGGGATCACGTGGTTATTTGTGGCTGAAAAACTTTTCTAATGTACCACAGAAGGTCGAAATTAATGGCCAGTCACATCAAAGTGTTCATGTGTCAATGCCAAGGCCGATAGACAGCCTTCAACTTTTCACTCTTAACCCTTTTCTGTATATCTATTTCAACTTTCACTTTGATAAGGCCAACTGATGACCATAAGCTATTGGAAAACATAGCCATTATAAAAGTGTCAATTAACTACAGCCTATTTGCATTCATTAATTCATAGTTTCTAGAATTTCTCAAGACTTACTGGAGACAACGAAAGCCCAGTTTGTGCTCATGAAAAATAATTATGTAAATAATAACAAGTGCTTATATAACTAGGTTTGCATCAGGTTTGTTTGTCAACAATATGCTAAAAGGTAACAGGGTATCTCAGAAAGTATTAATATATTAGAAATACATTTTTTCTTTTATTCTTACAAACTTTTTTAAATATTTTCAATGCTTACAAGTTTAGAGGATTTGGGTTTTATAAATAAATCAAATTAATAAATAGTTACTTATTTCTAAAAGCTTAGAGGCACCCTGTATAGTTAAAAATACACTCTCTATAACAACCAGGCATAACTGCGTTATAATCCAGAGAACTCAGTGATTTACAATCTCAAGTTTTCCCTCTAATGGTTAATTAACAAGGCGGAACTTTTAATTGAAGTCCAACTGTGTATGTAATTCTCATTACACTAGCTTTCCACTCCACTGATAACGCTTAGCCATTTGTGTGGGAGTGTGTGCATTAATTTGACTACGACACTTGTTTGTGGCGCCATTATTTATGGACCAGATGAGAGAGGGAAAATAGCTCGAATGTCTTAGTATCACGAACAGCTGCGGAGTCTGCTGAATCACATATTTGCCAACGGAAATCAAGCACTATAAATATAATGCAAAGCAAGTCAATATTAATTCCCCATTGTTTATAAATAATATTTTCTCAGTTTCTTTGTACTTAGGTATTACATTATAAACAAGCTTGATATATCCAATGCTAGTTCCCAGAAGCGAAATGCTTAAACAAAAGATTGGCTTAAGCTGGAAATGTGTTTTTGCCAACTATTCTTGGAATTATTCACTCAAAGTCTGAAAGCTTGTGATCAACAAAGGCTGAATGGCATTCAGTAGCTTATTGTGGTTACCTTAGCCATTTTGTAAAAACAACAAACTTAGCAGGAAAGCTTAGCCGCAGAAAGATTTCCTAACAAAACAAAAACAAGATTTATTTTAAATCGGAATTAACTTCCATTTGAGTTTCTGGAAAAAATGTATATAAAGGGATAAACCCTAAAAAACCACATCCATTACTCAGCTGGGTATCTAACATACAGATGTTAGAAAAATAGTTAAAGTGGACAATGTAGTAGTCACAACATTTTAGCAGGCAACTTTACATTTAAAAGTTAATTTTATATATTTTTTTTAAGTTTCTTAAAGCTAAATGCTTATAGAGGATATTTTCTTAAAAAAATTTATAAACCAATTAAAAATATTTTTATAAAACTATAAGTTTTCTGAACACCCCTGTTATTTTAAGCACAAGTGTTATATGCCATATATTTATCATTATACATACATTAATGTTCTTACAAGGAATTCGAGATTTAAGTCTGATCAATATCAATAAACAAATAAATTGTAATCAATATCAATGGGAAACATCTGTTGTGGTTCCCAGCGGCTTAAAATCCATAAAATGTACACAAATTGATTTCTTAAAAAAAAAAACCAGAACACAAACAAAAGCGACCGATGGACCGTTGTTAAGGAGCTTAGCGAGACATTCAAAAGAAAAGTTTTGGGGCCACCTTCTCCTCGACCACAATTAAATGTCAGGCTAATGAGAAAACGGAACCAAACAAATAAACAACAGAAACTTTGACTGGCAGTGGCACCCCCGGGCGTATACTTTATATAGAAAAAAGCTGATGCGAATGGGCCACCCGGGGCGTATACTTGATGTGCCTGACTTACCATTTGCTTCGATGCTTGGCATTCAGATGCAACCAACTGATGATCTCCTGCAGCTTGGATTGTCGCTCCTCATCTTCATCCTGGTCATCGTCGTCATCTCCCGGCTGCAAGTGATACGGATCCTGACTGTGGTCGGTTATCATAAAGGTGGGCTTGCTATATCCATAGGGCGATGTCATTTTAATTTGCACACCCAAAAAACAGCACAATTTTCGCGAATTTCGTTCACTTGTCACATCTTTGTTGGCCTTCGGGGCGCGACGACAAGGGCAGACTGCTAAGTCTAAGCCAATTTCCAATTTTCACTTTATTCCTTGGCGCAAATTAATTAAAATTCAGTCAGTCGCTGGGACGGACTTTCCCTCTCGCGGCTGCCATAAAACTGCTGGCAGTCTCCTCACCACATGGCGGAAGAGTCAGGTCACCTCCTCCATTCCCTCGTGGCCATTTGTTTGAGAACTTAAAATACAATTTACCTATGGAACGAGCGCTGTGGAAAGCGGGGAAAGCGCAGCAGCAGCAGAGCAAATAAACACCAACAACCACCCGAGAAAATCCCTTGTTGCTATTCTATTTTGTCTTGTGCTCGTTTATTGACCAGCGTTTGTCTTTCTATATACTAAATACACTGGGTCTTATATGCAAAGCACTCTCATACGCGGATATTCTGGTCAACATTGAACTTGGCAATGGTCAGACTCAAGAATTATTTATGGTTGTTTATGTTTTCTTCCTAGGTGCATTTTGGAATAAGTGCAAAAATAGGAAAATTATGAAATTAGGGTTTCTAAAATACTAAAGAGAGGCAAAGCAAGAAATCTCGGAACATTCACTATTTATCGCCTGATTAATTTTTACAATTTCCCCACTTTGACCTCAAACAATAAAATCTAAAATTAGTGAATTTTACACGACACTACAGATGCTGCCTTGAGAGGCCCCCGAAAAGTTTGTTCATTTCCATCAGTCCAGCCAAAATTTATAGTACAAACGCCAAGGCATATGGACTTCCATATTTTTTGTATATTTTTATACATTTGCCAATAATAAACAAACGCTTAGATATAGATATTTTTGCTATACATGTTTCAAAACAGATTAAAAACATCAAGAGGCGAATATAAAAGGACAACTCACACAAAACAACGTTAGATTTTAATTGAAAAAACATTTTCCATTAACTATAATTAGATATTATAAAATAGGGACTGGACTAGGAGATATATTACGGAGGGAGAATCAATGCCATTCGAAGACGACGTGGGCCACGAGTAGATAGACAGTCATCAGGGTGATCTGTCCCAGCATCATGGGAAAAACGGTTCTCAAATACCGGGTGAATGAGAGCTTATAGCCATGTTGCTCGGCGATTCCGGCTGCAATGACATTGGCTGAGGCTCCGTACAGCGTCCCATTGCCGCCCATCGAAGCGCCCAAGGTCAGAGCCCAAACGAGTGGCTGCAGGGGCAATCCCAGCGATGGTTTGGCCACCAGTGAGGTCACCAACTTCACCATCATGGCGGCCACTGGAATACTGTCCAAAATGGAGGATGCCAGTGCCGACATCCACAATATCATGAAAATGGCCATAGCCAGACGATGGTTCTTCCCAACCGAAAGAATCACATGTTCGGTGAGCTCACCGATGCAGGAGAAGATGCCCAGCCGCTCCACGCACTCCATCATCACGAACATGGCCGCAAAGAAGAGGAGGGTGGTCCATTCGATGCGGTGCATGAGGTGCTCCATGTCATCGCGATTCAGGATGATCAGGAGCAGGATCACGCCCAGCAGGGCCACCCATCCAAGGGGCAGGGTCCTCCAATGGGGCACGGATTGAATGAAGAAGCAGACTATTACGAATATCAGGGCTCCAGCGGATTGTAAAAGCAATGTCTTGTTTTTGATGGGGTACTGAAAAGAGATCACTGGTTACAGAGTTTCTTTGATAGCTTCATAGTCTCTTATTACCTTCTGCTTCAGTTCATCCAGTGTGTTGGTATATACCTCCGAGGATCCCACACCCTTTTGCAATCTTCTCAGGGTCCTCTTTAGCTGCTTAACTTTGCCCAGAAGGGTTCCCCTCACCAGTTGCGCATCCTTGGAACAGGAGCCCACAGCGTTAAGGGCCCTCTGCCACACCTTCATCTCCCTCCTCAGTTCACTCATCTCCTTGGGCTCATTGAGACGTAGTGCATCGATGTTGCGATAGAAAATGCGCAGATAGAGACAACTTTGGACGACGGCCAGCAGGACACCTGGGAATGTGTGGGCCACAAAGGTGGGGAAGGTAACGTCCTGAAAAGATCAACAATTTATGTTAATGTTTAATCCCCCTTAACACAGTCTTATCATACGACTTACATTATCCACAATAAAGTGATTGGTGCTGACTATAATGCTGATGGGATCGCCGATGGGTGTTAAAGCTCCTCCGATATTGGCATGCACTATTATGCCCATCACGGCGGGCAGTGGATCCAACTGCATCACCTCGCACAATCGAATTGCCACTGGGGTCAGGAGCAGCACAGTGGTCATATTGTCCAGCACACTGGACACCAGACAGGTGACCAAACAGAGACTATATATCATGGGCCAAATCTTGCCACCCGAGATCTCGAAACAAAAGACGGCCAAGTAGTCGAAAACACCAGTTTCTGTCAGTATCAGAATGAGCAGCATCATGCAAAAGATTAGAGTCAGTAGCTCCATGTCCATCCATTGGATAATCTCATCCATATTGGGGCGATCTGGGGAATATAGATAGATAAATAAATTAAATAAGAAATTTGTGGTTAATAACCCACCATTAAAGCAGGCCAGAGCTGTCACCGAAAGGATCGAGCAGATCATGGCCACAAAGGTCCTTTCAAACAGTTCCCACACCAGCAGGGCATAGAAGATCAACAGGATCAGGCCAGCCAGAATGCTGCCTGTCCTGGCATTCACTATCAAGGGATTGTAGTTCAGAATGATGGCCAAATCGGTCTCCACATCGCTGTGGATATGCAAACGGAACTCGCTTTCCTTTTCGGCCAGGATGTCGTTCAGTTCCTGGGTCATTTGATAGGTCTTATTACTGGCCACTGCCGGAGAACGTACCAGTTCCTCCTCAGAAAGCAAAGGTAGACGCCAAGCTGGAAGGATGTCCTATAAGGAAAATACATAAGCAAAACTATTACTATTTAAGTTCGCCTTTCCTATAGAAAAAATCAACTTTAAAAATTTGTTAAATAAATTTTGGAATTTAAAAATATAATTCTGTTTAAATTATAAGATAAATACCCACCTGAAACACCTTGCTGCGATTCTCGCCAATGTAATTGGACACCTGCGGCTGCACAGTCAGAAATCTAAAGCTCAAAGTCTCATTTTCAGGGGCATCCAGCGTGGAGAGCTCTCTGAAGGCGCCATGGATTTTCAAACGAAAATCTCCGGTGGGTTTTTGCAGCAACTTAAAAACTAAAAAGGGTATACATATGACATTAATAAATATATATACTTATTATTTATAAGATAACCACTCACATTTTCCCTGTTCGCCCTGCGGCACATCAATGGTCTTCTCCAGCAGATGCTTCTCACCCACCGAGATCAGGACCACGGCGGCCAGCAGCCAGAAGAGGAGCAGTCCACCCCGTTTCCACAGTTTGTCCCGCTGTAGCTGGTCCTTGGAGCGCTTGGACTTGTGATGGATGCGGCGGGCCTGGGACTTGGCATTGCCAGGGCCATTGGCCGCTTCGTGGTCGTGGTCGGAGTGGGTGGTGCCCTCGTCATCGGTGGCATTCTCATCACCCGGCCTGTTCTTGATGTCCAGGAAGTCGGAGCCAGCGTAACTGGAGCCAGGCTCGTCCTGCAGCCGACTAGCGTTCTTCCTGTTCTCATCATCATCCTCATCATAGCCATCCTCATCCTCATCGTCACTGGCTCCCGCCGAGGAACCTACAAGTGGGTGGCGTTTAAATTATTAATGAGCCTAGCTAAGACCTGGGAATGGCCTTGTTTGACAGTTTATCGATTTAAATGCTAGGGATTTGTATACACTGGGGAAACAGTCATTGAATACCATGATTTTACCATGAATTTTGTGTCGGCAAAACGTTTAACGTGTTTATTTAACGTAATGAAATAGTTAAAATTGTAAATTCCTTTGGTTTAACTGGCTTTTTTCGATTTTTTAGAATTAACGAGTATTTAAATTAAATAAAAACTATAAAATTAAATAATAAAACAAGATAAAATAATATAAATAAAATTAATAAATCGAATTCTACAAATTGATTTATATTTCACGGTTTAAAATACATTGTTTCCAGCACCAAAACTATTTTTAAAAATATCACATTTAATTAAAACAATAATAAGAAATTCTTTTGATGTTTAAGCAAACAAATAGTGTTGTTGGTTACTAATATTTAAGCATATTGTCAACCGAAAGCTAAAAAACCTCTGGTCAACTATTAAGATTAACTATTGGAAATGATATAGACTCACCATGGATGCGATCGTTTTCCATCTGAAAACTGGCCATGCTGGGATCATGGCGGATTTCGGCGGGCAGTGCGCGCCATACCTGTAGCGACTGCTCGGTGACCTGGACGGCGGCCACCTGGTTGTGATGGCAGCCGCTCCTCGGACTGCGGTGCTGCAGCTCTATGCTGCAGTTTTTCCGCCCGGGACTATCCGGCCGAAGATTTCGAATGGTATCCCGCAGACCCATAGTCTACGAAAATCAGCAGGTTGCACGGTTAGTTGGGGGGCAGAGCGTGGGAGCTTTTCCAGAGATTGTGGCAATGGACGTCAGTCAGCGAGGTACAGTAGCGGACATCTTTGCCGCACACGAGGCACAATGCGACTGAGCGGAATCTTCAGCGACCGAATACAAATCCGAGTCGGATGCGAAACAGTTGCGGGGTTTCGGTTTCCATTCAGCCGCCGGCGCTGCTTTCAATATTGAAAGTGAAAACGCCCCTTATCGCCCCTCCTCGCCGACCTTCAGTTCGTTGGGGCTGCATGGTCGCCGATTTCCAGGATGGCGCAGGCGCCGAGATATTGTTGTGAGTTATAATGTTTTGCTCGCCTCATTTGGGGGTAACAATTCCCATCAACAAGTTTGCAGTTTGCACTCCCACGATTGTCAACACTTCGCTAGATTATGACTTATTCAAACGCATTTTCATGACCTACTAATTTCTGCCACCCACGAGTTTAAATGCACTCAATTGCTTAAACGACATGCGGTTGGTATATATATGTTTTTATATAGGGAATGCGTTTCAACCTCCAGGTGACGTTAATATCGACGTTTTGAAGCCCCTCATTGATATTGAATCAAAATCATTAAACTTTAGAGTTTTTAAATATTTTCTTGAAATTATTTTTATTCAAAGCTATATTTTGCAAACTTTTCGGGATTTAAGAAAATAGTGTTGTTGGTTGTCTAGAACTATTGTTAAATATATTATAGAAAAAGTTATACAAAATATTATTGCCAAGCTAAAAATTTTTTAAAAATAAATATTTTGAACAAGTTTGAACAATAATTAACTCATTAATCATACATCTTTATGAAATCGAAAAAATGTGTTGTTTTGCTAATTTCGTACATAATAAAATTATTTCTTTATTTTGGAATTGATGTCCAAAAACGAGATAACATTTATTGACCTTTCTTTTTATAAACGAGTTATGATTTGCGTAAATCTGTATATAAGAAACATATTGTGGCCATGAAGTGGAAAATTTCCTGGCAATCTCCAAATTTGCATCCTGCAACGACCGTTAACTGAGGGTTGATTTAACAATTGTATGCATAAGAAACGTGCCGAAAACGGCTGTTTTAGTAAGCTTGCCCAAACATAAAAGTGAACCTGTTTACACAACTTTTGCCCTATTAATAAAAAGTTAAATGCACAAAGGAAATATTTGCACACATGCAAGGTTTGAGCAAACTGAATTTCGGCAGAAATGAAACCTATATAAGTCGTACGCAGTGCCCCTCTAAAAGACTATCATCGCAAATTGCGAAGAGTAACAAAATGAAATTAGCGCTCATCTGCATAACTGGTAAATAGTATCCATTTCACTATTAAGCGGAAACGCTGTATATGTTTAAACAACAACACTCTTTTATTGTAGTGAGCATTCTGCTCATACAGTTTACAGAGGTAAAGGCAGATTTCGATTTACAAAATCTAAAGGATGGTCCCGTGGAGGAAATAGTACCCGGAGATGATGGAGACACAATCTGGGATCCCCAACCGATGGAGCCGTGTGTCTGTGAGGATACAACCACAACTAAAAAACCGAGAACAACCACCAAACGAACCACAACCACCAAACGAACCACAACCACAAAACGAACCACAACGACGAAAAGAACCACAACCACTAAAAGGACCACAAAACGAACCACCACCACGCCAGCCACTCCGGATACTACAGATGGGCCTATAACGACCACGGATAGCGGTTGCTCCGATCAAACTACTACAAGCAGTACTGATACATCTACCGAATCATCCACTGACACAAGTACAGTGGTATGCAGCGACACTACAACTCCGTTGTGTACTGAAATCACTACCCAAAGTTGTACCAGTACCCAAGAAACGTCTACTGCATTACCCACTAGTACCTGTACCGTGATGACTTCTACGGCAATACCAACCTGTCCCTGTAGTGTTGAAACTTCTACGGCGATTCCTACATGTCCCTGCAGCGTTCAAACCACAAGTTCCTGTACAGCAGAGACTTCCACTCCAGTACCTACCACAACCCCAACAGCATCTACTTGCACCACGACCACAACAACTCCTATTACAACACCTTCCTCTTGTGCTCCAACAACTACCACTCAAAAATGCACCACAACTGCATCTACATGCGCCTCAACAACTACGACAACTACAACATCAACCTGTGCCCCAACAACTACCACCCCAGAATGCACAACAACATCGTCCACAATTCCCCCAACAACTACCACTCAAAGATGCACAACAACCGCATCTACCTGTACCCCAACCACTACAACAACTCCAAGATGCACAACAACCATATCCACGAGTGCCCCAACCACTACCACTCCAGTATGCACAACAACATCTTCCACAATTCCCCCAACAACTACCACTCAAAGATGCACAACAACAGCATCTACCTGTACCCCAACAACTACCACTACAAAGTGCACTACAACAGCATCCACAAGTGCACCAACCACTACTACTACTCCAAGATGTACAACAACCGTAGCCACGAATGCACCAACCACTACTACTACGCCAAGATGCACAACAACCGTATCCACATGTGCACCAACCACTACAACTACTCCAAGATGTACAACAACCGTATCCACGAGTGCCCCAACCACTACTACTACTCCAAGATGCACAACAACTGTACCCACGAGTGCCCCAACCACTACTACTACTCCAAGATGCACAACAACCGTATCCACGTGTGCACCAACCACTACTACTACTCCAAGATGTACAACAACCGTATCCACATGTGCACCAACCACTACTACTACTCCAAGATGTACAACAACCGTATCCACGAGTGCCCCAACCACTACTACTACTCCAAGATGCACAACAACTGTACCCACGAGTGCCCCAACCACTACTACTACTCCAAGATGCACAACAACCGTATCCACGTGTGCACCAACCACTACTACTACTCCAAGATGTACAACAACCGTATCCACATGTGCACCAACCACTACTACTACTCCAAGATGTACAACAACCGTATCCACATGTGCACCAACCACTACTACTACTCCAAGATGTACAACAACCGTAGCCACAAGTACCCCAACAACTACTACTACGCCAAGATGTACAACAACCGTACCCACGAGTGCCCCAACCACTACTACTACTCCAAGATGTACAACAACCGTATCCACGAGTGCCCCAACCACTACTACTACTCCAAGATGTACAACAACCGTATCCACGAGTGCCCCAACCACTACTACTACTCCAAGATGCACAACAACCGTAGCCACAAGTACCCCAACAACTACTACTACGCCAAGATGTACAACAACTGTACCCACGAGTGCCCCAACCACTACTACTACTCCAAGATGTACAACAACCGTATCCACGAGTGCCCCAACCACTACTACTACTCCAAGATGTACAACAACCGTATCCACGAGTGCCCCAACCACTACTACTACTCCAAGATGCACAACAACTGTACCCACGAGTGCCCCAACCACTACTACTACTCCAAGATGCACAACAACCGTATCCACGTGTGCACCAACCACTACTACTACTCCAAGATGTACAACAACCGTATCCACATGTGCACCAACCACTACTACTACTCCAAGATGTACAACAACCGTATCCACGAGTGCCCCAACCACTACTACTACTCCAAGATGCACAACAACTGTACCCACGAGTGCCCCAACCACTACTACTACTCCAAGATGCACAACAACCGTATCCACGTGTGCACCAACCACTACTACTACTCCAAGATGTACAACAACCGTATCCACATGTGCACCAACCACTACTACTACTCCAAGATGTACAACAACCGTATCCACATGTGCACCAACCACTACTACTACTCCAAGATGTACAACAACCGTAGCCACAAGTACCCCAACAACTACTACTACGCCAAGATGTACAACAACCGTACCCACGAGTGCCCCAACCACTACTACTACTCCAAGATGTACAACAACCGTATCCACGAGTGCCCCAACCACTACTACTACTCCAAGATGTACAACAACCGTATCCACGAGTGCCCCAACCACTACTACTACTCCAAGATGCACAACAACCGTAGCCACAAGTACCCCAACAACTACTACTACGCCAAGATGTACAACAACTGTACCCACGAGTGCCCCAACCACTACTACTACTCCAAGATGTACAACAACCGTATCCACGAGTGCCCCAACCACTACTACTACTCCAAGATGTACAACAACCGTATCCACATGTGCACCAACCACTACTAGTACTCCAAGATGCACAACAACCGTAGCCACGAGTGCCCCAACCACTACTACTACTCCAAGATGTACAACAACCGTATCCACGAGTGCCCCAACCACTACTACTACTCCAAGATGCACAACAACCGTAGCCACAAGTACCCCAACAACTACTACTACGCCAAGATGTACAACAACTGTACCCACGAGTGCCCCAACCACTACTACTACTCCAAGATGTACAACAACCGTATCCACATGTGCACCAACCACTACTAGTACTCCAAGATGCACAACAACCGTAGCCACGAGTGCCCCAACCACTACTACTACTCCAAGATGTACAACAACCGTATCCACATGTGCACCAACCACTACTAGTACTCCAAAATGTACAACAGCCGTATCCACTAGTGCCCCAACCACTACTACTACTCCAAGATGTACAACAACCGTATCCACATGTGCACCAACCACTACTACTACTCCAAGATGTACAACAACCGTATCCACATGTGCACCAACCACTACTACTACTCCAAGATGTACAACAACCGTAGCCACAGGTACCCCAACAACTACTACTACGCCAAGATGTACAACAACCGTACCCACGAGTGCCCCAACCACTACTACTACTCCAAGATGTACAACAACCGTATCCACATGTGCACCAACCACTACTAGTACTCCAAGATGCACAACAACCGTAGCCACGAGTGCCCCAACCACTACTACTACTCCAAGATGTACAACAACCGTATCCACATGTGCACCAACCACTACTAGTACTCCAAGATGCACAACAACCGTATCCACGAGTGCCCCAATCACTACTACTTCTCCAAGATGTACAACAACCGTATCCACATGTGCACCAACCACTACTACTACTCCAAGATGTACAACAACTGTACCTACGAGAGCCCCAACAACTACCACTCCAGTATGCACAACAACAGCATCTTCTTGTGCCCCAACGACTACCACTCCAATATGTTCAACAACAGCCTCAACAACTACCACTGCAAGATGCACAACAACAGCACCCACATGTGGCCCATCAAGTACCACTACAATGTGCACTACAACAACACCGACATGTACTTCACAAACAACACCAACGCCTGCTCCCACAACGACTCCAACGATTTGTACGACAACCGCAGCGATTACCATACCCACGACAACTAGGACAACACCTCGTCCGATAACCACGACGCGTCGTCCTTGTCCCTGCCGACCCCAACCTCCCAGCCAGATCCCGCCGTGGTCTTGGTGGTACCCCTACCCATCTTACCCCAACGCCGGGTGGCCCTGGCAGCCCAGCCCGAATTTCCCGCAATGGCCACAGTTACCGGGTAACATGCCGTATCCTCAGTGGCCATGGCCTCAGTGGCCAAGACCACCAGTAGTGACCCCCACATCCGACGACTGTGAAAACATTTGCGAAAACCTATTGAAGGGTGTGAAGTACCAGGAAGATCTAATCAGAAGATGCTTGTGTCCACGTCTTTAATTTAATAAGAGTTATTTAAAATATATATGTTATTAGTTTAATTGAAAAATTGTTAAATTGTATTTTTCTTTAATAAAATGTTTGTTAAAAAAAAAGTTATGTATGAATTTATTGAATGATGCTGATAAAATGTAAGTCTTAAAACTTTAAACAGAAGTTTACGAACTTGGTTCTCAATTATTCAAACACGCAAATAGAAAATCGTAAAAATAATATTAATATTGGTTTAACATTGCTAAATTTGTAAATGTATAAAACTGTACAAAAGGTGTATTTTTACAAAACTCTTTGCTGCAGATAAGGGTAGATGGGTATGAAGTATATATAATATTTACAGCAGGATTCGTATTCCATCGAGCTGGTCATGCTGCTACCATTTCCTGCTCTCCTCATCGTTGATTTCCAGAATGGCGCAGGCGCTTGTAGGGTTTTCTGGATTACCATGTTTTGCTCGCCTTCTTCGCTTTCCCATAAAAACTTGAGCGCCATACATCAACAAGTTTGCAGTTTGCACACCTCCTTTTTTCGCCACTTGGTCAGTTTATTACTTATTTATACGTAGTCACATGACCCATTATTTTCTGACGCCAACGCGTTCGGGTTCACTTCATTGCTCATGCGACATGTGGTCGATCTACTTATTTGTATTTTACGTGATTGCTCAAGAGCCCGTAAAAGTTGGAAACCACGTTTGGACAGGTTTAATGACCAACTGTCAAGGGGATTAAGAACTCACTCCATATTAAATTTGCTTAGTCACTAACTGGCGGTGACAAAAAGTGGGCTTAAGCAAATTCTCAAGAAACTGTTAACTTTTTAAAAGACTACTTTGTGTATTTCGCAACCGCTTAAATCTATTAGTTGATGTTAAGATTAAAATGCTATCATAGAACTATAAATGTGTTTAATCTTAAACTTTTTCATTACTCCAAATAATACTACTGGTTTTTGTAATATCAAAAAATATGTTGAAGAAAATCAATACTAAATATTTTCTACTATAAAAAATATTATATTAAGGAAGTAATGAAATTAATAGGACAAAATTTCCCTACAAAGGGTATTCCAAGCTCACTAATCGTTCAGCTTTCCCTACCAAAGTCAACCCTTAATTTGCTGGTAATTTATCAAAATCTAGATTATTATCCTGCTGATGGATTATGTTTCGAGTCGATTAGTACCCAATTTATAGAGGACTCCGCCACACTACCACTAAAAGTTCGTCCTTCATTCGGGTGAGCTTGCACATTTCCTACACAATGAGCAGATGTTAATGGCTGCCTTTTTGTTGTTGTTTTTTGTTAACTTGTTAATACAAATACACAGTGTGCCAATTCACAAATCCAACAAAGTGTGGTGGACTCACCAACGAAAACAGCTAGCAAGGCAAATAACAAGTTGTTGACACACAAAAGGTTTTCGGGGTGAACCTTAAAGCTTAAAAAAGTCGGAACACTATAATTAATTTAAAGGGAATTGCTTAAAATTCGTTTGACAAAAATTAATGATTTTTACATTACGAATACCAAAATTTAAATATATATAAGTATTTATAAAAAAAAATTATAAGGAATTGCTTCAAATTTTTTTAACATTGTTTGATATACACGACGTATGCGTAATTTTTTTGAGTACCAGTCTAGCTTTAAAATTTGTTGTTCATCACTTTATTTATTAAAACAATATTGCTTAAGATTTAGAAAACACAATCCCAAGTTAGATATATTGTAAGGTTGTCGACAAGGGATATCCTTCAGATTTAAATTAGCATCAGTTTGGTATACATGTCATATGCGTAATTTTTGTGTGTACCAGTCCACTCTAAAGGACCCACACGTGCACACAAAGGGGGTAACGACAGATTCATTCCCTAGCCCTAGCCCTCTCTAAATGGGTCGGGGGCGGATTTGGTTTGGCTCTGCTCAATGGCTAGAGCGCAAAAAAAATAATTTTGTTATTGTGTTTTCCCTCATAAGTGGACATGACAGAACCACGAAAGCTCATTCAGCGCTGGACAGGCGAGCTGGAAAGGTCCGAGGCGGAAGATGTCATCGCCCGCAGAACGATCCACCTTCGTGCAGCACTTCGGACACTTCGTACCTGAGCGATGGGCTGCGGCTCCTCAATGGATACGCAGACGAATCCTGTAGTCACGGAGGTCACCTCGGAAATGCAACCTCGTCAGAATGGCGCCACCGGAGTATTGGTAATCGTGCTCGAGCACCTTCACCTCACGCCTTAATCTTAATCAATATGCCTTCCTTTGCGCTACCAGAACATTGTCGAGCAGTATGTGCGCTTGGACGAAAAGATCAGCAAGCTGGAGGGCACCTGTCCGGGTCCGCGAATGGCCACCGCCGAGGCCTGGGTGGAACACCTTCAGGGCAAGCACGAGGCGATGCTGGGACTCGAGGGAATGGGCATGGGTGTGGCTCTGATGCGGGAGAGGCAGCGGGAAACGGAGGAGGAGACGTTGACCCTGCCGAATTACACAACGGGCCGGCAGGGCGACCCAATTGTGGCTAACACCCCCACAAAGGACCTGGCCCAGGTAAATGGCATGCCATTAGAGCCTGTGATGAAATTTGCTCTAGTATATTATTAACTTCCGTTAATAGCTAGCCTACAATCTGGGCGTTATTGGCGATGCCCGAAAGGCTTCCATGCACGAGGACTTCTTTGCCAACCTGAGCGAGTCGGCTTTGTATTTGCTCAGCATTCGTTACTACGGAGAGCTGCTGGAACACACCAAGCAGCGTCTAAAGACTCTGGTCGAGAGCTATGCGGAGTTGAACGAGCTGTATGTGAGGCAGGATGGGATAATAGCGTATATAAGCGGAGGAACCTACATGACCAGACTGGAGGAGAGCATTGATGAGCAGTTGGAGACGGCCCGAGATACAAGGGATAAGCTGGGCAGCGCCTTGGAGCAGTGGCGGATCTGCGGATTGCTGCTCAGAGCTGCTGCTAACTCCTCCACTCAAGCAATGAAGCATTGGCGACAACTGGGCAGGATGATGTGGGTTGCTTAATGATAACTATTTGACTTGTATTGTTGACATGTAATAACTCCTTTCAGCGATCCCAAACAGAAACTGCAATGGGCTTTGGACAGCCGAAGTCTACTCCATGCCTCCATGATCTCTTTGGAGGCGGCTCAGCTCGCATTACCGCATGTGGAACTGAAGTACATAAGTCATCGCCAAGTCGTAGCCGTCAAGCACTGTAATACGTATCTTATCACAGACATAGCCAATAAGGCGCGGTGAGTTATCATCTTAGTCTCATGCGAAATCTTGTCCAATATAAGCTGAATCCTTTTAGGTATGAGCACACCAGTCGCGTCTTTACCAGCTACGAATCGAACATATCCAAATCCTGCACATGGCTCTACGAGACCTTCAACAGCACTCTGCGGCCCGACTTTGACAAGGCGGAGCAGGCCGTTAGCAGATTGGCCAAGACGCTAAGGGATCATCGCGAGGAGGTGTTTGGCACAGTGCGCAAATGACAAGAAACTAACTGGCTCAATATTGTGGGTTGTTTGTACATTACTTTAATAAACAATAGGCATAGCATTAGTACCAATAGCTCTTGGCTGGCGTGCGTTCCTCCTTGATGCCCATTTCCTCCATGATGTCCATCTCGAAGGTGGACAGCTTGGGTTGGAAGGTAATTTCACCCACCACAGCACCTAAAGTGGGCAGAAACATATGGCATTACGGAAAAATTATTGATATATGGTGATATAATTTACCCGGCGTATCCTTCTCCCTTTCGATATAGGCATTTGGTGTTTTGTAATCGTGCGTCTGGTTGTTTGTCTCTGGCACGGGTATGATCCTGCCCGATCGCAGGGACACGCGCACCTTTTCGCCCTCTTCCGTGAAGCGCCACTCAAAGTCGGTGCCCTGCAGATCGGAGGGATCCACCAGACGGATGTCCTTGGTGACGTGCAGCGGTGCCTCGGACTTGATTATGATGCCGGGAAACTCTTTCTCACCGCCCACCTTGCGGTAGTGCCAGTTGAGGCCCTCCACAATGACCCAGTTGCGCTCGGGGATTACCTGAGTGACGATTCCTTGCTTTCCCTTGTCCTTGCCCACCAGGACTTCGATGCGATCGCCGCGGAAGAAGCTCCAATCCTCTGAGGGGATAATCAAAACATGTTTTAGGAGATTTTAGAGTATATCATAGACCTTATGCTTACCAATTGGTTCCACCAGCACCTTGCGACGCACTGTTCCGGGCATATTCTGTTGCCGGAAGTGTCCTGTCCACGGACGGTTTGTAGTGTATCGGAAGCGCTTCCGCTCCACTGTGCGAGGTAGGTAATTAACTTCCTTTGGCGTTTGCCAGTACACCTGTTGAAAATTTATAAACATTTTTGGGTTCATTAATGCGGCTACATTTCCCATACGATCTGTTACGTGAGTCGCTTGGGGCAAGTTCTTCAATGAAAAGGGACTTTTCGCTTACCTGCTTTTTGCTGCGCTCCATGTATTCCTTGGGCAGATTGGAGAAGTTCTTCAATTTGCTGGCCAAAAATTGTGTTATACGCATTGTGCAAGATTAATTCAACAATTAACAAAAACTAAGAAATTAAATGCGGCTTGCTATCAGCTGTTTGGACCTAATGAAAAGCCATTCACAACGAAAAGCACGTGAAGAATTTTTTGAGTGTTTATGCGGCGATTTAATTCAAAATATATTAATATGTAATTACATTACAAAAAATCGTAAAATAAAATTATATATTTTAATGTATGAACATTTTTGACCAATTTTTTTCACTTTCAATGCAAAGCGTATAATTATTTTTGCAGATATAACTTTTTAAATATACAAATTCTTTTACAACCAACGTATGCTCAGTGTAAGCGATTTCGGTGTTATTGGCAAATACACGAAGAAGAAGCAGCTGATATTTGTGCCGCTGCTGGTTTTTTTTATCGTTCGCCGCAGCCCTAAATTGCGATGCAAACCGGCTTATTATAAACAAAAGGTAAATGCTAGACCATATAAATGTGGACACGTGCCAGTGCAGCTCCATTGGAAGTCGCACTCGCGTACGGAGAGCGTCTGATCATCCATCCATCCATTCGAGAAGGGGCCTCACTGCGCTTAGTCATATCCATATCACAGCACTCACACCCAGATAACCCAGTTCCTGCCCAGCCATAAGTTCGTAGAATAACAAGCAATATGTCCCACCACATAGATATGGAAGACCACGCCGATCCGGAGCCTGTGCTGCTCTCCAAACACGCCAAGAACCTGCTGCGCTTCCTCAATCTACTGCCGGCTCGCATGGCCTCGCATGATAACACCAGGTGAGTGGGTGGTTCTGTCATGATCCTTCCTTTCCAGCTGGATAACCATTTCCCTTTTTTCCGCCCCAGGAGCACCATTGTGTTCTTCGCCGTCTGTGGCCTGGATGTGCTCAACTCCCTGCATCTGGTGCCGCCTCAAATGAGGCAGGACATCATCGACTGGATCTACGGCGGATTGGTGGTGCCACGCGACGATGAGAAAAACTGCGGTGGCTTCATGGTGAGCATAAATTCGCATCTGTCAGGTGAACAAACACCGTGTTGGCAAGACAGACACATCCCATTCGAACTCCTTATCTTATATACGTGGCGTGGCAGTAGACACTGCGGGCAGACCTTGTCCCATCCCCCAGTATATTGGTTGTTTATCCAGCCAGTTGATATGCGAGCAGTCGTATTTCCTTCTCCGAAATTCAGCAACAAAGTTTATTTTGTTAAGCTACCTGGTTACAACCAACTTAAACTACCTTTGATGGCTCTAAATAATTAGCAAATTCACGTCATAGGATACTAACGATTTGTACATATGGTTTTTAAATGCTTGACCAAGGGTCCACGTTTATTTTCCCACCAACCATTGTAAAGATACCTGCTTGCACATGGTATGTACAATGACTGATGATTTAATAGGACCAAAGACTCAGTTTTAAATTTATTGCTTAATTTAATTTCTCAGTATAAAGTTTTGCATAACGATTCATTAAATTTGATTTATGAAAGTGAGTATTTTTTTTTTGTTTAAGTTTTTTAGAGAAAGAAGAATCTCTTCAAAGAACCGCTTATACTAAACTAGACTTCACATTGCTATTATTTCGACCTTCACTGTACGAATATGCATAATTGTAGGGGAGTTCTCCATTTGCGCAGCAGCTTGATTCACCAGAAAACAACCCCTCCCACCGCCACCTTGGTTTTATCGAAAAATGCTTTATCAGCGATGGCAGAGCAACATGCAAAACCACTTTAAGATAGATAGATCAACTAATTGGAACTCTTTGCAGGGCTGCCGCGCCATGGTGCCGAAAAGCGAGGATGCCGAGATCTTGGAATGCATGCGGAAGTATCAGTGGGGTCACCTGGCTATGACATACACCAGCCTGGCAGTGCTGGTCACCCTGGGCGACGATCTGTCCCGCCTGGACCGCAAGAGCATTGTGGACGGAGTGGCGGCAGTTCAGAAGGCGGAGGGCAGCTTCAGCGCCTGCATCGATGGCAGCGAGGATGATATGCGTTTCGTGTACTGCGCCGCCACCATCTGTTACATGCTGGACTACTGGGGCGATGTGAACAAGGAGGCGATGTTTCAGTTCATCATTCGGAGCCTGCGGTACGATTACGGTTTCAGCCAGGAACTGGAGGGCGAGGCCCATGGCGGCACCACGTTCTGTGCCTTGGCAGCTCTGCATCTAAGTGGACAGTTGCATCGCCTGGATGCCGCCACGAAGGAGCGAATGAAGCGCTGGCTTATCTTTCGACAGGTGGATGGATTCCAGGGACGCCCCAATAAGCCGGTCGATACCTGTTACTCCTTCTGGATTGGTGCTTCACTCTGTATTCTGGACAGCTTCGAGCTAACGGACTACGCCAAGAATCGCGAATACATCCTGAGCACACAGGACAAGTTAGTTGGTGGCTTCGCCAAGTGGCCGCAGGCCACACCAGATCCCTTTCACACATACCTTGGCCTCTGTGGCCTGGCCTTCACCGGCGAGCCCGGTCTGAGTCCCGTGAATCCCAGTTTGAACATGTCCATGGCCGCCTACGTCCACCTGCAGCACCTGCACGAGCAGTGGCGATCTGGAGATGGTCGGGGCGACTCAGACCTCGGTCTGAGCTCCGGCCTCGAGCAGCAACTAAAGCTGGCGAAGAGCGGCGAAGCGAAATCCACCACATCGACTACCTCTAGTTCGCCATTGATTCCGGCACAATGATGGGAATCCGCACAAAGTCCAAGGGGAATGTTAAAGCACACTATTGTATTTAGATTGGCCGCATTTTAGCCACGCTTTTTTACCTGTATTTTAATGCGAAAAGCTCGAGCTTTTGGAGAGAAAGATGATTAACTAATTATGTTTATTGTACAGCCTAAATTAATGTTAACAAAGTGTAAAATTAAGCTTAAAGATAAATTAAAGCGTCCCATGCCGAGGCATGTATTTACAGCGAAAACATTGGCTAGCCTCGAAAGCCTCCTTGGTAAATTGAGTTTTTATTGGTCCGGAATCAGGGGGTTTAATATCTCACACCTGCAGGAACAGGCGATGATGTTGCATGGCCGGCATGTAGCCCATGCCGGGTCGATCGATGTGGACTCGTCCGCGGAGAGGGGCCAGCACGCGTTCCGTGACCAGTGGACAGCGCTGCACCATCAGCGACTGGAGCAGTGGACAGCTCTGGGTGAGGGCGCTGCGGAAAAGGGGAGAACGGAGTGGAGGCTAGTAAACAAGAAAATCGCTGGGATAGAAGTCGTTCAGGTTGTAGGCGTTGTGTCCCAAGTCTTGCTGTGGTCTATCGATGTGGAGGCGCCGCTGCCGGAGCGGCGCCAAGGAGAGTTCCGTGACCCGCGGACAACGGCGGATGAGCAGGGTCTGGAGACGTGGACAGTGCACTGTCAGAGCGCTGAAAAATACGCAGATGCGGATGCAGATGCAGATTCGCTTCCCCAGAAACACACAGACACAAGGCACGCACGGGACTACAGAGAACGGGATCAGGGATTACTTACTGCACTCCATAGTCGGAGATGGCCGCACAGCCGATCAGGTTGATGTGCTCCAGCTCGCGGCAATAGTTCCCGATCTGGATGAGCACCTGGTCGGTCACACTGGGCGTATTCGCCAGCGAAAGGACGGTAAGTTTGTTGAGTTTCCGAAAAAAGATGATCAGGCAGCGTTCTCCGATGGCTCCACAATACGAGATGTCGAACTCCACCAGCTTGCTCTGGTGCAGGGTGAGAGCATCCACGGCTCCAGTGGTCAGCCACTGGCACTTGGACAGCTTAAGCACGCGCAGATCCTTGCACTCCACGATGATGGGCTGGAGCGAGAGGGCCGTGATGTTGGTGCACTCGTTCAGGTTGACGGCCCACAGGCGTTTCTTGTTGTTGGCCAGCAGCGGGAGGAGCAGCTCGTCCGTCAGCCAGCGGCAGCAGGCCAAGTGGAGCACCTCCAGCCGGCGACAGCAGCGGGCCAGCACTCGGAAGCCCACATCGATATTGCTTGAGTTGTTCCCGGAGAGATGCAGTTCCTGCCGCTTCTCCAGGGCAGCCTCCACAAAGCGGAGCGCGGTACGCGAGCAGCAGCGCAGGTTGAAGAGATCCTTGAGCGACAGATAGACGGCCACCTGCGGGATAAGCACATCATCCCAGCAGACGTCGAACAGCGACCGTGGTGCGGGATTGGATAAGGAAACGAGTGGCCTTGGGCTGGGTGTCCTGGTTCGGGGACCGCCACTGGCCATCGCCACCAGATGGGCCTCCTCCTCGGGATGCAGTGTGCACATGCTGCCGCGTCCGATTACGAGATCTGCTCTCCGAACAGAGCACTTCCAACGCAAACCTCTGGTGCAATGCGAGAACGTAATTGTATTGTTTACTTGCAATCAATCAGCTGTTTGTCATTCACACAAAATAGCAAACTCATTAGTGTAACCCTTCTAGACGAAAACAACTTTTTGGCGGTATTTTAACCAGTATTTCTACAAAATTCAAAATTCAGTGATAATTAAACTTGGTGACCCCGATTTGTAGTTCCATGCAACCAAACCCTGCATCAATGAATATTTTTACATTGATTTTAAGAAATGGATCAAGTCCCGTTTCTTTTATCCCACTATATTCCACTCATAAAATCTTTGAGGGATGTTCCTTTTAAATCTAATCAGCCGCTGGAAAAGACGAAGTTGGTGACTCCCACCATCATGTTGAGCCGGATGGGTTGACGGATTGGAGAGTGCCCAGCAATGATAGTACCGAAATTTGGAAGCATGCGAAATTAACTTGATAAGATTGTCGCGCAGAAAGACCAAGTGGATTGAACTTTCGAGTGGCGAAAAGGAAGATCCGCACCGATATGATTAGGCGGTGGGGTATATAAATCACTGCCGGGGCGCAGGCCATCCAGTTGTACTCAAGCAATTGTAATCAACATGAAGCTGTTCCTCACTGTCCTGGCCGTGGCCGTTGCCTGTGCCTCCGCCTCCGCCTCCGCTCTGCCCCAGAAGGTGCAGCCGGTGCCCCTGAAGGACGCCGTCGTGGGTCCCGGAGGATCTGCCTCGATCGAGGGTCGCATCACCAATGGCTACGGCGCCTCCGAGGGCAGGGTGCCCTACATCGTGGGCCTGGGCTTCAGCAGCGGCGGCGGTGGCTGGTGGTGCGGTGGCTCGATCATCGGTCACAACTGGGTGGTGACGGCCGCCCACTGCACCCACGGCGCCAACTCCGTGACCATCTACTACGGAGCCCTGTGGCGTCTGCAGCCCCAGTTCACCCACACCGTGAGCAGCGGCAGCTTCCGCCAGCACCCGCACTACAACACCAACAACCTGAACAACGACATCTCGCTGATCAACACCCCGCACGTGGACTTCTGGCACCTGGTCAACAAGGTGGAGCTGCCCAACGGCAACGAGCGCTACAATAACTTCGCCGGCTGGTGGGCCCTGGCCTCCGGATGGGGCAAGACCTGCGACAACTGCGGCGTGTCCGACTACCTGAACTGCGTGGACTCCCAGATCATCGGCCGCAGCGAGTGCGCCGGCGTCTACGGCACCGATGTGATCACCGACCACGTCATCTGCACCTCCACCCCCGGCGGCAGGTCCACCTGCTCCGGCGACTCCGGCGGTCCCCTGGTCATCCACGACGGCAACAAGCTGGTCGGCGTCACCTCCTTCGTGGCCTCTAGCGGATGCACCTCGGGCCTGCCCGACGGCTTCACCCGCGTCACCAGCTACCTGGACTGGATCCGCGACCACACCGGCATCTCCTACTAAGCAGCTCTCTTTCGCTTTTGAAGTAAACTGTTTCGCATTTAACCGACGGTTGTTTTATGATTTTCAACTTGTAAGAAATTGGACTAAGGGTAGTAGATCACACACGCTGATTTATAGGATTGTCATTAAAGGGATGGAAATATTTTTTTTTTCCTATTTTCAAAGTCAGCAACCATCTAATGATGATGTTTAGTGATGTTTAATCCCGATCCCTACTTTACTCTAAACAATTAAAAACCTGCAGGGGACTTGCTCTTCAAATGCTCGATTTATTTAAGACAGTTAGTAGGAAATGCCGGTGTGGTCGCGGATCCAGTCCAGGTGGTAGGTGACGCGCTGGAATCCAGCCGGAGCACCCCACGTGCAGCCGCTCGCGGAGACGAAGTTGCTGACTCCCACCAGCTTGCTGCCGTCGTGTGTGACCAGGGGACCGCCGGAGTCTCCTCCGCAGATGGACTTGCCGTCGACGTTGCGGGTGCAGATGATGTTGTCGCCCACGTTGCCGTAGGTCCAGCCGCACTCTTCGTTGTGGACGATCTGGAGATCGACGCACTGCAGCCAGTCGGGCAGCGGGCTGCCGTCGTAGGTGCCGCCCCATCCGCAGGCCACGGCCCAGTACTCGTTGTAGTTGTTGTAGCGGTCGTTGTAGCTGGGCAGCTCCACCTTGTTGACCATGTGCCAGAAGTCCACGTGCGGGATGCGGATCAGGGCGATGTCGGCGTTGGAGTGCTTGATGAAGTTGCCGTTTCCGACGGTGTGGGTGAACTGGGCGTTGGTGCGCCAGGTGGCCCCGAAGTAGACGGTCACGGAGCCGGCGTCTCCGATGCAGTGCTCGGCGGTCAGGACCCAGTCGTGGGCGATGATGGAGCCACCGCACCACCATCCTCCGCTGAAGCCCAGACCCACCGTGTAGGGGGCCTTGCCCTCGGGGGCGGCGTATCCGTTTGTGATGCGGCCCTCCATCTTGGTGGCCTTGGGCAGGTCCTTCACGAACACCTTCTCCTCGAAGGCGGCGGCCGAGGCCACGGCCAGGGCTAGAATAGCTAGGAACACCTTCATCTCGATGTCGACAACTGGCTTCTACTCCAGGCAGTCGGTCTTTTATACGCCCTCCCAGAACCCGGTTCTCATTATCCCTATCTTAAGCTTTGATGGGCCTGTAAATATTCATCGAAACTTCCATAAACGATGGCTTTGATAAGAGCGGAAAGGAGCTACTTAACTTAGAAGTCTTTCTGGCGGATGGAACCAACTGAATATTTTATTATTAATTTCTATAAATACATTTTATAATTATATTAGCTAAGTGCTAAGTGCTAAGCTAAGTATCTATAGCTAATTTTTATAGCCCTCGCAGACTTTTCATAATAATCATAATTTTAAACACTCTTAAATTTACAACCATCTCTGAACATGAATAAATTTCAATATGAGTTGTTTGTCAACAAAAAAAAACGTTTACGCTGATTGTATATAATTTAGCATCATTTGATTAGAAATTGTTTATTGTTTTTTGCTGCTCATTGATGGGAATGCAAGGTTAACTTGCGTAAATGGATTTTCCCATTCAGATTCGAACTTAATACAAGGTGCTGTCAAGGTAAGCTATAGACTTTGCCCTCTGAGGATTTTTATTATTATTATTATCGGAAATGTTCCTTTACTGTTTGCTAATTTTTGACTGAAATTATAATACCCTCTGCAAGGGCATAAATGCAGTAAGATATTTTCGATTCACTTTCATTTGTAATTATTCATCATTCTGCCTATTTATAAATCTACTTTTCAGACCTATTGTCGATAAGATTTGGGCTTTGCGCATTTGGCAAACCCAAATCTTAACTTTTCAAATTGTATCAATGTATATATATACATATATGTATACTCAAACTTTCCATATTCTTATCAACAAAACTGTGAGTTACATTTTGTGGTCGTTTAATCTATAATACTATATATAATTTTATTTAGCATTTTAATAAATATCTCTGATTAAAGATAGTACAAGTCTAATCCTTAGACTTCTAATCTGTATTACAGGTGCTCACTTAAAATTGACATTTCCGTTAATGTCCTTATCAATAGACCTATCTCTAACATACAAAATTTTTCACAAGATAGAAAACTTAGCAAAATACTACCTTGAGTCTTGCACTAGACCTTAGCCCTTCAGTATTCATTGCTCTGCTGGCTGTTAATAATATTATTAATCTTATCGACAATGACAGTTTAATTTTAAATGAGTTGTGCCAGTTTCGGTGCATTCTAATTAACTGCGATCACCATAAATAAGAAAGGTTTATAAGGATTGCTGCAATTACTGCTAAATCAAACTTATAATCTCCACTACCAATTATGGATTTTACCAGCTGTGATACAACCGTATAGATTTATTGACCTTCTGGGCACCACCGAATTCGATTCCTGTCGCACTCTTATCACTGACTTCATTTATGGGTCTCTCGAGGGATATTTACGAGCCCTGCTAAGCGGCAGATAGGACTCCGAACCGCGGATGCCTATAAAGGCGGCTACTCCGGGAACAGAAACCAGTTGTCGACATCGAGATGAAGGTGTTCCTAGCTATTCTAGCCCTGGCCGTGGCCTCGGCCGCCGCCTTCGAGGAGAAGGTGTTCGTGAAGGACCTGCCCAAGGCCACCAAGATGGAGGGCCGCATCACAAACGGATACGCCGCCCCCGAGGGCAAGGCCCCCTACACGGTGGGTCTGGGCTTCAGCGGAGGATGGTGGTGCGGTGGCTCCATCATCGCCCACGACTGGGTCCTGACCGCCGAGCACTGCATCGGAGACGCCGGCTCCGTGACCGTCTACTTCGGGGCCACCTGGCGCACCAACGCCCAGTTCACCCACACCGTCGGAAACGGCAACTTCATCAAGCACTCCAACGCCGACATCGCCCTGATCCGCATCCCGCACGTGGACTTCTGGCACATGGTCAACAAGGTGGAGCTGCCCAGCTACAACGACCGCTACAACAACTACAACGAGTACTGGGCCGTGGCCTGCGGATGGGGCGGCACCTACGACGGCAGCCCGCTGCCCGACTGGCTGCAGTGCGTCGATCTCCAGATCGTCCACAACGAAGAGTGCGGCTGGACCTACGGCAACGTGGGCGACAACATCATCTGCACCCGCAACGTCGACGGCAAGTCCATCTGCGGAGGAGACTCCGGCGGTCCCCTGGTCACACACGACGGCAGCAAGCTGGTGGGAGTCAGCAACTTCGTCTCCGCGAGCGGCTGCACGTGGGGTGCTCCGGCTGGATTCCAGCGCGTCACCTACCACCTGGACTGGATCCGCGACCACACCGGCATTTCCTACTAACTGTCTTAAATAAATCGAGCATTTGAAGAGCAAGTCCCCTGCAGGTTTTTAATTGTTTAGAGTAAAGTAGGGATCGGGATTAAACATCACTAAACATCATCATTAGATGGTTGCTGACTTTGAAAATAGGAAAAAAAAATATTTCCATCCCTTTAATGACAATCCTATAAATCAGCGTGTGTGATCTACTACCCTTAGTCCAATTTCTTACAAGTTGAAAATCATAAAACAACCGTCGGTTAAATGCGAAACAGTTTACTTCAAAAGCGAAAGAGAGCTGCTTAGTAGGAGATGCCGGTGTGGTCGCGGATCCAGTCCAGGTAGCTGGTGACGCGGGTGAAGCCGTCGGGCAGGCCCGAGGTGCATCCGCTAGAGGCCACGAAGGAGGTGACGCCGACCAGCTTGTTGCCGTCGTGGATGACCAGGGGACCGCCGGAGTCGCCGGAGCAGGTGGACCTGCCGCCGGGGGTGGAGGTGCAGATGACGTGGTCGGTGATCACATCGGTGCCGTAGACGCCGGCGCACTCGCTGCGGCCGATGATCTGGGAGTCCACGCAGTTCAGGTAGTCGGACACGCCGCAGTTGTCGCAGGTCTTGCCCCATCCGGAGGCCAGGGCCCACCAGCCGGCGAAGTTATTGTAGCGCTCGTTGCCGTTGGGCAGCTCCACCTTGTTGACCAGGTGCCAGAAGTCCACGTGCGGGGTGTTGATCAGCGAGATGTCGTTGTTCAGGTTGTTGGTGTTGTAGTGCGGGTGCTGGCGGAAGCTGCCGCTGCTCACGGTGTGGGTGAACTGGGGCTGCAGACGCCACAGGGCTCCGTAGTAGATGGTCACGGAGTTGGCGCCGTGGGTGCAGTGGGCGGCCGTCACCACCCAGTTGTGACCGATGATCGAGCCACCGCACCACCAGCCACCGCCGCCGCTGCTGAAGCCCAGGCCCACGATGTAGGGCACCCTGCCCTCGGAGGCGCCGTAGCCATTGGTGATGCGACCCTCGATCGAGGCAGATCCTCCGGGACCCACGACGGCGTCCTTCAGGGGCACCGGCTGCACCTTCTGGGGCAGAGCGGAGGCGGAGGCGGAGGCACAGGCAACGGCCACGGCCAGGACAGTGAGGAACAGCTTCATGTTGATTACAATTGCTTGAGTACAACTGGATGGCCTGCGCCCCGGCAGTGATTTATATACCCCACCGCCTAATCATATCGGTGCGGATCTTCCTTTTCGCCACTCGAAAGTTCAATCCACTTGGTCTTGCAGAGCGGCAATCTTATCAAGTTATTTTCGCACGCCTCCAACTTTCGGCACTGTCACTACAGGGAACTCTCTGTGATGCACCTATCCGAGACCCACTCTTTCCGGCTCATGTCTTGCCACTCGATTCGAGTTCCCCACCGCGACTCATTCATTAAAAGATTGTGCGGATCTATCGCCGTGGACATGCGGCCACTTGGAGCTGATCTGCTGATAAGACCTGATAAGTCCTGATAAGCCACTCATTCATCCCGAGCCACGACAAAATGGCGCACGCGAACAGAAGCGGGAAAGAGATTAAGGACTCATTTACTGGCAATGCGAACATTACACGGGGAAAATAAGCTTTTAAATATATTTCTTACATATATTTATTATTATTATTATTTTAAAATAATAAAAACACCAATGAAGTCACTAATAAAGTCTCCAAAAATGTCGTTAAAGATGTCGTCCATGAACTCGTCAATGAAGTAGCGAGTTAAGTAGCCAATAAAGTCTCCAATAGTCAACAATGAAGTCAATAATAGTCACCAATAAAGACACCAATGAAGTCACCAATGAAGTCTCCAAAGATGCTGCTAATGAAGTCGTTAATGAAGTCGTCAATGAACTCGTCAAGGAAGTAGCGAATGAAGTAGCCAATAAAGTTGCCTATAAAGTAACCAATGAAGTCATGAATAAACAAACTAGTAAAGTCACCAATAAAATCACCAATGATGTTGCCAATTAAGTCGCTTGTAGCACTATCGAAGTGTCCTAAAGCTGATACCAATACAGTGTCAGTGTAAACGAACAAAAGACCTCGGAAGCCAGGTTCACTAGGACATCATTTATAAATAATGGATAACTCAATTAAAATATATTTTTCGGCCAAACACGAAAACTTGTATTTAACTATAAATGTTACTTATACTACGAATAAAATGTCTGAAAGCAAAGACATTGCGATTAAATAGAATATGATATATGTATATTCTTGATTTATTTTTAATTATGGAATTTTTCTTCAATCTTTTTTAATATTCCTCAACCAGCAACCTTCGTTCTGCAGTCTTTTATAATTTGCCCAACATTAACGTCCATAGCAAAATATCACTTTAATATTTGGGTAAGAACTCAGCCATAATGTAAAAAACACAATGAATATTTTGTATGCATTTTATTTATTTGAAAAAGGTGGCGAATACCGAGCTTAGTAATAAGCGACGCCGGAGTTGTCGCGGATCCAATCCAGCTGGTTGGTGACACGAGTGAATCCGGAGGGCAGGCCGGCGGTACATCCGGCACCGGATACCCAGGAGGTGACTCCCACCAGGCGGCCGCCGTCGTGGAGCACCAAGGGGCCACCGGAGTCGCCGGAGCAGGTGGACTTGCCGCCCGAGGTGGACACACAGAGGATGCCGTCGGGCTGGGTGCCGTAGGTGCGGGAGCACTCCGAGTTGCTGATGATCTGCAGGTCGACGCACTGCATCCAGTCGGGCTGGGATCCGGCGGTGGTCAGGCCCCAACCGCAGGCGACGGCCCACGAGTTGGCGTACATGTTGTAGCGGTCGTTGTAGCTGGGCAGCTCCACCTTGTTGACCATGTGCCAGAAGTCCACGTGCGGGGTGCGGATCAGGGCGATGTCGTTGCCGTTCTGGTCCGGCCAGTTGCGGTTCTGGATGAAGTTGCCGCTGCCCACGGTGTGGGTGAACTGGGCGTTGGTGCGCCACGTGGCTCCGTAGTAGATGGTCACCTGGCCGGCTCCGTTGGTGCAGTGGGCGGCCGTGAGCACCCAGTCGTGGGCGATGATGGAGCCACCGCACCACCAGCCGCCATTACCGCTGAATCCCAAACCGACCGTGTAGGGCGCCTTGCCCTCCGTGGCCGGATATCCGTTCACAATGCGGCCATTGAGCTGGATGTCCTTGGGCAGGTCCTTGGGGTGGACCTGCTGGACAGTCTCGGCGGAAACGGCGGCCAGAGCCAGAGCCAATACTACGAACACTTTCATGGTGAATGGATCACTTGTGGTCCCTTCCAGACATCCATTCCCTTTTATGCCGTCTCCTTATCTGCGTCTGGAGTAGCCCCCCACTCGGTGCAATCCTATCTCAATAAGTTCATCGCTATGTCGTCTGCTGATACGAATGGAAATGAATTGATAGCCTAAGAACATCTAGATAGCTGAAATTTTAATTTTAAGGGGTCCGGCCCATGGAAAAGTTAAAGAAATGATTAGGGCACCACTGGTACACAAAGCTTATGATAGTGAAACGTTCTCGAATTTAGTTTTGGAGTAGTTTTACCTCAAGACTTTAGTGAAAAGTTATATAATTTCAAAAAACAAATTTAATATATGTCCTTGGCACTCTACTTCACAAAAGAGATGGTTTTGCAATGTTGACTGTATGCAAATAGGTAATGCCAATTAAATAAGTGAATATTTTATAAATTTGTAAAATTTATTTATTAATTTATAAATAATCAAATAAACAAAAAAAGATAAGCGTTTTAACATCAAAGAAAACATATAGAAATGTAGAGAACAGACAGTTTTGATTAATTAATTAATCAACTAAAATATAATTTCAAACAATTGAAGGCTGTATAATATGACTCCAATGTTAATTGATACAACTAAAATAAAAAACTAGTAGAAATAATTTTAAGGTTATTCATTAAATGGTACATTCAATTAGTTTTTAATTTAAAAATCTTGGGATCCATTCAAAAATGTTAATTTTACAAGTTTTTAATAATATTTTCAAACTTCGCGCCTAGTTTCGGTGTTTTAATTTGGTAACATTGAACTGAAAATACCTGGCCACACTAAGCCATGCATTTGTTTATTTATTCCGCCAAATTTCGTTAATTTTCCTGTTGCAGCATGTCCACCTGCAGTTCATCCGAAATAGCGGAAAAGAAGCGCATTGCGCTGGCCAAGCTGCAGGCCAAGAAGTCCCAACTGCTGGCCACCACATCCGCCGGAAAGTCATCCACTGCTCCGCCAACAAATGCGCAGCAACAAGTCCGCAATCAAAATGCGAGTCCCAATCAACCGCTGGCCAAATCCCCTCTGAACTTCTACCGATCCCCGCCAGTAGCGCAGAAGAAGATCGAGCGGATTGCCACCAGCTCGTCCAGCGACAACAAGAGCTCGTCCTTCTTGAACGCCCTAAAGGCAATCAAACAGACCTCCAGCCGGGAATTGTCTCGAGGAGCCGCACATCCCTACCAGCGGCCCAATGGCGGAGAGAATGGAAGAGGCAAGCCCACCCTGTCACTTGCTGCGGAAAAGGAACAGCCAGTGGCTATTGCGCTCGGCAACTCGATCACCTGCAATCTGTACATGATCAGCACGCATCGGTTTGCCGCCAAAACCTCCGGATATCATGAAAAGCTCATCGCGGTTTTTAAGAACATGCCCACCAAGTCCTACGAACATCAAACCCGCACTTGGAGTTTCGATCTCTCGGATTACCAATCCCTACAGACGCACACAGCGGACCTAAGGCCACATGTCCACTTGGTCGGCATTCCAAAGAAGGTGCTGGATCTCTGCCAGCAGAAGCCGCTGGTTTCGGAACGAAGTGTTTTGGCTTCCATCGAAACCAAGCTGGCGGACAAGCTGATGCCCTTTCAACAGGATGGGGTTTGGTATGTTTTTAATTATGAAACTTTTAAAGAAGTATAGTTACTTAGGTTCTTTGAATCTCCAGCTTTTCCATTGCCCAAAAAGGTCGTATTATGATCTGTGATGAAATGGGCTTGGGCAAAACATACCAGGCTCTGGCCGTGGCCGACTATTTCAAGGATGATTGGCCCCTGCTCATCGTGACCACCGCCTCCACCAGAGACAGTTGGGCCAAACACATTGTGGAGCTGCTGCCCAAGGTACCCATCCACTATGTCCAAGTGCTCAACAACAATCAGCAATATGTGGGCGAGGCCCAGGTGCTCATCACCAGCTACAACATGATGGAGCGGCACATGTCAATGCTGCAGCAGCGCAGATACGGATTCATCATCTTCGATGAGTCGCATACGCTTAAGAACAGCAAGGCCAACTGCACAAAGGCGGCCCAAAAGCTCACGGATCAAGCTAGGCGCGTGGTCTTGCTGTCCGGAACTCCAGCTCTGTCCCGACCCTTGGAACTCTTCACTCAGCTCCAGCTGGTCGATGGCAAATTTATGACTTACAAGGAGTTTAGTAAGTAAGAGACTCATTTGTTTTGACTAAAGTTATTAAAGACTTACATTTTTGCAGCCACTCGGTACTGTGATGGCAAACAATCGACGTTTGGTTGGGATGCCAGCGGACAATCGAATCTGGAGGAGCTAAAGGTTATGCTTACACTAAAATATATGCTGAGGCGAACAAAAGCGGAGGTGCTACCCCAGCTAGCTGAAAAGAATCGGTTGGTCTTGTTTACAAATATTGAAGAGTTTTTGATTAGAACTCCAAATTATACCTGTTCATCCACAGTGAAACGGTGGTCCTGGATCCCGCCTTGGTATGGACCAACGAAGAAACAAAGGAATCCTTGGATGTCTTTAACAAAGAACTGAAAACAAGCAAGGGCAGAACCATGGAGGAGATTTTATTACGTTTCTATGCACGCACAGCCGAAGTCAAAACTCGTGCCGTGTGGTAATTATATTATAATATATTATGTTATTATTATAATTATTATTATATTATATATTCCCTTTGTAGTGCCTATCTAAAAACCTTGGTTAAGGAGCAGAAAAAGTTTATAATTTTCGCACATCATCGGGTCATGATGGATGCCATTAGCGATTGTCTAAGTGGATTAAGAGTTCACTACATACGCATCGATGGACAGACCCGGAGCGATCTGAGGTCGGATTTTGTGGATACATTTCAGAAGACGAGCAGTTGTAAGGTGGCGCTGCTCTCCCTTAAAGCCTGCAATTCAGGGATCACACTAACTGCAGCGGAGCTTATCGTTTTTGCTGAACTGGACTGGAATCCAAGTGTAAGTTGGGATATATATAAAAACATGGTTATCACGTTAATGTCTTTTTCTAATTTGAAGACCCTGGCTCAGGCTGAAAGTCGAGCACATCGGATTGGCCAGACAAAGCCGGTGATTTGTCGCTATCTGATGGCCCATAATACAGCGGACGATACCATCTGGAACATGCTAAAAAACAAGCAGGAAGTTCTCAGTAAAGTGGGTATCTTTGCCGAGAATCTTCAGAAGGCCACGCACACAGCTGCACCCACTTCGGTAAGAAACATAGTAAATATTTGTATGAGCAAATCTGTTACTAACTTCATGTACTTTAAAGTCGCATAAAATTGAGGAATTCTTCTCGCCCGCCAAATCTAATTGTTCAAATCCGGAAAAGGGTTCTATAAAACAATACTTTTCGCCTGCTTCGGTCAAGGCGCCCAGTGAACCAAATAATATTACCGAAAAAGCTAGAGAAAGCAATGCTGCATCGGATATGGCGGCGTTCTTTAACGATGATGATGATGAGGCTTTTTTAGATTTAGATATTTAGCATAGTAAATAAAATATTGCATTGTTAAATGAGTTAGAATGAGTTAATTTAAATAAATTGTTTGCAATGTTAAAGACATGAAATGTTTAGACATAAACTTGATTTGTACAGGATCTAGTTAGAATTATAACATTATTATGTGAGACACCTGATGGTATAAAATAATGAAGTTTAGAAACCTACAACCCCCAATCTGCGCATGATCCACGTTCCGATGAATCTTCCCAGCTAGCCGGTGTTCCGTGCCCTGGCAACAGGCAAACAATCACTGGAGTAAACCTTTTCATTTGTATCAAATAAATAAATACACAACTGGCAAAAGTTTTGTAAACTGAAAGGCGCATAGATATAATGGACTCTACGCAGCCGGAATCTGAACTGCTGGGTGAAGAGGAGGATGTGGACAACGAGGAAAACATATCCTTTCCGCGCGATATCATCACCGTAGAGTGAGTACTTTGGATACCCAGTGAATTCCTCTATAGTTGTATTTTCCTGTTGCAGACACTCCTTTGGCTACGACTGCAAGAAACTCTTCAATTTGGTATTGGTGGACTCGGATACGCTGGTTTTTGGCTCCGGAAACTTCCTCAATTACTTTAGCATTTCGCGTCAGGAGATTTCGTTTCAGGAAACAGTCTACGGCTGCGGAGTTGGGTTTATCACGGTGAGTTTTTTTTAGCTTGTAACATACGTAGTGGTATCTAATATTAAGAGATTTTTAGAAAAACGAACATCCGGACTACACCGATCTCTTTACGGTGGGCGAGAACGGGCCAAAGCCCACGATTTTCATCTACGAGTATCCTTCGCTGAATGTGCGTGTGAAGCTTCTGAATGCGGCCAAGACTTGTTTTACGGCCGGATCTTACAACAAGACCGGGGAGTTGTTTGCCTCGCAGGCGGGATATCCGGATTTCGTGATCACCATTTGGCGCTGGGAGCAGGTGGAGGTGGTGCTGCGTGCCAAGTCCTTCCAGAGCGACATCCTGTTCGTGCACTTCTCGGAGTACAACCCCATCCTGCTCTGCTCGTCGGGTCTCAGCCACATCAAGTTCTGGAAGATGGCACACACCTTTACGGGCCTGAAGTTGAAGGGGGATCTGGGTCGGTTTGGCAAGACGGACTTCAGCGACATCTATGCCATGTACATGCTGCCGGACGAGAACGTGATCTCTGGCAGCGATTGGGGCAACATGCTGCTCTGGCAGGCGGGACTCATCAAGTTCGAGATCTGCCGGAAGGGTCGCAAGCCATGCCACACGAAGCCCATCACCAGGATAACCATGAAGAACGGTGAGGTGACCACGGTGGGCATGGACGGTTACGTTCGGGTGTGGTACTGGGAAACAGTGGACCTGGCCGATCCGCCCGAGGATGATTTATTCGTGGAGATCGATCCCATTTACGAGTTCAAGATCGCCGATGTGGAGCTACGCTGCATGCAGAAAATCCATCCCTTCGATGAGTCCGACTTCACCCACTATGCCCAGGATGGCAATGGTGGGATTTGGTTCTGCGACATCAACACCTACGATGTGCCCCAGAAGCCGAGGAAACTCTACTCCTGCATTGGCGGCCGGGTGCTCACCGCCCAGATGTCACCGGTGTCGCCGCACTTTCTCTGCATGTCGGAGAGCGGCAAGCTGTTCGTGTATCAGTACGAGGAGCAGCGTCTGATACTGGAGAAGCAGTTCCCGGCAGAGGGAGTGGATGTGCTCTGGCTGGACACCCAGATCTCGGTCAAGGGCACGGAAATTGTGGCTGCCTTTAAGGACGGCATCCTGCGGCAATTGTATCTGGACCTCAGCGGCGAGCGGCCAACCATGACGCGGGTGAGAGCCTTCAAGGCACACACATCCCCAATCACCGGACTCACCGTGAACCGGACCAGCAAGCTGCTGCTCACCGGCAGCGCCGACAAGAGCATATTCATCTACAAGCTGGGCCGGGATGCAAATCAGTTGGTGGACATGCATCCAGTGGGTTTCGTCCAGTTTGCCGCCATCCCGAACTGCTTCTACTGGCACGAGCTGGCGCCCACTGTGGTCCTGGTGGGCTGCAAGAGTGGCGAACTGTACGAGTACAATATCCGCACTGAGGTCACCCAAGAGGAGACCCATCTGTCCTACAACATCACAGAGGAGTCGCGCATGCGCAGTACGAAATTTGCGTCCATCAAAAGCCGCATCCGTAGGGAAATCAATCGGGAAAACATTAAGAAGCGGAAGGAACGCAAGCGGGAGCGCAAGATGAACGAGGTCGAGAAACTGAAGAAGGCCAATCCCGGCCTGCAGATCGACATGGAGTCGGCACTGGCCGACTCCGAACCGGACGAGGAGGAGGAGCCGCTTCACATCCCGGCCGTGCCCAATGCCATCATCTGGATGCGCTATACGGTGAGGGACACCATCTGGGTGTCCATGGCTGGCTACGATGCCGGCTACATCTACGAGCTGGAGTTCGGTGCGCCCGAGCCCTCCTATGCCACCATCATAGCGGATGGGGATGACATGGAGATACACTCCTACTGCATTATGTGAGTTGTTTTTATTCTATCTCTAAAAGAAATCTATCTCTACAACATTTTAATTGTGTGTGCAATAACTATCCTAGAGCTTAAGTGTTATTTAAATTTTAGGGTCAAGGTGCAAAATCTAAGCAAATAAGTTTTTATATTATACAAAAAATATATATTTAATATTTTAGACAATATTTCTATGTTAGTTATAACATTTATACTTCTTAGCGCTATCTTATCTTTTAAATTTAGACTAAGAATTTTTAAAATTTACTTTTTATATTATAGAAAATATGTATATTTTTTAATGTAAGTTAACAATTTCTTTCTTGGCTTAAAAAAAGACAATTTGTATGACGAATTTTTAAATTTAATGGTTAATTTTATTTTGAGTGTAGTGACAAAAGAATTCAATACTTAATTCAACATTTGTTTATCTTTAAGGTAGGTTTTACAAATAACTTATTATTAATAGAGCTATATGTCTATGTACCGATATTCGTTATTATTAACTAACTATTACTAACTAACTTTTATTCCCCCTTCCTGTCCAGCGACGACTTTATCATCTTTGGCCTCGTCAACGGACGCATTCGAATCAATCGCATCAATCCGGAGAACTTTACGGACCTTTCCGAGTACCGTGTCTATCCCATGCACGATGGCCTGAAGGGCACCATTCCAAAGATCGACATCAGCTTCAATGGCGAACATCTGCTGAGCGTTGGCTACGATGGCAACGTGTTTCTGCACAAGTGGAGCGGTCAGAAGATCGTAAGGAACAAACGGCGGGACAACTTGCCACCGCTGCCGTCTGAAGTTAGACAGATCGAGGACATCGACGTGGAGGCACCATCCCTGGAGCAGGAGAAGATCAACGCGGAGCTGCGACGGCAACAGGAAGCAGCCGAGGCGCACGATCGCGATGTCCTGACCAAAATCGGATTGCTGCAGAACGTCTACTTCGACATCATCAGGCAGAATGATGAGCTGCCTCCGGGTCTGAGGGCCAAGGACACCGATTTGCTGCTGGACGAGCGCATCACACGGCAGATTCGAGATGAGCTGCAGGCCGAACTGGATGATGTGCGGGAGGATCTGGCCTACGACCTAGAATTCGCCCAGGTGGGGCATACAAAGCTTTACAATCATTTCCTCAAGGACCTAGTCCAAATACCCTTCACCGTCAATCCCTTGCGGTGAGTTAATTGGTTACTGATTGAGTTAGTTGTATTCAAATGTATGTTTTCAGTGCCAAAATTCCGGGTGTGTCCACGTTTCGCCTACAGGCTCTGGGCGAAGAGCACGAGCAGATCAAGAAGGACATCGAGGAGCGCCTGAAGCTGGAGCACGACATGGGGTAAGTGGGCGACTTAGTGGGAACACTTCTTGACACTGCCAGCTTAACACCAAATATATAACAATTAAATCCATGACAAGCAGCCTTTATAGAGAGGATCGGGTAGCAGAACAACCGGAAGTGTAAGCCTTATATTCCTTTAACCTTTGGAGCAACTGCACCTTTATATATAAAATAACCACCAGTCTTATATAAACCCTTTATAACACAGCTTTAGTTTAACTGCAACCATTCACAGACTTCATGATCTTGTGGAGCACCTGTACCTTACTGAACCACCAGTCTTATACAAACCCTTTGTCAACTAATCCTTGAATTAAACTAAGTACCCTCTTTTAACGAACTGCAACCATTCACAGACTTCATGACCTTGTGGAGGACGAGAGATCGGACGAATCCATTGGAGAGCCTCCGCCGGAGTTCTTCTTCTTCGGCCGGGATCCGAAGAGCATCGAGCCGCGGTTCAGCAAGAAGATGATGCGCCTCCTGAATCGCTACCGGAAACGTCAGCTTTACGAGGTGCGCCGCATCTTCGACTGGGACAAGCTGGAGCGCCAGAAACCGGACCCCAATCGCAACCATCCGGATGACGATGCCCAGATCGAGGATGCCAAACGCAACATGGGCGACTTTAAGCTCAAGATCGGGGCGGACTACGAGCCCAAATCGGAGGAGACCCTCACCCAGAAGTACATAGAGATCGTGGAGTGCCGCGAACAGTACTTCGAGATGGTGGACGCCTTCAATCAGTTGGTGGTGGACCTGCGCGAACGCAAGGCCGAACTGGAGCAGTTCATCAGCGCTAAGAGATCGCGTCTGGAAACGATTCATAGCTACCTGCCTGAACCGGATCGGCTGCCTCTGGAACCGATTCAGCAAACGGACATGGACCTGGAGTATCCGGAACTCAATCTCATCGAGAACCACGCTCCCGGCTGCGGTGTCGAGATCAACGACATCCTCACACTGGACCACACCGTGGATCAGGTGGGTGTTGTGATGTTTGCAATGCAGTGTAGGAGACAAAGTATCTATATTCTTGATCAGCATGACTAGACGAATTGCAGAGGGTATTATAGTGTACCATCATTTCCGACCCTATAAAGCATCTATATTCTTGAGAAGAGTAGATAGATATATAGCTTTGCTGTTCCTTAATTTTTTTTCAAAACATTCTTTTGAGCTATGGTCTAATATTTAAGAAATACATTATATATTCATTCATCCATTAGGTGATTAAACAAAAAATTCCATTGAGGTCTATGACCAATATAAGCCTCTACAGCATGCACGCCTTGGATGTGCCCGAACTGCACGAGTATTGCGCCTTCACGATGCTCCAGATCTCGAGGCTGGAGAAGAGTCTGCCCAATGCGGAGCTGACCGAGGAGTTGCTGAAGCTGCCGCCGATCAGCGATCCGGCCTACTTCGAGTCGAATGCGGACAACGAGGCGCCCTATATGATGGAGACACGTCATCGCTGGCTGCGCCACCTCCTTGTGGAGCAGGCTGCCATCCGGTTGGAGGTGGACGAGGAAGTGCAGCAGTTCGATAAGGCGCTGGCCAAGCTGCAGGTGCGACGCTTTCATGTGAAACTGGACGCCGAGTTCATGACCGCCTACATGAACAGCCTTAATCAGGAGCTGTACATCCTGCGCGACAGCGAGGAGATTGAGACGCAGTTGCTCCTCAATGCCAAGACGGCGATGAGCACGCGGAACGAGCTGCAGGTGGTCATCAATACCACGAACAGGCAGTTGGACGAGCTGAGGCGCAACATTGACAAGCTGGGCGAGCAGATAACCGCCGTCCAGGTGCTCTTCTCGACCACGGTCAAGGGTCACAAGTTCTTCGACTTCCTGCGTCGCATCTTCAAGAAGAAGTGGCGTCCACCCAAGGTGGCCAGGGGTGACGACGAGAGCTCTTCCACCTCGTCCTCGTCGTCCTCCTCCAGCGAAGATGCGCAGGCGGACAACAAGAGTGTCGACTCCCTGGACATGACCACCATCCGGCTGGACGAGGCCACCTGTCCCCTTGGCCTGGATCGATCCATTTACGAGCTGGCCTTTGCCATGCGCTCCGAACGCCACGAACTGGAGCGAAATGTGCGGGATCTTCAGCGGGATGTGGAGACCAAGCGCAGGGAAATCGCCGAAATGCAGATCAGGATGAAGTTTCACGAGGAGGTGTATCAGCGCGAGAAGAATGCCCTCTTGCAGTTCAGGGTAGGCAACTTCCATTGGGGATTGACCTCATCCGTAACCGAACACATTTCCGCTTTCAGCGCAATCGCCAGCAGGAGGTCAACAAGGTACATATCAGCGCCATTCTGCGCATGGACCAACTGCAGCATTTCTATGAGGGCACCGATTACCGTGATTTGTCCAAGGCCATTCTCTTCGACGCCGACATGCTGGTGGAGCTGCGCCGCCGGGCGGATCAGCTCAGCGACGAGACGCTGGCCACCAAGCGCTGGCACCGCATCAACTTCATCCACTTGAGGCGCATGAACACGGACATCAAGTTCATGAGGTTTGAGATCACGCGTCTGGAGGAGGAGATCCGTCAGGCTATGATGAAGAAGTTCGGCATCATTGTCAATCTGGATGAGTTGGAGGAGGAGGTCCTAAGGCGCTACATCTTTGACCTGGAAACCAATGCTGAGGATGAGCTAATGGCCCTGGAAAAGGAACTGTTGGAGAAACAGGTACGGCTGCGGTCAAAATAATATTATTCTATCAGCTTGTGGAGCATTTGAAAAACTAAACGCAACTTTTGAAAAGCTTTTTTATATTTCCGTGAAGCTATTACCAAAAACTAAATGAGGCAACTATTTCCATTAAACATAGATATAATAATTTTTAATATTTTTAAAATAGATAAATATATAAAAGTGTTTTCAAATTTAAAATTTGAAAAATGTATCAGGTTTGAAAAATATGTATTTTAATTAAAAAGGTGCATTAAAACGAGGTCTTATAATTTTAACTTTTAAAAAATCATTTACCACAGTATAAATTTACAGAAAATTAGTGCTTTGATTTTTGAGCACTGTATATTGTAGTACTTCCAATTTTTGAACCGCAACTGTATGTTCCCCATAAAAATATATCAATATATTATATTAATAAAATCTTTATTTTAGAAAGAACTCTCTCGCTGCGAGGAGGAACTGGTCCTGGAGACCCAGAACAACACCGAAAAGGTGAACGTAATGACCGTACTGCGGGAGGAGAAGAACATCCTGTGCACTCTGTTGGACATCCAAAATCGCAACTACGAAAAGTGGAGCAATCCGAAAGTGCTGAATCTGTCCTACGACATTGAGAAGCTCAGGGGCATTGAGAAATCCCTGCTGGAGCAGATTGAAGTGGGTTCTGTTCGTCTTTGTTAATTATAATTTACATTCCTAAATTTTCTATCTTTAATAGTGCCTGGAGAGGGAGATTTGTGCTTTGAGACTGAAATCAAAACCACTGCAGATCAACAACGAATTCGAGTTGGATCCCAACGCGCCACCAGTGGTGACCAGTGAAATAATGCCCAACGATGATCCAATTGTGTGCCCTGCCATCCTGAATGTGGATGCCTATATGCTGCCACCCATGCCCGATGAGTTCATCATGGACCGGGTGCAGACGATCGTCCAGAAGAGTTTCAATCGTTTCTTTGGCAAGAACACCACTCCGGAGAATGTGCGAAAGTTTGCCCAGAGGTCATCGCTGTATTTATGTCAAGCAGCCTACAGTTTCCAGGTAATAAGAATTCCCTATTTAAGCAGTAGTTACTCCCTTACCGTACACCATATATGTTTTAGGGTCGCTATACGGATCGCATTGCCGAGTGCATCACGGAGCATCTGCAGACGATTGTGCCCAAGAAGTACTTCATCCACATCAGCGGCGAGGAGCTGCGCAAGCTCTTCAACGAGGTGGTGGCCGTCTTCGACTACGAACGCTCAGACGTGAACACCGAGGAACTGATCTCCGGGATCTTCGATCATGCCAAGGACTCGCTCTGCGCCCACATCCACCTGGGCGATGCCGAGGTGGTCAATCGCACCCACTTCATCGTGGCCCACATGTTCAAGGAGCTGGTCGAGGTGCTGCCCCTGGAGGAGTTCCAATCCGACGAGACCCTTCGCATGATCGTGGACGTGCTGGAGCGTGAACCGATGGTAGATCCACGAGCCATAAGCGTGGAGCAGCTCATCAAGAGCACGCTGCAGCATGCCCAGGAGAATCTGCTGGACGGGATTACGGCGGTTCCGGTCCGCAAACTGGGCAGCTCCATCCAGCGGGACCTGATCAAGCGGCGCCAGTACAAGCAGCCCAGTTGCGAGTCGCCAATGTCGGTGAGGATCGCCACAAAAAAACCGGGACACGGTACTGGACTTCCTTTCTAGAAGACGTAGGTTTTTATTGGACTGTTCAGATTTCGGCAAATTCAAATACATTTTTAAAAAAATTATGTGATTTTAACAATTTTATTTGGGGGTTTGGAATTGAACGAACTTTGATCATAACAGCAATTCTAATGATATTTTAAAACTGCAAAACCAGTTATGTTTCTAATTTAAAATTAATTTTCCTACCAGCGAGGAAAAAACCCTCTATTCTCTTCACAATTGTTACATATTTTAAAGTTTCGCAATAAATAAACTAAAATTAAATAAAATATCCATTTTTTCGATGTTAACTAAAATAGGGTTTGAAAAATAGCCAGATCTGGCGGGAAAAGCATACGTTGTGTCAGCACTAATTTAGAACACCTGACAACCCTGCTTCTGAATCAGAGAAATTGCAAGTAAACAAAGTGCGAAAATTAATTGAATACGGAATATCATGTCGAAGCCATCAAAATCGGGTCCACCAAATGAGGGAAGTGCTCCTCCCGCGTACGATTATGGCAATGCCAGCGATGCCCTGGCCATGGTATGAAGTTAATTAGCCCAGAAAAGAGAAACAGACACTTAAATCGACCGATTTGCAGCGAGCACCACCGCCAACCTATGAGCAGAGCCAGCGGAGTGGCGGTTACGGTTATCCACAGGGGGGAGCTGCTCCTCCGCCCAGTCAAAATCAGTACTACGGCATGATCAGCCACCAGCAGCAGCAGATGCCCTTCAACGGGGGACAGCCCAACTACGCAATGCATCATGCCACTGGCTACGGATTCGCTGGTCCCAGTACCTCGGCAGGAGCTGCTGCCGCCCAGGTCCTCCACTTGGACTCGCGCGCCGAGGTGAGGACGAATGCCACCGGTAACGTCGTCATTCCGCCTCCGCCGCCCGGCTGCCTGCCCACTCCGGCTCAGTGGGCGGCCATGCAGGGCCAGCCCGTGGTCCTCAAGCAAAAGAAGCGTTCCTTTTTCTAGATTACACACAAGCACACACACACACAGATACCATTCACTCGAATATAATAATGTTGGCCCCTTAAATGTTATGGAATAATAAACGATACGATCAGTTTCGTTTCGTCCTCGCGTATATTTGAAAATTCCCTAAGCAAACGAACATGGCGCCGGTGAAGAGATTGGGTTGCAGCAGTTCACCGGCTCTGATCCTCCTACAGACTACTGGGTGCGTACTACTCGAAGATGTTCTCAAAGTATGTACTATCGAATGTCTGGACACGCACGAAACCGTCTTCTCCGCCCGAGGCGTAACTCTTGCCGTCCGGATGGAAGGCCAAACTGTTGATGGGTCCGAAATGGCCCTTGAGCCGGGCGAACTCCTCCTCGTAGATCAGGTGGAAGAAACGCGAGTCGAACTTGCCAGCTTTCGTGGACGTGGTGGTCACCTCCATGGCGTCCTGACCGCCGCCCAGCACCACGTGATCCAGAATGGGGCTGATGGCCGCCGAGTTTACGGGTCGCTCCGTCTTGTAGGTCTTCAGGCACATGAGGGACTCGGAGTCGAAGAGCTTGGCGGTGGTGTCCTTGGACGCTGTGACGAACATGGTGCCATCCTTGCTCAGTTGCATGTCGTTGATGCCGCCAGTGTGATCCGATCCGGAGTCGACAACCTTCTGGCCCTTGCGGATGTCCCAGATGGCAATGTTGCCATTGTCGTGCCCTGAAAGCAATTACTATTAGTGAATTTCACAAGGGATTGTAAGGAGATGGCCAACCTGTGATGATGGTCTCATCCAGAGGACCCCACAGCATCGAGGTGATCTTGGACTCGGTCATGGGAATGCGCAGAGTGGGCTCCTGCTCCGACAGCGAGGAGTCGGCGTTGCGCACATCGATGAGGAACAGCTCGCAGCTCTGACCCATCGCCTTGTCCGTGGAGTAGGCCGCCTGGTTGCCCGAGAAGCTGAAGTGGCTGGTGCGCACCGACGACTTGGTCGGAATGGAGGCGATAATAGTGCCGTACTCCACGTCCCAGAGCTTGGTGGTCATGTCGCCGGCGCCAGTGATGAGCTTGCGACTCTCCCAGTCCACATCCAGGCACCAGACCGCTCCCTGGTGACCATCGTAGGTTCCTAGGCGCTCGCCGTTTAGCGAGTACCAAACATTGGGCTTCTGATCCTTGGAGCAGGAGAAGAGGAGGTCGCCCTCGCGGTTGTACTTGATTTGCGTTATGGAACGCTCGTGGCCCTGCAGCATCAACGGACGCTGTAAGAAAGAAATAGCACGGAATTTTAGCAATAATATAGACCGCTTTTAAGGTTATGTTTAGCCCGGAATTCACACACGACTTTTACGCCCCGCAAATCTATGTTATTCCGGGTAAACTATTGAGCAAACCCTGCAGATTGAGGGGCTTCTATTGTACTTTTCTATTCACGCACCATTTTGAATTTTAATCTTATTTGTTGCGAGAAAACTAATATTTTTGCAACAACATCCACGCAGCAGTACACGCCAAAAGAGCAGTGTGACCGCGGTAGAGTTAAAAGATTTCTTTGAAATATACTACGGTATTTTTCAAATATATTGTACACACCATACCGTTCAACAATTTTACAGTCTTCTCACTGTCGCTTAAAAGCGTTGTTGTGAAAAAGATATTGTAAAGAAATAAACAAATTCCGCCAATAAATTGGATACAATTTTAGCCTTGGAAAATTAAATGTTTTTCGCAGTTAATGAAGAATACAATGAACTGGTAAAGGATGAAATGAGAGTTTTCTTAAACGGGAGTCCTGAAAGAAGTATCAGAAATGTTGGGACACAGCGAAGTTAAATGAAAATTTTAGTGACTGACGAATTTATAATTCTTTGAACCACAAATTTGTAGTTTTAAGTGATAAACTGTGATTTATCAAGTTCTGGCTTTCACTTAAGAATAAATTTAAAATTTAAACAAATCCGCCACGGATTGCAAATGCAAGCAGTAGGCTTGCGGGCGTTGCCACCTTGTACCAATCAGATGTTTTGTTTTGCTCGCCACTCGCAACACTGTTTCCATAATCGATGCTCAACACTGAAACACCAACGCCTTCCAACACTTTCCCCCTCGCTGTAAATAAATCGAAATATTTTCATCCATTTTCTAGCGAAAATAATTGAAAATTGAGCGAACATCCCGCAGCCAAAACCGGATCCGCTGGTGGCCCGGGCCCAGCGGCAAAGTCGTGTGCAATGGCAGGAGCCAGTGGACGCTGGCTGAAGCGCATTTGAACAGCCAAAACGGCCAACCAAAATAATAGATGCCAAAAATTTGCATAAAAAGTGAGGCGATTAAAATGCAGAAAATGTACGCATCGTTGTTGCTGGCAACCTTGACATTCTGCACGCTGGTGCTGCGATCGGATCAGGCACACCCCCCGCCGGCGGTGCCATGCGATCGCAGCCGGAAGGTGTTCACGGAGCCCTACGGCGACATCTCCGATGGCCCGTCCGGCTTCAATTACACCCAGGACTCGCACTGCGAGTGGCTCATCAAGGCGCGCAACGACAGCCAGTTCATCACGCTGACCTTCCACAGCATGGGCACCGAGTGCTCCTACGACTACATCTACGTCTACGACGGCGACTCCTTCAACTCGACCCTGCTGGGCAGCTTCAGCGGGCGGACGCAGCCCCAGCGACTGGTGGCCCGGAGCGGGAGTGTAAGTACATTTCAAGGCTTAGACTCTTTTCATCTGTCATTATTCAAGAATAGAGGCTCAATTGGATCGTAACGAAAATATACACCTTTCATTTGAATAAGAGTCCTGCACAAAAGCTTTTTCCTTAGTATGTTTAAAAACGAATTTATGTTTTAGAAGGCTGTTTGACGGTTTGAAACAACTAAACGTGTACTTAAAAGTTCCTATTTCTTTTATCTTAACAAAGTGTTCAAGTAGATAATATATGAAATATAATATATATGGTTTTTGATTAGATTTCCAATATAGAACATAGTATGTTTCATATAATCAAATAGTCCTGAGAAACCTATAGATTTTTTGGACCATTGCTTTATAGGAAATATAAACTCTTTAACAACAATAGCAAACTTGCTTATATCCAGCAAACAATCCGTTTTTTATGTAGATGTTGATGTAATAAATCAATAAATAAAGAAATTAACAACTTAGTACGTTCTTAAAGCAATAAACACTAAAACTCAACCTATCCACAGATTTACTGCCTATATCTCCTCTACTTGCTCCCTTCTCATAGTTGACCTTTACCCCACAGATGCTCATCCTGATGTACAGCGACACAAACTACGTGCTGGATGGCTTCCGCGCCTCCTACTACATATCAAACTGTCTGAATAACTGCCACAACCATGGAAAGTGTGTGGGCCACCAGTGCGTGTGCCACGGCGAGTGGGTGGGGCCCGACTGCGAGGACGAGGCCTGTCCGCAGCGCTGTGGCGAGAGCCAAGGACGAGGTCGCTGCCAGAAGAGCATCTGCCACTGCTCGCGAGGATTCAGCGGCCGGCTATGCGATCTGAGTGACCATCCGGCCGGCAGCAGCTGGCGCTGGCTGGCCACCGACGCGGAGGGCATGACGCCACGAGCTGCCCATACCGCCGTTTACATGGAAGACGAGGATGCTCTCTACGTTTTCGGCGGCTACGACCTAAACAACGTTATAAGCACGCTTCAGGTAAAGTTTATTCATTAATTGCAAAGCTCTTTCTAAATAATATTCAATTTTTTGATAAAGACAATGTTTTAAGCATTAGATTCAATTTTAATTTTGCATTTTCTCTTTTAGATTTATCGTTTCAGCACCAGCCAGTGGGAGGATGAATGGGGAATTGCACTGCAGAGTCGCCGTCACTTCTACCACCCGCAAAAGATCGATCACACGTTGCTTAAGGCCGTGCTTCAGCACAAGAACGAGGACGAAGCGAAGCTCTGGGGTCTCAACAGCGACGTGAGCTTCTTTCGGAACATTCTGTACACATTGGCGGAGTCCAATCTCCACCAGCGTCGCACACGCTCCTCACTGCCCTTGACCATCGTGAATGCCAACTCGACTGACGAAGAGCTGAATGAGTATCTGGAGGACATTCTGGAGGAGGTTACTGACCACAAGCCCCATGGACGCTATGGCCATGCAGCGGATCGAGTGCCCGGCGGTTTCGTGATCTACGGTGGCAAACATGCCAATGGCAGTTTCTACAGTGATCTCTGGCAGTACAACAACACGGAAAGCGGCGGCAAGTGGAAACAGATGGCCATCAGGTCGGAGTTGAAGCCGCCGGCTTTGGCCAGGCATACGCTGAATACCGCTGGAGCGTATCTCTATATATTCGGTGGTAGTCTGGAGACGGGAGAGTTCTCATCCAGTGTTTACCGCATACCCCTCCCCCTCTCCGAGGATTCGCAGTGGGAATTGGTGCAACCAAGAGGAGGAAAGACGTTGGACGTTCGTCTGGCAGCGCATTCGACGGTCTATTACAAGGCAACCAATTCACTAATCGTTTTTGGTGGAATCATGACGAGTTTGGCCCGCTTCTCCAAGCTCTCGGATCGAATTTACGCCTTTCAGCTGGACCAGATGCACTGGACGGAGATTTTATACCCACGAACAGCGCTAAGGGACACCAACATACCCAGGGAGCGAGCATTTCACACGGCCACCATCTCGGGCAACTACATGGTGGTCTTTGGTGGCTATACGCACCGTCACAACAAGGACGAGATTTGCTACGACAACCAGATGTACTGGTACCATCTCAGCTGCCACATTTGGATCAATCAGGTGGTTTCCGCCGAGGACAGTCTGTACCCGAAGCCACAGGGTGTTTTCGCCCAAGCGGCTGCACTGCGTCGCAATCACACGCTGCTGATTGTGGGCGGCTACCATGGAAACGTGAATGCGGATCTTTTTGCCTACGAACTGCCGCAGGTGTTGCGGGTGGAGAACACGCTTTACAATCCGGAGGTTTCCTGCAGACTGCACGCCTCGCACACCGCTTGTCTGTCGAATCCGGAGTGCGGCTGGTGCTCAGCAGATAGTAGCTGCTATGGCCGCACCATCGGAGCGAATTGTACCACCAATCTGCAGACCACAAGGTGTCCCGGAATATGTCCCTCCCTGGGCGATTGCCATTCCTGCTTGGTTCACGGATCTCAATGGGGCAAGTCGTCGGGAAACAAAGCTGCATTTTCGGTGGCCAGCAAACTGGGATTAAACGAGTGCACGTGGTGTGTGCAGAATGCAAAATGCCACCATCGGGACGACAACTATGGGATATGTGGCGATAGTTCAGGCTGGTGGGGCGACAAAGGCACCGAGATTCGAAGACCTTCGCTCTGCACCAGCACCGATCGACGGCCGGGACTCACGTACATCAAGTACCACTTCCCGATTAACTTCACCATGCCGGATTACGTGGGTATTGTGAATGCCACCATGGTGGACTTCGCCTCACCGCCGTTCACCACCTACTTTGAGCACAAACTCGAGGGCGAGATGCTGGCCAGGCTGGTGGGTTTCGTGCGGCCGCAACATCAGTGGAACAACTCGGCCATCCAGGTCTGCACCAGCTACTCATCCGCCGTGCTGCGCGCTGGCCTGGGCCTTTACCTCGACGAGCTGGTCAACGTAACCACGCAGAGCTCCAACCAGAGCTACTGCAGCAACGTCCAGCTGCCCACCACAGAGCAGCCCTTCACCATCGATTTCCAGGTGCGTACAGTGATCAAAGATGGTATAGTTAAAATAAATATCTGGCTATTTAGTCTTTCATTATATATTTTATATTTCACTTAATTGAAAATCACAAGATTTAGATAATATTAAAGTATTTAAACTCGTTAATAAAACATTAGTTTAAAAATAATAATACTACTTTAAAAGTTGTATATTTCTATATTTTAAATAATTAAAATGAAAATCAAAGCGAATTATACATATCTAAATTGACTATGAAATAACTAAAAATCAAAACAAATAATATATAAATTGACTACGAATTGGATTGACTATGTTTTTTAACAGTGTAGGAATAAACATTTATAAATAATTGTAGTTTTGGCAGCCATACTATCTCTGGATAGATAATCTTGATTTTAAAAGTAGGTAGAAACTTCATTCTTTCTTAACTAAATTGTTATCTCCAAATCCTCTCCAGGCTCGTCGTCGAATCGGAGGCAACGGAATCTACAATGCCTATCAGAAGACCAAGATGGAGCTGCAGCACCTGCACAATGGCCAGCTAAACGCCTTCACCTTCGAGTACCTGGAGCCGTACTACTCCGGCAAGTGCACCCAGTACTCGAACTGCCTGCACTGTCTCACGGATGCCTCCTGTGCCTGGTGTCCCCTGACCAGCGTGTGCCACCTGCGATCCGTCAACGAGACGGAGGTGTGCAGGAAGGAGTCTCCGGAGGCATTCCATTGGTCCTATTTGATCAGCCAGCCCAGTCAGTGCTCGAACTGCACCAACTACGTGAGCTGCGAGGCGTGCGCCAGCAGTGGCGAGTGCGAG